GAAATTCCAAAAGACCATTGATTTGTGTCACATTCCTTTTTTGGAGTTGAAAATATGTGCCACAAAGATCTCCATTGGCAAGTTTTGTATGTATTAACTACTGTTAATTTAATTTATTCAATATTAATATAGTTTATTTCCCATTACATTTTATTTATTGTGAGTTTTACATGATCCATTTGTGTGATCCAAATGAGCTTATGGAATAATAATTGTAGAGTTTCCATTAGTGTTACAAATGTGTTTTTCTTTTCTACAAATAAAATTCGTATTTTAAATTCAATTTAATCTAGCTTAGGCCCACTGTGCTGTCGAATTGCCTCGCCCGCCGCCATCGACATCATTTGGCACATGTGAACACCGAAAAAGATGTGCCCACCGACCGTCCACCATCGACCACTCCCGATGCCGTCTCGACTTGGTCCGATCTTCTGCCCAGAAGAGCCAGACCGAGTTTGGAATACTCGAATCCGCTTGACCGACCGTCTGTCGAATATCCCCGTATGGGTATGGGGCTAGTCGACGGGCGGCCGATTCACCTGTCGCGCCGTTTTGTTTGCCTAACGCAAAGGTGGGGAAATTCGGGGGGGAAATGCAACTGGCTTGGTCCGCAGCTTTATGCGAAAATTCCATGAATTTGATCATTTCGGTGGAAGCGTATTAGATATTTGGCATTTTGGCTTTCCACCGCTGACTGACGTACAATCCAGCAAAAGGCAAACGGAAAACGGACAACAAACAGCGGACAAACGGACAACTCGAGGGGTCAGCGCACACATGTGACCCCAAATGATCGATGGAACTGCCAGCAGAGGAGTCTGCGGAAATTAAATGGATTATAATTATTATGCATGGCACGGAGCAGGCGCACTTTCATTGTCAACCAATAAAACGGCCAAGAGGGCAAAGTTGTCCATCGGAGCAAATGCAATCCGGCGGACAGGCCAACATGTTGGGGCTGGAATTGATTTGGCCCGCAGCCACTATTAACAGCAACAAAGCCGCGGACTCATCTTTGGCCAGAGAGCTAACAAAATAACCCTAAAGCCGCTTTGGATGATCGTCGGCTGCAGGCGCAGTGGATGACATCAGGTGCAGCCACAGAGCAACACTGTTAAAAAAAACGAAGTAAATAATTTAAATATTTTGCACTTTAATTTTCTTCCATTGCTGCTTTTATTTTTGGAACTGATTTAAATTTCAGAAAATTTAATTTAAATTCAAACCACAATTGACTTAAAAAACCATTCGGACTTAAGAAGCGAATAATTTAAAAAAACACTTGCAGTTAAAAAAAATTTCGAAGGCATAAATAGTAGCATACGTTAATATTTACTATTATATTAAAGAACAAAAATATGTGTTAAATTTCTTAAATATGTGTAAATGAAAGCACAAGTAAATACCTATTAATAAACATTTGCTTAGAAATGTAGGTTGTTTTCCTTTTATAAATAAGCTGTGTTTATTGTTCTTTCTTTACATATTGATTAAATATTAGTAGTAGAAATAAAGTGCAAGGAATATTTATATATAATTAAATACAAAATACATACATGATTCTATATTATATGTTTCATTTAATGCGCTGAAAAGAATAAAAAATTCAGTAGAATCAATTGTAGAAGAAAGTAAATACTAAATACTGAGTATTGGCGTAGACAGTGTTTTGTTTTAAAAATTGTTAGATCATTATTTTTTTTTAATTTGCTATAGAGTTAAGTATTGATTTCTGTGACCTAATTGATAAGATTAGTTGAGAATTCTGTGATATTTCTTTAGGTGCAGGCAAGCGCATAAGCTTAACTGTGCGGCTTGGGCAAATTCCAGCGGACATTTTTGCTGAGCTAAAAAGACACAGGCAACGAGGCATGTAACAACATAAACAACAGAATACTATTTGGCCTTTTGCACCTTTTTGGCATGAACAACTTTTGGTAGTGGCCAAACGAATACGAAGGCGGGAGGAATCTCACCGGGATGAGCTGTGTGCGCCGCGAGAGATCTTTATTTCGGGTCGAGGCGGCGGCCGATCGACCAAGACGACAACGCCCCGAAAGGCACAATTAAAATTTCACGCTTTTTTCTCTGGGCGGCAGAGGGGAGCTGAAGTGACCGTCAGGACCAAAAAAAGTCACCACCTAGGAGTCGGAAAAAAAACACCTTGACCATTTTTGGGCTTACATTTTAGCCAACGAACGAAAACAGTGCGGCGGCATTTTCGCTTTGAGGCAAACCCAGGAGCAATCTTTCAGTGGCAATGCACTCGGAACAAAGATTGTCCCATAAAGTGGCAAGCGTAACCCCGTTGTGAACCCAAAAGCCTTTTTAAAATATACCTTAAAAATTTTTAATTATTTAAATAAATTTGAACAATAATTAAAATAAGAATTTTTAACGCAAAAATTAAAAACCAACCTAGTCCAAAAAAGTTTGATAATTCCTAATTTTATTTTTAAACATATCTGTGTATTTTTTTTTTAATGATTTATAACAGTAACTTAACGTTGACAGTTTGTATTTATAATTACATTTTTTAGTTAATATTTTATCGCTAAGAACTTAAAGTCAATAGAAAATAGCAAAATAAATTAATAAATAATTAAAAAGATAAGATATTTAATGTAAACTAAATTGAGCTTCTCTTGTTTGCTTAAAAATGTTTAAAAATATAATCCTTAAATGTTTATCCAAATTTTCTAGTCTCCAATATTACAGTTTTTCTTTTTATTTTAACATAAACATTATGCTAAGTTGATACTTTCGCTATTTTCTTGAATCTTAATGGGATTTTTATTCCGAGTGTTGCGTTCAGTTGGAGCGGTGTTGCAGCCGCCACGCGTGCAATTTGCAGTCGTTGGGGAATTGCAAGCGGCCCCTGAACACAAACACACCGAGTGGAGAGCCGCTCTTCCAGAAAGTGTTAATTAGCAGCGCGCGTGCTAATTACCAATGCCAGTTGTGAGTGCAGCCAATGACAGCTACAGCAGCAACAGCAACATGCAGCAGCAACATGAGCTGCTGCAGCAGCAACTCCAGTGGCAACAGCAACATCAACTTTGGCAGCAACTCCAGCGGCCATAACAACAATGAGAAACGGCAGGCGGGAAAATGTCAACGTCAACGGCGCCACAAAATGTTTAAAGTTGCGTATGTTGGTCGGGTAAAACTTTAATTAAATGCGAAATAATGCGGGATCAAGAAAATAGTAAAACTAAATTAAATAACTACAAATAGAGAGACAATTATTTGCACCACAGCTTTCAATTAACATTAAGCATTCATTTTGTTAACAATTTTAAATTAATTTAACAGATTAAACAACATATATAAATAAATTCTTAAAATTCTGGAATTAAAGATTTGTATTTATGAAAAAAATTGAACTATAAGTTGCTCAAGCTTATGTACTTTTTGAAGGCCAGATTTTCATAGTTTCTTAATTTTTGTGCCTAATGCTTGGTAGGTTAATAAACTTTTTTTAAATAAGAATAATTTATATCCCATAAGTGCGCTACGAAATCCGAGCTTTGATGACAACGCTGCCAGATAAATCGAATTTGACCAAGTGCCTAAATATCTGCTGGCTCTCGTTCTCTTTCTAGTGGTCTGGCAACTCTTTAACATTAGCATATCAGAGTTTTACAACACTGAACGTCACAGCTGTTTGGTTTAATCGATATTCACGACTGTTGATACAATCGATAGATCACGACAAACGTTTCGTTTAAAAACAAAAACACGTATACGCAATGCAAAAACATTTTGTTCATATTAAGCATACGAACGGTAGTACAATTAATTAATTAGATAAAAAGAGGCTGTTTTTCAAAACAAAGTACAAGTGAAAAAGAATAGGCAAATTTTAATTTAAATGTATGTTTATTTTCGCTGCTAGGTTGTGAAGATTAGAAATAAGTAAAAGGTGAACGCACGCATGATTATTTACATATATTTAAAAAGGATAAATAAATTACCTAAGTAATGAATTTTGTTTACCGTAAATACTTTTAAATCTTTTTATATGTAAAATTTTAAATTTATTAAATTCAATTTGTATTTTATATTTTGCAGAAAGAACAATGCGGCTTTTAGTCCTCCTAGCTTTATCAACCGATGCATCGGTTGACCATCGCGATGGTCCAAAAAATTTACACATTTGTTTATGTAATTGCACACAGTATAGAAAGATGTGAAACTTGCCGGGTGTAATTTATAGTTTAGAATTTCAAAAATTTTGAATGACAAGCGTTCTAAACTTTAAATGCGTTTTTCTTGAAACGACGTTTTTGAAAACTGCTGCCATCATAGAGTCGAGCTATAACTCAATCATCTTAAATGGGTACTTTCTACAATGTTAGAATTTAAAAGATAATTTTTTCACCCCAAAAAATTATTTATTTGCTCAAGTCAACGATATTTTGCTAATAATTGATATTTTTTAAGATCTTAAGTCATTGAAGGGGAAATATATTGGGCTTTCATAATCTTTTAAAGTTCTTGGAGTCACTCTTTGTGTCCCATTGTCCATTGTCTCATTATTTCTAAATTTTTTTTAAAATAAAAATATTAAAAAATCTTCAAATAAAGTTGAAAACTTAAATATTTATGTGGAAACAATTTCAAACATTCTACTAAGTACTTTCTTTATACAAAATTTCAAAAACTAATAATTATTTTGTGGATTTCACTGGTACAGCCCCTTAACGTTGATCTCGTCAAAAAGTCAAAAATTTGCAAACTACAAAACCGATTAAACGTGAAGTGCGCAAAAAAGCGGGCTTTGCCTTTTGTAATTACGCATTTAGCCTAATTTATTTACCAAGCGTACATAAGAAAAAATGACAAGTGCGATCAAAAGACCGTTTTTAAGAGAAAATCACCTTTAATGCGGAGCAAAGAGCGAGCGAGTCGAATGAAAGGGAGCGCCAGCGAGACACAAAAGCTAGATTTGGCAAACAAAACAGTTTGCGTTCGGTTTGCGTTCAGTTTGCTGAGAACCTCCATTCGAATCGGTCGTGTTTTTGTGCAGTGCGCTAGTGAATATAAAAAACCCCCAAAACAATATTATCAACCAAAAAAAGCGGCGGACCAAACAAACAAAAATACAGAGCATTGCCAAATAAATAATAAAGACAACAGAAACGGACAAACCGTCAATTGAAAACAAATAGTACAATGAAGTTTTATTTTTGGATCAGTTGGACTCTCGGCAAGTAAAGGTAAAGCCAAATCGAGTCCGAAACTATATATATATTCGTAATCTGCGTAGGCCAAGCGACCTAATTTCGGCGCTAAGTATTTCCCCTGGCTTTGTGCCTTTTCTTGCTGGTTTTTTTCACTCTGGTTATTTCTTTCTGGCCCGGCCAATATGGGCAATTTGTGCTGCAATTGCGAAAGATGGAATTTCATTCGCTGCTTCCTTTTATGGAAATAAGTGATAAACCGACCAGTCTGAGTGGTCTGCACATGAGCTATGGTTTTGGCCGTAGCTTTAGCTTCAGCTTTGATATAGCTGTGATATAACTGACGAATCGGTCAAATGCACTTGCATAAATGCACGTGTTGGCGGTTTTTTTTTCGCTTTTGTTTTTCTGCCAAATAATGGAAAAATCTGATTTCCTTTGCGGTCGCCGTCGCGACGCGTCGTTTACCTAACAGCTTTCCATTCTGACGCCCACGGGATAATTTAATTATTGTATGTCTGCATTTAGTCGCCCAGACCGACACTTCATTTGCTTGCACTTGAATACAGATGTGGACAACTAAATAATTATCTTCATGAAATAGTTAAAACAAATCTTTTAAAAAACTTGAACTAATAATAACAATTCTATCAAAAAACTTGAACTAATTAATAATAACAAGTATTGGTTATATTTACATTTTTATTATGTTTATTAGTTTATTTTGTTTTAAGTATTTCTATATACATTTTAAGTGCTCAACTTATTCAATAATTCAGTCACAATTATTGTATTATTATTATTTATTAACAATTATTTTTGATTTATACGGATAGGCAGTACTATGAATTATTACAAATTTAAGTGGCATACGAGTTCGTTCCATTTCAAAAGGCTATTGCTAAAATATTTCTAATATTCATTACACGTTTTACAACATTTTAAAATTTTAAGGGAACGCATGGCTATGCAAAAGCAATAAAAGAAAAGAATATATTTCACAACAATTGGAAAGAGCGGAAGCAAGGAAAGGAAAAACACCAAATGGCCAATTCAGCTTTATTATTTTGGCCCAAACTGTGTGCATCGGTTGGCTCACATGTGCCTTTCCTTGTGTGTGGTATCAAAACTGAAGAGTTATCAGGCAATCAGTTTTGGCATATGTTATAACACACTTATCGTGCGAATCGAAGAAAACAACGCAGGTAGCGTGTTTGGGCAGTAATCAGAGTGTACTTGGCAACTTTATTACAACTTCGGTTGGAAACCAAAAAACTTTTAGATTGGTATCTTATAGGCAGGCAAAAAAACCAGATGCGAATTGAAACTGCGACGTTATAACTTTTGTCAGAGAAAAAAATAGATAGCTAAAACAGATAAGAAAAAAATGCATTTCTAACTAATCCTCAGTTGAACAAAACCAAAATAAAATATGCCAAAGAAATGTAAATTAAATTTTTACAGTTTATACTAAAAGCTTTAATTGTAAGCTTTGTTGATTATATGAAATGTTTGTTTAAGAAATAGGTGATATACCTTCAAATAACTCATTGTCTCATATTTAAATAAGATTAGATAAGGGTGCATCACCACAGTCCTAAATTGTATTTAAGGGCAGTAAAGTCGCAGTTGTAAGGCAGTTTCTTTTTGACCATTCAAAGGTTTTATTTATGTACATATACAAATCATTACTTGCAAAGCATTGTGAAATTGAACATGTCACGTATCATATTCTTTGTTTTGATACATTTTAACCATTTAATTTTAAATAATTAAAACTGACTAGGGAAAATGCGTTAATACTCAATACATTTAAATAAATTAATTTCCTGCCATAAAACTCGGCCTTAAACAGTCTAAATAATGTCTAATTTATGTTTTCTTGTACTTTCAGAGACTCTGTGTGGCTGAAGTAAACAAAAAGAAAGAAAACAATTTTCTAAAAATTTCACAACAAATTAAATATATATATAGATATATATATATACCTAATCAATTTTTGGACTTTGATCAAATTGCTCACGTAAGATGGACAAGTTAATAATACTTGGCTTATTCCTATGGACTCTTCAATCTTTGGGTGAGTAAATTATGCCGAAATTAGTATATTAATGAAGTGATTCACAGCCATCGGATAATTCAGATGTTACGAATGTGTTTACTTTGACTCTATTGAGATACTTTCCATTAAAGAAAAACAGAAGTCGAAAGCCTACGTCACTTCAGCGGCATCACGGGGCTATATATATCGTGCCGATCTTTCTCATGACGTGTCGAAATGTATATATAGCTACGATTTTGGCCATATGCCATGCGGATCCCCGTTCTTCTATATTTTAGCATACCGACTTTTTGTTTTGCTTATTTCTTTACTACCTAAAACACATGTTGCCGCGCCAATTTCGTGGTTTCTGCTTTTGTTCTTTTTTGTTTTGTTTATGAGCTTCATTGATAATTCAAATGGCAGTGTATCATCTGAGTGTGTGTATTTTCGGTTGTATTTTCGGTTGTATTTTTGATTTTGTTTTTTTTTGTTTGTTTTTTTTTTATTTATTTCGCATTTTTGGGGCATTTCTCAAAATATTGTTTATTTTTATTTGATTCGTTTTTGTTTGGCTTTCGCTGGCGTATGTTTTTCTATGAACCGAACTGACCTTGATAGTGGATATCGAAGGGCATGGGCAATCTTTTGTTTAAACAATATTACCTGAAGTGCGTCACTACATTTTGTGGGGGGATCCAAATTGAAAACGTTTTTACTGGCAAACAACAAAGTTCTTAAAGGCAAAATGCGTTTTACAAATTGCGAAATGGAAAATATATTTACTTTTTATGTTCTATGAATGATTTAGAACTAAGTTGCTATAATTCCAAAATTGTCAATTAGTTTGCTTATTGTTTGCTTATTACTGAATTGCTATAATTCCAAAATTGTCATTTAGTTCGTTTTTCGAAAACCAAATCCTTTTGTAGAACAAAAAAATGTTCAGTCAGTTCATTTCTGCAAGTACACATTGATTACTATAAACTATGTATAAAAATATAAATAATAAAAGACATGGTAAGATTATTTTTTTTGCAAATAGAAATCTGCAAATACGCAAAAGTAGATAACACTTATCGCAAAAACATGAAAATATATTTTAAGGCCCCATTTATTTCCCCCATTGACTTAGTGATTAATGCTGAAAATAGTTGGGGTGCATTTTCCGCTTATTCACCCGATATATAGTATTTCATTGCTAGACAAACTTACCTTAGATATCGGTGGAAACATGTGTTAATCTACGGAAATCTAATGAACTTAACCTTGAGTGCGGTGTGGAGTGGAGTCTTGATTTTTATAGAAAGCCCAAATGTGGCAACGCACACTTTTGTGTGGAATTCCATCTTAATCTGCGCTCTTATCAAATTGGTGACAAACGACAGATAGTCTATTGTAGAGCGTGTTTGTTACGTATACAAACACACAGACATAGGGAGTCCAACTGCCAGTTGTTGTTGGCGTGTTTGCCCAACAAATTCCATCCAGATGAATACGATAAGTGAACTTAGAACAGCCAGAACAAAGGCAAGTTGCCACTAGGTTTTAGCCGTTTTCCCCGGGCCATAAAGAAAAATAACTCTCTTAGGCAGGCCAGCCCCTTGAATATTATTCCATTACCTGATGAAATCGTAATCCGCTTTTCGTGCAACGAATTTCCACCAGTAGGATGATTGCACTTTGGAGAAAACTATAAATAAAGTCATTTTAACAATGTGGTTATAATTTCTATTATATCAGCAAACATTTGATATAGCAAAATACGTTAAAGCTTTGTTTAACTTTTACCTTTTATGTACATATACATATAAATGCAGAAACAATTGCTAATAAATATAAATCATTTATTATAAAGGCGAATTTGAATTTCTTGGTGTTTAATTTGCATTTATTAAACTTTTTTATTTGACATTTGTAAATCTGCTAGAAGTATTCTTAGAAAAATATTTTAAAAAAGATATAGTTTTTGTGAATATTGTTTGGTTTTTAAATGAAGAATTTCCGTAGAAAAATTTGTTCCGAGTGCACTTGCTTTTTGGCTAACCCCTTAGAAATGTGCTTGCTGACTAACCCACTAAGTGAGCTATTTAGACTCTGGACTCCCCTCTTTCGGTTACTAGGGGTGGCTTCAATATTTTGGCCTAGAATTCCCCGACTTTACCGGTTTGGGTTATGTCACCGTACTCCCACCATTCCAAACTTCGTTGTGGCAAATGCAAATGCGAATGCGAATGAAAATGGATGTGAAAATGGCTGGCCGGAAACACTTTCCTTTTTGTTTTTATGGCTGGCCTTGACAAAGGTTTTCCTTCGGCTCAAGTCAATATACATTTGGCTAGAGTTTCTTTGCCATGGCAAAAATATTGATGACGAATTCAGACGTCAATAAATGATAAATAGACTTTGCTCACTTGACTTTTCGCGGTGTGAGAAGGAATTTATCAGGGGCAATTCTCAAAAGAAAGAAAAAGATTCTGTGACCATGACATTGCAGACTGTACGAGTGAAAGGCTTGTGTATTAATACTTTGTTTTGTTTTTTTTGGGGGGCTCTTGATAAACACTGTTCTATTTATGCTCTGCTAAATATCTTTTGTGGGCAGACTCACGTCATTTCTTAATTTGATTGGCCGGCACTCGAATAGGGGCCTGAGCTTTCTTAATCTATTATTTTTCTGCACTCGCATTATCAACAAGTTAGTCTGCTTATAATATATACAAAAGAGGGTGGTGGGCACTCAAGCTAAAGGATACTCTTTTTTCTACTGTTTCTTTTCGTAAAGCTTACAATTTAAAATAAATTAATAATGATAATTGCAAATTTTAATAAAAACAAATTTAAAATGCCAATTGTATAATGCTTTTCATGATTAAATTTAAATGCTGGCTGCATCTAGTTTATAATAATAATTAAGTTTTAAGCACGTATAAAAGTCAAAAAACCAATTCACACTTTATAAAAACCAATTAATTATTTTGTTCGTTTAATCTGATTTCTGACACTTTTTTAAGCTTTTAAATTATATTTAAAGCCAATCGTTATTAATGTTTTATTAACAATGAAGTGCAGAAACCACTTTGTATAAACTTATTTATTTCTTTTAATCTGATTTCTGGTACAAGCCAGAGCTCATTTGTGTTCATGTTTAATTAACAGTGAAGTGCAGAAATCAGTCAACCAGTTTGATGCCAAATTCCTCAGCCATGATTCATGAAGCATTGTGCCGAAATGTGGAGCATAAAAATTTGAAAGTCATGGCAGTGAAATTTTTCGGTGGAAAAGCAGTATCTCAGGGTTCGAGGGTAAAAATAGATATTCATTGGATATCCACAAGGCATTTCCACCTCAAACCGAATGCCCCAGATAGGCGTCTAATCTGAACGTGTACCAGGCATAAATCCCATGCCAAAGCCATTAGTCACTGCCACCGACTTAGTCATGGCAACGCATAAATATATATTGAGGAGTATATTTGCCCCTGGTTAATGTACTTTTCTTTTTTTTTTTTGTATGCTTTATTGAAATATTTCTCTTTACGATCGTCTCATCACCTCGGCATCCACACTGGCCAATATTCCTGCTCAGCTGGAAGATCAATTTCGTGTTGAACTTCATGTCCGGCATGTAGGCCGGAAAGTGATCCGGATTGAGGGCAAATCGTGTGGACGTATAGTTGACATACTGCGGATGGAGATACGGAACCTGTTAGCGAATGAAAATGATATTCGGAAATCGATTTGGGTTTCATTCAAACTTTCGTTTCGTCGAAACCGCTTTGGTTTTTCTGGTAATGCGCAATTGATGTGTTTATTCGTATACATGCTTATTTATTTCATTTGTTTATTTTCCGTTTTTTAATGATAGCAGCGTATTTTCGAACAATCGTATAGATAGCTCTGTTTATTTGCGAGAACATTTGACTAATTTGTTGCTCTATTTACGCGCAGCTCGTAAAGATAAAGATTACGGGAAATTTTCATCGGATTTTGAGTAGGTCAGAAATTTGTATAATTAGGTTTCAAGTTCTTTTATAGGGTTTGACTTCTAGTTTCTGTTACCATAAAATTTTAAAAGTTATTAACTATAAATCGCGAATATTAGAAATATGTTTTGTAATTATAGATATGTTTTCTATTAATTCCAATAGCCACATATGTAGTACTATAACAAAGGTCTGGCTAATGTTATACAAAATTTAATTTTTGATAATAAATTGCGCATTTAACTATTTCAATTGGGTCTTTTCGCAAATAATAGCAATTTTTATGGTTTGATTTGAAGCCCTAAAAGGTTAAATTCAGTACAAAAGCCTGAGGTTAACGTATTATTTCTTAAGACCAGAAAAACTAGTTATAACTCGGTGGCAATAAAAGTCATGAGTTTGAGTTTGAAATGCATCGCCCGAGAATCTATCCATCAGTGATTTGCATATTCCACTGCAACGTGATTTGATTTACCAATAATGATTTATTCAGTAGTAATATATTTCAGTTAGTAATAGATTTATCAGTGGCAGTAGCTTTTTGAGGACGGCACTTCCGATGCGATTTTTGCTACGAAAACCGATCAGGTTACAGCCATTCAAACGAATTTTAAAAAATTGCTGAAGAAAACAATCTGACCCCCACTCAGTTCCACCCACATTTTTTGGACAGGTCAGCGCAGCAGGAGCCAGGTGTATAGGAAATTTCCCTGCTTCTTTGGCATCTCCACAATATCGCACTTAAAGACCTCGGCAGTCGTGGGGTCGTTGACCGAACAGTTGATGTCCCGCCAACGGATCTCGAAATTGCGCTACAAGTGGGTGAGCCCATTAAATAAATGCGCATCATATGCTGAATCTATAAACCTGTAGTCTTAGTCACGGCATCTACTTTTAGCGGAGAAAACCCAAAACTGCATCTTATTTACATATATTATATTTAAAGGAATAAGAATATATTTTTTGTCAGGTAATTTTTTTATTGCATTCTAATTGGGGAATGCGTTTTATATGTACGCATTTCTATTGATATTTTTGTCGCACTTTTTTAACACTTATCAATTAATAAATTTCAAGAAATAAATCTCAAGAAAAAAAATCTTTATTAAAATGTTGGTATTTGTTTTCAATATCTTTGTTGTAAAATTCACATCTGTTACGAACTGTTGCAGTACTCGGCAGCATAATAATCCCAGCAGAAAGGCGTCAGTCATCGTTTTAACTGTGGCCATCGAAAGACAACACATTGCGGTCCCAATGCAGTAATTATTAAAAACTAATTATTTTTATTTTGTATACAAAACATATAAATTGAATATCGGCGCACATCTGTTTGCTTGCTCTCGTTTCGCCTTTATTTTTGGTAGGGAGGGGACTGGATATGGAGGGTGTTTGTCATCAATCAGACATTTTACGCTGTGCCGTATAATTTAATTGTAATTGTGCAATTTGTACAAAATAACCACCGCGGGACACACATCCCCCCCATTAAAATTCATGGCAGGTCTGTTTTTTTGTTTTCATTTTTGCATATTAAATAATTTACGAAGTCGTGTCGCGGTTGCTTATATTGCCTTGTTTGTTTATTTATCCAGAAAGAGAAATGTGAATTTGATTATTCTAAATATTTATTGAATTGCTAAAATATGTTCGCCGTATTTTAACAAATATTAATTTAACAAAAAATGGGCAATCTCCAAATGACGTACTGAATTGTTTACAAAGACTTTACAAAGATTTATTTTTGATCATTTTTGTTAAATATAACATTTTTATTTAAGAAAACTGTTGTTGATGGAGAAGATCTTATACGATGTTTATTATATAAATAATTTAAAATCTTTCAAAGTGAAACATATTGAAATAATTCCAAAAGTCAATTTCGAGCCGCTTAATTAAAAAGCTTGTGTATAAATATTGTTGTTGTATTTATATTTTAGCATTTATAATTTTGTTTTAAAATTGAAAATAAAGTTATAGTTTAACAATTTTTATATGAGCTCATCCTTTTTTATTAATATTCCCAACCAATTAATTAATAACCTTTTATTTACGTAAAAGAAAGGGCAACTGAATTGAGTTGCGACACGCATTAGTTAATTTTGTGTGCCATTTGGCGTGCTTACCTTTCCCATATGGTTGACTACAGTTTGCACTTATAATTAATGATGTGCGGTTGAATATATAATATTTGCCTAGTGTATGGTAGCCCCACTACTATAATTGATCTATAATTAAGATAAGGTTTACTACGCCTGTCGCCGCCGGCTTAAACGGGCCAAAAAAAAGTAAAAAATAGAAAGCGTCGAGCGTACAAAAATGTTTTGTTTACGCAATTCTAACGAATTAGTTGGCCATTTATAAACTTTGGTCTCCAGCTGGAGAAGTTATTCATAGAGTACAGGGTATAGCAAATGGTGGAATTATTAGTAAAAGGATGGAGCGTTAATGTGGCCGGCTAATGATAATGCCAACCGTGAAGTGAACTGAACAATCGGCAAACTCTCTTAATTGGTAGCAATGCGGAAAGCAACCAAATCTAGAGTGACGAACGATTATTTGCTCTACATGCTAGCGATTAAATTAAATCGCATAAATTACGCTGGCTTAGGACGTATGAGAGACGTTGGCAAAAAAGATTGATTGCTTTTCTTCTCAAGAATGAAACAAGTTCTGAAAATATAGTACTGATTACCGCAGGTCTGATGTCACATTTTTTCGGCATGCTATACATGGATTATATTGCCGTTTAATTCGGGTGTGATTAAATCACATCTGTCATCGTTTATTTCCATTTTGAAAGCTTTAGTTTACGATCACAAAATTCAATGAGAGTACTCGAAATACAGTTCAGCTAATAAAACAACTAACACGTTAAATGAAATTACTTTATTTAATTAATCATACATGGTTGGGTGATTTTACTAAATGGGACTTTACACAAAAATAAATATGATGGGTTTGCATTTTGATTGAGTGATTCTTTTTACATTTACTTACCTTTAAATTTTTTCAATGGTTTTCATATTGTTAAATATTTTTACCTAAAACTAACTAAAAAAGCAAGATATTAATGTTTATTAAAAGATTAAAGACTCTAGCATCAACAGTTTCTTGTGTTACTGATCCTTTTAACTCCATAAGCATCTCATTAAACTTCAAGATTACTTTCATTAAAAGGTAACACTTCTTATAAAGGAGTGTAAATTAAATTCCAATTCTAAATATTTTCTTTTGTTGAATCAGTGATAGATAAACTTTGAAGTGCTCATCCCAGATTAAATCACCACTTTCACGTGACTCACATTTGTGCATCACTGTGATTCATTGCTAGTAAATCACAGTTTAGCAAATTGCTGTCTTCCTGGTTTTCGGGTTACTTAAGTCACCGTTTTATGACTTCCATAATGACCAAGAGTTCGCTTAAAATGTCATAAAATGTACGAATATATGATAATTCCCGACAGAAAATTAGATTCGCCATCAGCAAATTATCAAAGAGACACTTTTTCAATGTTCACGGTGATTGACGTGAATGGGTAAAGCAGAAATATGCACAAAAAATGGTAAAAATAAATAGTTTGTAGTTTTGTTTTTTTTTTTTGGCTTCGAGGGAACTTGAACATCGTCTAATTACTCCATCAACTATTTGGTCTTTGTCGCTTGTAATGGCTAACATCTTGGGCCGACCTTTTAGATAGTAGTTAAAAGTAGACATCGACCTCGTACCCTCAGTTTTTTTTTTTTTTTTAGTATTTTGTCGTGTAATGTTCGTTTTGTTTGGTTTAAGTAACTTTGCATGTCAACGAGCGTGTCAGGAAAAAAAACTAAATGCGAAACGAAAATAAGCGACTGCTAATTGTACTGGAATTTATTTCGCCGTATCTGTATCTGGTTTTTGTGAGCTGCTCCTCAGCCTCTGTGCTCCTCGCGTTGCCTGAATTGCATTTTTGCATGCCGGCCTTCGGCTGTAGATCAATCAAAAAGAAATATGGATCGCCTCGTTCGCAGCTTCAAAGTATCCGTATCTGCACATCGGTGTATCTGTGCTTGTATCTGCATCTGTATCTGTATGGGTATCTGTATCCGTATCGGTGGCCAGAGACCGGTGACGTAAGTGGGCAGTAGCAGCACTTCTGCTGGTGCTCCCCTATACAATCATTATAATCGCAACCCATAATGATCATCGTCGTCGCCAGAGATCTCCGCTAATGAGCCCCGACCCATTTATGAGGCGGATATGTGCTTAGGTAATTTGCATCGAATTTTTATAACCTTTGGAACCTGGAAACCTTCTTCAACGCCCCACCGTCTCATGTCTCTTGTTTATTCCCTTTTTTTATTTTTGCTGACCCATGGCGATAAAAAAAAAAATTACCACTATCCATTCGGGTCAATAAACCCGCAGTGCAAAGCAACCAACAAAAATATATTTTAACAAATAAATGAATAACCAGAGAGAAGAAAGCAATATAGCTTGCACATGGGCAATTTATTGTGTAGCTAAGCATTTTACTATTTAGAAAAACAATTTTAAACAGAATTTTGATTCAGAATGAAGTTGAGTTATTATTGTTGAACGTTGCAAAGTTATTACCTGGAAAATCTTTGAAATGGTTGTGCATTAAAATGTGTTTGCATTAAATTGTCAGGAAAGTAATTTAATTGAGAATATATTCAAAAAATTATTTTTCTTTCATTTCATGACTGTCAACATTTCTGGTTATTAATAGAAAGCAAATTGACAAACAAAATTTCAAGGTATTTCAAAAATTTCTATTGATCCCAGCACGCACAGTTCCCTGACATTTTCAGCGCCCTTCTATGCGCTTCTCAATCAATCGAGTACGGTCACGCACACATAACTACACATATGAATAATTGCCCCGTCTGCTTGCTGTCATATAGATCGCTACGACCTGATAGCCGAAGAATAAAGCCACAACAACGAAAGCAACAACTTATATCTATTTTAAATTACGTTCAATTAAATGCGCTTCACCTACAAAGTCTGCGACAGTGTGACGTCAATATCGAAAATAATTGATAACCTTCGATCACAATCGGGAAGAGCTTGTAACAAGTTTAGATGCGACGCATTTTTGTAACCAACTTTACCACACCAAATTGATAATATCAGCGATTGGGGCTATGTTGATTCAATGAAGCGATCGATCCGAACCGATTCAAAATGGGAGGGCTTCAAATATTTCGGGCTTGTTTTGCAGTGCAATTGTATATCTTTTTGTCTTGGCATTGTTATTGTACTTTGCCATTCCCATTTTTATCACTCCGCCTCCTTCCTCCCCCTTTCATACATAATTCAATGATAAAATGTCAAAAATCAATAACAATAAATAAATGATAAACGAGAGTGTGACTCCCGTACTTTGTATTCCACCAAAAATAAATTTCGTTTTGTTTGTTTTGATTGGGTTTCTGTTTGCTTGGAGAAATTTCCTAATAGTGTGCCTAATCAAATTGCCATTTTTATAAATTTACCTATAAATGTATTGAACAAGTCATGGCTATATGGTGCGCAGGGTGGAATGTGATTTTTAATATCGATCGATTTACTAATATTGAACTTGAAGGGCATTAAAATCAGATCGGAATTTTGGGATCACCTTGGGGTATCGAATTTCTGTTTTGACCGGCAAAATATTCACTTTTGATGCTGATTAATTAGGTTTTCAATTTAAATTTAAGGACTTGCTTGTGACCTTTTATCGTTGGCCTGTGAGTCAAGTGAATCGTTTAAATTTATTATTTCAAACGGTGATCAAATAAAATGTTTGCTTTTAGATTTGTTATATGTGCCTCAAGGCTAGGCTCAAGATTATAAACTTAATCCTCTGAACCTATATATTTTATAATTTAAGTTGAATAATTTAAACAATTGTCGATCAAGACCTAACAATATACCGAGTTTTACAAAGTTCTAATTTTATTGATAAAAAAAAGTAGCAACCTAAAAACGCAAAAATATTTATACCAAGTTACCTTAAGGTGTGATTATACTTGCTTACGTCTATCTTTATATTGACCTAGTATACTAATTAAGCATAAAATTGTTACAAACGATTCCTTTTTCTTTTGTTTCAGCTCTGCCAATCATTGATCCAGATGACTCCCTAACAGAAATGTGCCTGCCTTGTCAAAAGGATTGGGATTGGCCCACTTGCGACAAAGTGGTCGTTGAGGTGGAAAGGGGAAATGGAATGCCTGGGACGTGTTGTCCTCGATACGAGTGCCGCGATGAGGAACCCGTCTGCAATGGGTCGAAATTGAGGTTCTACAAGAACAAGTGCACTCTGTGTGATCCCTGCGAACCGCATGCCGTGCAATGCAAGGAAATCTGTCAATTGGAAGAGCCCTTAGCGAACTGTTTAACCGATGACGAGGAGTACAAACAAGAGGGAGAAATTTGGACTGAGAACAATGGCTGTACAACCTGCACTTGCCTAGGTGAAAAAACCTCATGCGAAACATACCAATGCAATCAAGTTGAATGCAGTAATCCCATCTCGATCGAAGGAGAATGCTGTTTAATTTGTCCCGACGAACTGGATGAGAATGGCTTATATTATGGTCGTTTACCATTGGGTGGCACAACCAAGGGTCCTAAAATTCTGGAGGGAGAATCTTCCTATCCAAAAAATAGCTTCGATACAACAACTCAAAGTTCGACCAGCAATCCGGCTATAAACGAATCCAGTTTAGTCTATAACTTCACTAGTCCAACTGAAAGTACCACACTCACTCCGGTAACAAGCGAATTCTTCAGTACAGATATTGTTTCCTCCGAAACACCGGATCTCAAAAACACATCAGATGACGTGGATATTTCTAGCTCCGATTCTACAACAGAGAACACCACAAATCCCACCACATCAAGCGATTTAAAATCTTACACTGACTCAAGCACTTCGATTGAGTCGTCCACTTCAACGGATGATCATGTTCCAAAAACCGATGTTGAAGCTGAGACCACCAAGGGAAATATAGATGATAAGACCACAGAGATTTTGTTAAATGATTTTGGTAACTTGGGCATGACCGATCATCCCATTGCCGCTCAGCCAGCAGCTGCAGCTGTGGCACCTGAATCCACCAGTCAGGTCAAGGTTACCAGCGATACGGAGGATCCCCTTTCAGAATCCACACCCAAAACATATGCTGTTGTGCCCCAGGAGCAAAACAAATCCAATTTCTTATGGGCTTTAATTTTTCCTTTGATTATTTGTCTGGGATTGTCATTGAGTTATACTTTCTGGAAGTTTTGCTGTTTAAATAGCAAACATGACAAATTTCATATGTCAACAAAAAAAAATGATTCTAGAGAAATCGAAGCATTAGTTGTGATTCCTGTGCAGACAAAATCATAGTATCAATTCCATATTGCCATCGCAGTTTATAATATTATATTTAAAAAGTAAAAAAAAAAAAAACTAGTTTCTTGACATGCCACAGATGAAAACTATTTAAATACGTAATATTTTCTCTGTGTGATTTCCATCCTCTGGCAGACTGATTTTTGATCTTTAAAAACTTTCATCTAGTTCCGACTAGGGAAAGTTATACCAAAATAGTGGAAGAAGTCTGCATGTTAATAATATTTAGGAAAATAAACTAACGTCGCCGTCAGTCAGGAAAGAATTTTATATTGTTTTAACAGAATTTAAGGACAATCCACAGACATTGAAAGCAGCCGAGCCTATCGATCAATAATGACTCTTGCCGGCAAATTAACTATACTTCATGCATTAATATACATCTTGATCTTAAGACCTTGCTCAAATTAATATGTGAAACGATTAGATTAAGCAGTAAGACAACCTACGTTAATGTGATAGATTTAAATAGCAAAAGCGAGGAAACACAAAAATAATTGTAATTGGAAAGTATTAGTAGGAGACTCTTTAGTTTGATTGTAAATTAAAATTACCGTGTGACCAGAATTGTAGCATTAGAGTGATTTAATATCAAACACGCACTCATTCAATATTAAATTATTATACGTACTAGAGCCCTGGAATCAAAGAGTCGATCAAGCATATTATTTTCGCGACAATTTTGGACACCTGACGTGCTTCAGTTCAAGAAACAAAAAGCTGTAAGCTGAACTATTTGCATTGAAAATATCAAACGGCTCTTCGACCAGAGGCTCTATTAAGTTCCCTGAACGCGCATCAACTACATTCATTCCTTTAAACCCATTTTATTGTTATATTTAAGACATTAAAACCATAAAAAAAATAAAGCGAAAGAAACCAAAGGAAAATAACAATAAAAAAAAGAGTGTTATTTCAGCAGAACTATTTATTCCATTTTTGGAGACAGCCTGAGCTATTCTTGCGTATAATTGCTATAATCCTGTGTGTACCTATAGTAAACATGGATATTTTCGAATTGATGTACATATGTACATACCTTTAGATATTTATAGCAAAATCAGTTCCTATCTTATATTAAAATTCATAACCCTATTGATTCATACACAAAATTGAAAACAGTTTGTTATATTTAAAAGTTATTTTCATCTTTTTATCCTCAAAGCTTGCGGTTTTTAGTTTCTTATTTCCCTTAAAGTTGTTATACAAAAAACTCATATTTTTAAAATTTTAACAAAAGAATTTGTAATTTTGTAAAATGTATTTAGTTTACCGAAATCAACTTAAGTTTCTCAACTATATTTCTCATGACCTCCGCCGTCGTTGAGTCCGGTAGCTGATCCAAAACGGATGCAGTCGTGCCCGCCAAAACGCCCACTCGTGGATCTATGGGCAGAGTTCCGAGATGAGGCACCTCCGTGTAAGTGGCCAGTTCAGCGCCGCCGTTCGAGGAGAAGATGTTGGTGCATGAGGTGCAATGGGGGCACACGAACCTGGGGAAATCAAATAAAAGATAATTTAGTCAAACATCAGATGAATTATCACCTGGTTCAAGCCCACAGGTGTTGCCCCGCTCTAAACTTGACACGCAGACGTCCAATTAATTATCTATATTTGCATTTTCAATTAGTAAGCATTTAGCTACAGTGGAACTTCTTAGCTCGAAAAATTGAAAATAGGAAATGAAGTTAGAATTCTGTCTAAAGTTCAAGTTCTTGACAGAACCAAAAAATAGTAATTTAAATTGAATATATTGTTGAAATCGCATTTTTATGTTTTACAATTGAAAAACTAAAGATTTTGAATTATAATTAATTGATTCTACCTCTTAAGCTATACTTTTATTATATATTTGAACAGTGTGAGGTCAGGAAGCAACTTACCCACTCATATTTTCGACAATACCGATGATTTTGATACCGGTTTTCTTGCAGAAGGTTATCTCCTTGCGCACGTCATCCAAAGCCACCTCCTGCGGAGTGGTCACAATGATGGCTCCATGGCATCCAACCTCCTTCAGGCACTCCATCACGGTGATGTGCTCGTCCGAAGTTCCGGGCGGAGTATCTATGATTAGGTAGTCCAGATCCTCCCATTTCACATCAGTGAGGAATTGCCGGATCATCATGGTCTTCTTGGGACCGCGCCAAATGACCGGATCCTCACGGTTCTTCAGAAGGAATCCAATGGACATCACGGCCAAACTTTTGTTGTTATCCGTATAGATGGGAACCCAGCCTTCGTCGCACTGAAATATATCACGTCCTTCCAATCCCAATAGATACGGCACACTGGGTCCACACAGATCTATGTCCAGAAGACCAACCTAGTCAAGTAGATAAATATCTTTAAAATCCTGTGTGATGTTTTTGTGGTGAAATTGATTTGCTCACTTTAAATCCATTGCTTCGCAGAGCCAGTGCTAATTGAGTACTGACTGTCGATTTTCCAACTCCTCCTTTTCCGGAAAGCACTACGATAACATTTTTTACCTTTTCCAGCATTTTAATGCGTTATATTTTAAGTAAATTAAGAAATCAATACAAAATCGTGCACAGCTTATTGGTCAACAAGTGCCATCAGCTGTTCCAGGGCTGCGGTAATTACATATGGGGTGTTCCGTTTTTAAATAATCATAATTAAATATCCTCAATTGATTTTAATCATCTTTTTCTAGCATTGATTAATTATTATTAATATGATGTTTATTTTATATTAATAATATATTGTTAATTTATCTTTTAAACAAGTTTATTTTTTCATTTAATTTATTATTTACTTTAAAATATATATATATATATATAGTTAAAATATATAAATATTAATTGAAACAATACATTTGCTTATGTCGCGCAATAATTTATGAATTTAAATAGTTTGTTTATTGTTAGCGTTAAATAAAATAAACAATTTTTTACAGATAAGTGAAAAGTCAACTAGAACACCCTCCATATTCCGGACGTTGTCTGGCAACGCTTTGTTATCAAGACCCAAATACTGCTCATCCGGCAACGCCGCGCCGCCGGCAAGTGTCGATTTTTATTGGTCCAAGTCGCGCGCAGCATGTTAATTGACAACAACGGACGGTAGCTGGCGAATGATAAAATAAACGTGCGCCGATCGAACGTGAATCGAGGATCTAGGACCCGCACATCCGCATTAGCAGCCGTGGTTTTCCGTTCCGGGCGCCGCAGAAACCGCACCGAGGAACCCAAAAAGTGGGGGCTTGGAATCGAATCGAATGTTGCGCAACCTTCAGTCCCCGCATGTACTTGGCCACCGAACCGATTCCGATTCCGAACCACCAACAACCTAACAACCACATCACGCCACCGTTATAGCCATCCACTAACATCTGATAATCGAACCTAGTTAGGCGATGAAGAAGCGTTCCAATTCACGTGGCACCCCCACCTCGTCCGGCGATGTGGTGTCCTCCTCCGCCGGCGATGCCGATGTGGATCATCCCGCCTTTGGCAGATCGGGGGCGGCCAGTGCACCGGCCACGCCCACCAAGCGACGGGATGGCAGCGACGGAAGTGGCAGCAGTGCGGGCGCCAGGCGGAAGCGAAAGGATGAGATTGCCCAGACATTTGTGATCGTTAACGAACGTCCCGTGGACGACATTTCACTGGACTTCTTCTACAAGCCACATACCATCACCCTGCTGGCTGTTTCCGTGCTAGCCGTCATGTACTTTGCATTTGTCAGGTGAGATGCGGGTCCACAAATCCACAAATCTATATGTTGGCATACTAGGAACTGTCTCAAAAGATCCCATGTCCTTTTGGAAAGCCCATTTTAATTATAAACTGCATTCCAAACCGAGTTTTCAAATGTTACGTATGTATGACTTACCCACAGATGACTTAGTTAATATACACAAAAAAAAAACTCGAGGATTACAATTATAATATGTTATAATATTTAGTATATAGCATTGCTTTATGCAAGCTTATTTTTTATTTGACCCCAAAGTACCTTGCCTTTGACAGGTGAGATTAGCGGTATAAAATCTGTTATTTCTATAGATCTGTGAATTAACCCTAGTAAAATCAGGTAAACAAGTTTTCAAAAATATATTGCAATCACTGTATGACAGGCACTTGGTTTAGTTATTTTAAAATATAAGTCAGAAGTATCCATATTTATATGAATAAGTCAATATTCTTTAAAGGAAATGATATGGCCTACCTTCAATGATAGGCATATTCGGCTTATGGTACTCAATTTGTTACCCATATCAGTATTATATAAAAAAGTAACATATTATCGAATATATTTCACATATACAGAATTTAATTTAATTTTTCTTATTAGTGGCAGTTAGTTACATATAAGTTAGTTACATAAGAGAATTTAAAAAAAAGAGCTTTAAACTTAATTGATACGATCCAAAAATCTGTTAAATAATATTTACATAACTAGCGCCTAAATTTTTTTCCTCAATACATAGCCATAATTCTGCTCAAAATTAAAGCTTCCATCCTAATTTATTTTAATCAATCGAGGCCTTTTTTCCCTTATCTCACAAGAACTTTAGAGCAAATCATTATTTTTAATCAAAAATCTGCACCACGTGCCGTCTTTTCACATCGAATAGTTGTTGTTTAGCGGGTTAAGCACTTAAAAATATCACACATACTTTGCCAAATGTGTCAACTCAGACAACCGAAGGTTCAAAAAACCAAAACAATATATATGCGCTATTCTAGCCTACACCATATAAAAGTAGATTCGACCAAAATACAGACGTAATGTACTTGAAGCTCAATTCAGCGTGTCATTGACCCCTAAACCGCATCGAAAAACGTGCTATGCTGATAAGGAATACTATGACTGAAATAGTATCGTCAATGGAATCCAAGATCATCAACTTAGCAATGCAATATCGTTTCAGAAACGAGGCGAACGTGGATGAGAATCTCTGGGCCGGCCTCCTCTGCATTGTGTTCTTCTTTCTGATCATCTCGGTGATTGCATTTCCCAATGGACCCTTCACACGACCACATCCCGCCGTCTGGCGGATACTGTTCGGATGTTCTGTACTGTACCTGCTGACGTTACAATTCCTGATGTTCCAAAACTACCCGACCATCAGGAGCATATTCTACTGGATAGATCCGAAGTTAAAGAACTTCCACATCGACATGGAGAAGGTAAGGATATATATATTTGTCACTGGGTTAAAAAGGTTTATTGGAATGGTTCATGTTGCTTCAAAAGAAATTATTATGTTTGACTGTAAGTTAAATTTGTTTTTAAGAACTATTCAGTTAAAATAGTTAAGATCTTGATAAGCCAAAGTAAAATAATACATTCTTATTTTGACCAAATTAATTTTATTGTTTTCTTAAAAGTTTAAAGATTTTGCATGATTTTAAAATAAAAAAAAATATTTTAAAAAAGGTACTGAAGAAATACAACAGCCTAATACCAAAACTAGTTTACTCACTTGAATTTATAAAACCTTTACGAATATATATGCTTACCGATATTCTTTCATATTTCTCAGGAATATGGCGTAAATTGCTCGGACATCAGTTGGGATCGCGTTAAAGGTCACTTGGACGTCTTCGCTTGGGGTCACTTCTTGGGCTGGGCCTTCAAGGCCATCCTGATCCGTCACATGGGCATTCTGTGGGCCATTTCGGTGATGTGGGAAATAACCGAGATCACGTTTGCTCATCTGCTGCCCAACTTCATCGAGTGCTGGTGGGATGCACTTATCTTAGATGTGATAGTCTGTAATGGACTGGGTATTTGGATGGGCCTTAAGATATGCCAGATCCTGGAGATGCGCGAGTACAAGTGGGCCAGCATTAAGGATATATCGACCACAACGGGCAAAATCAAGCGTGCCATGCTGCAGTTCACGCCGGAAAGTTGGTCCGCCATCCGCTGGCTGGATCCCAAGTCCACGGCGATGAGATTCGCCGCCGTCATCCAGCTGGTGATCTTCTGGCAGGTGACCGAGCTAAACACGTTCTTCTTGAAGCACATCTTCGAGATGCCGCCGGATCACTTTATTGTGATCGGTCGCCTCATATTCATCGGTCTATTTGTGGCGCCTTCGGTTAGGTAAGTTTGTTAAGTTTGCATTAAGAGACCACTAATTTAAATTTTAGTTTAATTCTCTTTTGAGTGATCAACCTGCAAAGTTTAACAAAAAAATCGGGAATGTTCTATCTTTGTTTACTATAGAATCATTTTTATTATTTATAATGCAAAGGCACTTTATCCTTTGCGGACTTTTCAAGTATTTAAATTGTTATCTAATTTAAATTTTGTAACTTTCAGGCAATACTACGTATATGTCACCGATACGCGCTGCAAGAGAGTCGGCACCCAGTGTTGGGTTTACGGCGCCATCATGGTCTCCGAAGCCATTCTGTGTATCAAGAATGGCAAGGAGTTGTTTGAGCGCACGCAAGCCATCAACATTGTCCTGTGGCTGACTATCCAAGTGATAATCTCGGTGGCATTTGTCTACGCAGCGGTTTATTGGCAGGCAAGATGTTACACTTTATTCGACACTCGAACTGCTTGCTAATTTTAATCTATAATTTTTCAGCAACGGCAGCTCAAAAAGGTTTCATCGACGCCTACGAAAAGCAAAGAAAGAAGTCCTGCCATCTCATCATCACCATCTAAAGGTATGTTTAGTCATTTTAAAACAGCAGGCAACAATAAATGGGATGATAAACTGTTTAAATTAAGAATCAGGAATCTTTCGAAATGGATATGTTAAGTCATATTTTGTTATTTTTAAGATGTATCTAATCACCAATTCAAAAGCTGCCTACAGAACCATAACCGGTTAATGCATGCATGCCTAATACAAAATATTACTAAAATTAATCCCCTTCAATGTTGTCTGCTTATTCACTAACTATCTTTTTGCACTCACTGACATACGTTAAAATTGGCTTAGTAAATGGTTAATCACACCGTTCTTTCAATTTTTTGCTCTCAATTTGAATTCTCCTTGCGTTTCTCCCTTTCTCTGTCTCTTTCTCCACTTCTCGTCGGATTGCATTGCCACAAAATAAATAGCACAAGTGCCAAGGAGTAAATCCATTGATGCACCCAGCCCTGCGCACTACGATATTAAAATTAAAATAGTCTAACCAATAATTGTTAGCTTTTATATCTGCAACTTTTAATCTAAAAATACTTTCATTTCATTTTTCTAGGTAAATTATCGCCGCAAAAAGAGAAGAAAGTAAAATAAGAACTTGTTAAAAACACTTGAAAGCTACAGAAACAAAGAGGATCAGGCCATTCGATAAAAGAAAAACCAAAACAAGAGAATTATGTACATACACTTAAAAAAAACTGTACTGATTAAATTAAATACATAAAATGTAAATATATATATATGTATAAAAGATATATATATATATTTATTAAAAAGACAAACCAAAAGAATACTTGTTAATAATCAAATACAAAGGAATTTCCATGTTCTAATGCTAGATTAATACAAACGATTTGATTGTCTTAGCTTAAATTACAAACCAATCTAGCTTTTCTCGAGTTATGTACAGAGACGCAATCTTTTTTAGACCTCCAAGAATGCGGACACGGTCTTTTTAACTGCGTCCCGGGCATAGGGGATGTACGACAGCGAGTACCAGGTCATGGCCAGAGATTGTATGATAATGAATATAAGCGTGAGTCCGGCCTTTTTCCACTAAAAACGAAAAACAAAGACAATCAAAATAAAATAACTTAAAATTTCAATTAATCAAATGTCGCATAATTTTTTCAATTTCAAATAAAAATTTAATTTTATGATGGATGTCGGCATTAAAACGTGTGGAGGAAATGAGTAGATTAGTTGTAAATTTGGAATGCTTAAAAAAAAGATTTGGACTTGGTGGAGCTATTAAATTTAAATTAAAATATTTGTTTGTATGAAATATAGTTTTTTACTATTTTGATAAATTGTTTTAATCTCTTAGTTCGTTGTTGAGCATTACTTAAGGAAAAAAAATTTAGCTCAGAGATATATATATAATTATTTTTTTTTATGTATAAAATGTTTAAAATAACTACTACTACTGACTACTTTAAATTCCATTCAAATTCCGTGCATTTTCTTAAATTGAAACTAAACCAATTATGCGAACTCTTAAACCAAACAAGTAATTAAAAGAATTAGCATGTTTTACCACAATGGCTGCTATGAACGTCAGGACCATCATCACGAGCACTACGATAGTGGCAATCAGCCGTGTTTCCGCAAACATTTTCTTGATTTGCTTGAAGGGTCCCATTAGGAAACAAGTACTGAAACCCGACAAGTGAAACTCATTAGTGGCCCTGTGTGAATATTTAATAAAAACCAATAACGCTCTTACCTGGCCATTGAGATGATATTTCCAAGCGTGTAGAAGACCGCAAAGACCACAATTCCCTTGTGCAAAAATAGTGCAACCGAACCAAGTAGGGATAGTAAAATGCCCAAGACAAAGCAGATGCAAAATCCCTTGATCCGGGTGGACCAACTCAAAGTGGACATGTCGTTAATCTGCGAAAATAATTAATTGCAATTTACTAAATGTACTGATAAGCGTTGAGTCACACAGCTTTAATCGCCATGTGATCATGGGGGCGTTTTCCAGGGGGCTCCAAAAACAGAAGAAATTCCGCGAATCCGGAATATTTATAAATATTCAGTGCTATTATCCCATTAGAAACTTCACCTGTGTAATGATACTGCTCTCCTCTTCCGGAGTGGGCTCATCTCCACTCAGAACACGGCGTAATTTGTCCATGATTATAGGATTTAACTATGTATGTTCAACAGGTCGCTGACCTAAGATTCTTGATTCTCCTCTAGAGATTAATAAACAAAGATTTCTTCTGTTTTTATGCTCCAGAATTTTTTTACATATAGTAAATCCAAGATCGGATCTAGCGTGACCGTGGCCTAAACCGTTAAAATATACCGTCAGGCTCAGAAAAATATACCAAAAAACTCGCTATAAATATTTAATACAAACCAAAAAAAATATCTAAAACTTTGAAATCTTCAACATTTAATAATTTATTTTTATCGAATACGATTTTGTTAAATTTATTGGAATTTCACAGAATAATTTTTGTTTTATTTAATATTTTACATTTAATGTAATGTTCTATTTAAAAGTTGTACAAAGAAGTATTACTTAAATGTTTATGTACAGAAAATAATTAGTTTAATAAAAAAATTAAAAAACAATTTTAAAATATTTACATAAATCTAGCTAATTCTAGCTAATACCCCAAATGTAGCTACATTTTAAACAGCTGGGCACACTTGAATAGTCTGGCAACGCCGCCAGCATGTTTTGCTCAGCTATACGTAAGATTCTGAAAAATTCACAAAATGCGGCCAAATACTCTGCACTCACGCTGCAGTTACGGAATTTGCGAGGACAACGCACCAACCAAAGCGAGGTGGAAGTGTTCAGGTCAGCGGATGTAACCACTAAACAGAATGACAAGGAAACGGAGGCGGCTACCCGGGAAAGCTCCTCCAAAGAAGTGGCTCTGGACTTTGGGAAACGGGAGGCCCATGTGCCCTCCTTTAATTTGGCGGCATATGTGAATAACTCCAACACCCTGCAACAGTTCATTAGCTTGGGAGTGGATCTGCACAGCATAGAAAGACGGAAGGGATTAGGGGAGTTTGTACTCCGGCTGGATTTCGAGAAGAATGTGAAGCCCTACATAACCTTCCTGGTGGATCAGGGAATTTCACCCGATGAATTTGGCCGGATGTTTACCAAGAACCCTCTGCTGTTTAAGGAAGATCTGGATGATCTGCAGACCCGTGTGGAGTACCTGAAAAGCAAAAGGTTCTCCGATGAGGCGAGGCAAAGGATCCTCACTCACAATCCTTATTGGCTGATGTTTTCGACTAAGCGAGTCGATCGTCGATTGGGTTACTTCCAAAAGGAGTTCCGATTGAGTGGCCATGATCTTCGCCTGCTGGCCACCAGGGAACCTAATGTCATTACCTACAACATGGAGCACCTGCGGAAGTCCGCTTTTACCCTCAAGGAGGAAATGGGATTCAATGCCAAGGAGCTAAGTGCCCTGTTGGTTCGCAAACCCCGATTAATGATGACTCGTAGGTGTATTTAATCCTTAATTTGATTATAAGATTCTATCAATTTGTTTACCCTCTACAGCTCCCGATGATCTTATCGAGCGATTCAGCTATATACACCAGGATATGGGCCTTTCCCATGCCCAGATTGTCCAGCACCCGGAGCTGCTGGCATCGCGGGAGTTTAGACTGCGTGAACGTCATGAGTTCCTCAAATTACTGGGTCGAGCTCAGTACGATCCTCAGAAAGATCTGTATATTTCACCCAAGACAATCGTTGAAGGAAACAACTTTTATTTCGTGCGAAATGTGGCCAAAAGTGATTTGGAAACGTTCGATTTATTTTTGAAAACGAGATGAGAATAAATAGGAAGTCTTTGAATAGTTGAAAAACACATGTCAATTTAATTGGGAAAAAATTATATAATTAAGTTGGTATTTATAAATAATTATTTATAAAATTCGAATATTTTTAATCGGTATTCGTGACCGGCTTTTTCGCTTGCTTAACTCGAGTTTATGGTTGGTTTTAATATTTCTATAACAAAACATTTTTAACTTGCACTAACTGAACAGTGACTACATATTAGAAAATTGATTATAATTTTTTACGCACGGTAAATGTTTGACGTTTTCAGAAATAAATAAAATTACCATTTTTTTAATAACTTTAAAAGAAATGTAATGTAAAATAGAATAGAATAGATTATTACAAATATATATAGCCCAATTTTGATGGAAATATGCTTATCTTATTTTTATGTTATACAAATAATTACAGAGCATAGTCGGATAATTAGCACAATATGTTTACTTAAAAAAATAAAAACATATATTTTATAACTGCCAAGTTCAAAAAGACGTTAACAAAGTTCAGCATGAGTTGCTAGTATATAATTTTGGTATGTATTGATGGTATATTTCGACTGCCAAGCCACGGTCACTCTGTTAGCAACAGCAACAAAAGATTTAAACTACGCATTAAGCTTGTGCGTAGAAACGAACCGTGTTTAATTTTAGTACTAGCCAGTCGCTTCAGTGGAAGCATAAAACAAAGTTGCAATATTTCGGAGCTGTGGCAAATAGCTATAGTTCGAAACAATAAAATAAAGCGAAGTAGAGTGCAGCGGTGGGAAAACAGCGCCAAACGAAAAGTAAAACGCATTTTGCTACGCATACATAAGCAGAAAAAGCGAATACACACACACACAGACACAAAAGGGCCAAAATAACTCGGGCGAATTAAGAAGAAAACATAGTTTAACTTAAAAGCGAGTTAATAGCAATAAAACCAAGTTATCTTGGTGTTGACGTGTTGAACACACACACACACACATACTGACGATATATTAACAAAATGTCTACGACACCAAAATCAAGCGAAGATTTGCTGGGTGGTAAGTTATTTGCAATCATAACAATAACACGGTAACCCGTTATGCCGCATTGTTGTTGTACGTGTATGTATGTATATATGGAGTGATTTGTAGTTTTCTGGTATCCGCATCCCATATTCCATTTCAAGGCTTTACTTTGTCTGCTTTTTGATTTTGTTTTTGTTTTGTTTTGTTTACTTTGCACTTGTTCTTGCTCAGCGGAGAGAGACAACAAAGAATACGCTAAAACTCCGAATGAAAACAAAGAAGCTGCCCACGCACTCTTTCTCCCTTTCTCCTCCCTCCTTCTCTTTCATTCATGTCTTTACATTGCACTTGGCCTGCTTGACGTCAGTCAGCTTTTTTGCGCTCTCCTTTGCCCCCTCCTTCCGTCTGGTTTGCTAATATAATTCGTAAATAAATATATTTTGTGGGAGGGCATTTCCCTATCGGTCGTTTCCAGAAATTGCGCCTTGGCATTAGCCGCAAATGTATTTCGGCTGCCCACTTTATCAACATCCACGTTTACACTCGGCCGAAAAATAGGTTAAACTCTGAATCAAAACTTAAAACAGAAATTGCTATTTGCAGTATTAAATAGGCAAACTCACTTAGGTAAATTTATTTGATAATATTTTTTGCACTGAAATTTTTGTTTAAATTCTATATTTCCAATGAAACCCGGTAAATTTTAGTTATTATTTTACTGTAATTTCTTTTTAAAAAAGTGGACAAAATTAGATTAAAATTATTAATATATTATATATTTAGAAACATTGTGAAATGGTAAAACAAAATTCATTAAATCACAATAGCTATATTTAAATTACATTGCAATTGTGAAAGTATAGGACATTCTTCAAGAATGATTAAAATGTCACCCAAAATGTCAAAAGTATAATCTTAATAGATGACCATTTTTAAATATGTATCTAAATATTTTTGTTTGCCCACGAGGTTGTTGACTTCTTAAAAAATTATACTACATACATATGTATGTTTCTGCGAAGTCATCCACAAAAACATTGCCGGTTCAACCTTTATTTGTTTTTATCAATTTGCAGCCACAAAAATAGGCGGTTTTAATCTTATCAGATTGAACCAAAATCGTACCATATGTTTTAGAACACATCCCTTTGTGATAGTAAAAATCTAGGTTAGTCCCTTAACATATGATAATTTGTTGTTTTTAAGTACAGAAAATTTCATTTTTTATAAGTGAGTTAAAAATAAACCCGGCAAAGGTGTTTTTTGACCTCAAAACATGTGCGAAACGGATGACCAATTTAGGCATTATTTTTTCTTTGTGCATGGGGGCTATATACTACGTAAGAAATTGTATTATGATACCCGTGGAGTCATCCATCCAATAATAAAGGCGGTTCAATGGGCTCAACTCAGGGTCTTTTGGACAGCTGCGCATCAAGATGCACACAACAAAGCCCGGCGGAAGAGGGGTAGAAAGAGAGGGGGATTGGGTAAGAAGAAAGAAAAGGTGGGTGGTAGAAAGAGAGAGAAAGTTCGTGGTTGACGGAGAGAGGGGGTTGGTCCAAAAGCAAGAGAGAGGGAGAGAGCGGCCTACGTGCCGTGAGTCAGAAAGCCAAGTTTTTGTTTTTGCCACCCTTCGATACGCTTTTTCCTTTGTTTTTGTTTCCATTTTCGCTGCACATTTACGTACCTGTAACCCGGATTCCCGATAACGGTCAAAATGTTTGTTTACCTGTGCAATTTCTCCGTTTACCTGTCCTCGCGGGTTTTTCTATTTACCATTTTCTATTTTCGCGACATCTATCATAAATGCATCATCCTTTTCGTCTAGACATCACATTTAGTATTCGATTGTCAGCATGATTGGTCTGCCACGTGAGTGATGTGAACTATTCTGTAATTTATTCGCACTGTGAAATTGTCTAAATTAGTTGCTGTTACAGTAATAACTGTATAGGTTTCTCGAACCGTGACTCACTTCCAAAATTAAACTCCATTTTAATAAATACAACAGTTTTGGCATTGTGCCCTCCAAACCTAAAAAAAAAACAAAATTTAAAATTGATTTAAAGGTTTTAAAACTAAATGTTTTATTAGTTTTCGAATCCATCGTTTTCTTAGTTTTGTGATTCAGATATTTACTTTACAATTTCTTTGGACATTTCAGCTGTTCTTTGAACATTTTTGTGACATTCCCAAACGTTTCGTTTTTTTAAATTAAATTAAACAAATCATTTAAAGTTATGGCAATTTAATATAAACAATTAAAACAAAAATGTTAGTATCAACTGAAAGTTCAATAAATGTAAAAGAAAATGGATATACCATTTTAAAAATTCTACGAACTCCGATCAAAAAGTATCTATACTGTACCTACTGAATTTTATTTATTGTTTGTTATTAGATTTGGTTTTTAGATAGGGAAGTTGGACTGTATTCCTTATCAACGAGTCGAGCATCGCTGTCATGTAACTTGCACGCTTCTCGTACCCATATTGCATCGCGAGTTTTTCGTTTTGTTATGAAAATGAAATTTTCTCCGTGGCGTTGATAATCATCGACTGCAGACTATAAACAAAACATGTGTGCTTCTATATACATATACAATGCGTCGAAAAGAAACGGAAATTATACGAATTGTGGGGTTTTTAGCCTTATCAATGGGGCACGAGCACTCGAACAGATATACACAAACACATAATACATGGGCTAACGAACCGAACTGAACGTGTGGTTAAGTTGTTGTTACGTTTAGGCAAACAAAAACAAACGCAGAAGGCGGTGACGTTGGCAGACTTTTAGAGGCACTGCCACAGTATAGTGGCTTTAAAACTTTAGTTGTCTACCTGAGTAAACAAGAAAAAAACATATTTAAGTCAACAAGTGTAATTATAGACAAGTAATTACGTTAAATGGACGCATACCAGTATATTAAATAACAGTTTTATGGATTTTAGACAGGTAGAGCAGACATCAAGTAATTTATATTCAGACAAAAACAATAAATTAACTTAATTTAACAAATATCAATCTTAAGGACCCCTATAAAAATCTCAAATATATACAACCCGAAAATAAACAGTGAACCTTCTAAATATACCCTTTGTGTTTAAAATGTTTGCTTTTGTTTACTTATCATTTTAAAAATACATATTAGATAGATCAATAGCCTAATAGGTTATCGTTTGTGAAATGTGAATAATGACTTTTATTTAAGTCAAGTCTCTTTTGTTGTTAAGACTTTATTTTAAAACTCAACTGCATATAAGTGATTTGAGTTTAAAATAGAACGGTTTAATGTATTTTGGTTCCTTATGTTTATTCAACACCGATCAAAAGGTTGCGACACACATGCATACAACATATGTATGTACATAGCACCAAACGCAACCGACTAAATATTCAATTTCACACCATTTGGTTTTAGCTTTCAGCCATTTGGTTCGGCCTGAAAGAAATGATCTATTTGTGTTACTATTTGCTGCTATCTTTTGCTAACCCAGTTCGTTTGCCTTGACTTTTTCAGAATCTTGGATTGAACTGAGCACAACAGCTGCGATGGCTGGCATCAAGAGCCCCGACAGAATCACTCCGTTGCCATTTAACAATGGCGAGGAGTATCTGAGACTTCTGCGTGAGGCTCAGCGCGAATCCAACCAGTCGAGCCGTGTCGTTTCCTTGGCCAGCTCCCGTCGTGATACGCCCCGTGATAGCCCCAAAAGTCCACCGAACAGTCCCCAGTCGGAGCTCTGTCCAGATGATGAGCTCAGAAACGTCTACATCAACTACTGGACCAAGGTAAGTGATGAGAATCGGTGCAGAACCGAGGTGATCTTGTTAACAATGCCTTTCTTTGTTTTTTATTTCTTCTAGGGTGGAGATAAACAGAATGCAGACAACGGAGATTGGTTGAAGAACTGGAATCGCAACGCCGAGGAGCAACCACCCAAGTAAGACATCGATATAGTTATTTAGCGACTATTTCTCGATCTCTGATTCATATTTTTGCAATCATGTGTACAGTAACCTTCGTCGCGCATTCACAGTTCATACTTTAAAAAAATGAACGAGGAAAAGTTTAAAGAAACTAATTGCATTCATTAAATTTATCACAATTTTGCGTAAAAATCAGTCTCAAGATAATTTATTAAAGATATGTTTGTCATTTTATTATGTAATGCTTTTGCTATGAACCAAATGAACAAATATTCGGACGAAATAATTGAATATCGAATAAATTTGAGTTTTTCAATTTTAAAAATAAATGTTTCTTAGTGATAAATGAAAAAAGTTTTTAAAAGTGTACCAAGTTGATAAAACAATATGAATAATTTTTCGAGCGTTTTTGAATGATCATAAAATACTTGAAATATTTAAAATATATAATTTTTTTACAGAAGCTGGAAATTTGAAGCTGTCAGTGGCGATGCCGGCGATGAGGACGAGAAAAAGAAGACTAACACAGGCTACTCCATCCGCTTGAAGCGTCTGGGCTCCAACTCGTTGTTCTCCCGCGAAATTCTCTACTCGCTGCTGGTGACCAACGTCCTGTCCTTGCTGCTTGGAGCCGGCTTTGGGTAAGTGTTTTCTGCAATCTCTCGGAGATTTATAATTGATTAATTGCGTTCTACTTACAGATTGTGGTTGAGCAAGCGTGGCATACTCCTTACCCGCGTGGTCATTGACTGAAAGATGCCATAAACAAAAAGAGAAAGAGAAACAGAAACAGAAAATATATAAAAACGTTTTCAATCTATCAATATGCACATCAATCGAAAACAGAACACGAAGCGTTCCATATAAGAAGTCGAAGTATACACATATATACATCCAACCGTATTCCAACTCATTGTATTTTTTATCGGAAGTCCATATTTTCGACACGTTCTCATTCAGTACATACCTATAACAATGTAATTTGTAAGCCAGCAAACTAAAAACGGCCGTTGGGCGAGGGTTGAACAGTTTATGAATACATATTTTATATAATTTTATATATTTAACATGATATATCAAGACAGCAAATCTAATGATACGGAAAAGCATTTATAGAGACTGTTGCTCTATATTCTTTTCTTTAGCCGTGTATGTCTTAGCACCCACTCGTACATTTTATCCAATACAAGTGTACGACAAACTATCAATCATTCTAAGAATTTCAATTTCATCATAAAACTTCATATAGAACATCAATATTGTAGGGCATATTGTAGTTGAATCATATTTGTATATCCAAATCGTACTTTTTGTTGAACAATCGTCAAAAGTTTTGGTTTTCTTAGCATATATAAAAACGATAAATTAGAAACAAACCCATGTATGGTAAACACACATAAGTATATATATTGATATGTGAGGGAGGGGTTAGCTCCCACAAAAAAAAAAAAAACAACACACAGAATAGTTGTAACGATTTTTTATATTAAAATATTTTTCAATATCTATTTAAAAGAAAATTTCAAACGTTTTTCAATGGTGGATTTACCTGGATTACGGGGAAGGACGACGAAGGAAGAATTATTTCATTTCTAGTTAAATAAGGGATTTATTCTATTCGTAATCCTTGCAAGCAGGGATAAGCAAATGCATAATCTCCTTTGCAATAGAGGGCTGAAATGTCTTGTCCACGAATTCAATTTGTGTGTTTATAAGCCTTTTTTACTTTTACAAATCTCAAAATGTTTTCACAATCAAAACAATTTTCTATACTATATAAGAAGCCAAATAGATTTTGTTTGTCAACAAGTCTATGCATTTTGCCATAAATATTTATTATTTCAGTTTGCAGTATGTGAGTCAGCAACCGAATTTCATCAGATTGTGCTAATCGAATTTGTTGAACAGTTAAACTAAATGGTTATCAATTCACAAGCGAAAGCAATGTAAACACAATTTATCAAAATAGTAGGGAGAAACATAGACAGATCTTCGAAATGCAGATAATATTTTAATTGTTGCAAATAAATGGCTTTAAAACTGTTAATCAATGAGTTTATCACATTTAAAAAATGTCGAATTCGTAACATAAAACTTTTTTTGCTTTGGGTTTAGGCAACACAGTTCTCTGTTTTAAATATTTAAACAACAACCAAGTAATTAATTTTGCTTTAGCAATTTTTATTTAAATTTGTATTAAGTAATAGTGTCTAAATACTTAGGTGATTAACACAGTTCCGAAACTAATACATATTCCATGTGGTTGCAGGGGAAAATCCTCTCGTGACTTAAAACAATATTCAATCGACAATTTGTAACTCAATGGGAACGATCGCTGGGTGATCGTTGTTTGCTTTGATTTTATGCTATATAGACAGCCATAAGACGGTGAATCGAGGCAAAACTGGGATGCCAATTTAAGTACAGCATATTAGCATATTAGATCAAGATCCGTGTATTATATATATGTAGAGTCTAGTCTAACACTAGGTGGTTGGTTAACTTAGCTACTGTTTTGAGCCAATATCAGAGACGACATCGAGATGCGGAGAGAGGAAAAAACATGTTTAACTGACTCTTGGCCCTGGGCTATTCCTGGCCGTTTGCTTTTCGGGGATTTTGTGCGGCGCTGCTGGTGGAGGGCACGGGTGAGCCGGGGGGCGTGGGAGTGCGCAGAGCCCGTTCGAAATCCTCCGCCAAATCATCATCATCTCCGTCCTGCTGCCAACTGTCCAATGCTTTGTCCACATCGAACTCTGGAAACTTTAGCGTTTCCCCCGTCACATCCACCAAACGAGATCGCAATCTCTGCGAGATCTCCTCCAGCTCTGTGTACTTTCGCTTGATGGCCTGACCCAACTGCAAATGACCCAGTTCCATGGACTTTTCGAACTGATCGATCACGGTATCCACACTGGGCGGTATAGCCTCCACATGTGCCTCTATGCCCCCCGTCACGCGGCCATTAAAGTCCACTATGTTGTGCCATCCGCTGGGAAAACCTCCGCCCGGTTGCTTCTGGTTGAGATTGAGGGCTGCGAAGCCTATGATGGCATCCTCATGGGGAGACGGCTCAGTGCTGCCGTTTGGGCTAACAATGGCCTTCTTCCAAAGCTTCAAGATGAAGAGCTTCTGGGGCTGCAAGAAAACATGAATGAGTATTTTTCATGATATTTGAGTTAGGAATCGCCATTCATTTCTGCTTACATTACTGCGATAATCGCGACTCACTTCCACCCGGAACTTGCTGAGCCACTGGGGCTTCGTCGACCTCGCCACAATGGGCGTGGCATGGACCAAACCCTCGTGCGACTTGTACGTCTGACTGTTGCAGTTGACGGCCTGGAAGGTCACGTAGGTGTTTGGCGGTTCATTGGGCGGGAACCGCTTGGCGGCCGACTGTCGTTTGCCCTGCTTCTTCGATTTGCCATAGCCGGGATTAAGGGGCAAACCAGCAGCGCCAACGATGCGCAGTTGGAAGCTGAAGTTGCCGGGCGCCGGAGGAGCTGGAGGGGGCGGCATTACAGGCGTTGAGCTACTTGGTGCAGGAGTTGTTATGGCATTTTGCAGCATGTCCAGTAAATCTGTGGTGCTATTTGGAGCCGGCACTTGATTGTTGTCCTGGTCGAAGCCACGCTGCTGCTTTAGTTGGGCAATCTGGGACTCACTGCCGATGGCCAGGAGCACCTTGAGCTCCCCCACAGGCGATTGGGTTTCAGCACTGACAATGGGTGCCCAACCATCGATGGAAATAACCGGTAGCTGAAAGTTATAAAGCAAACTTTAGTGCTGGACCTAAGAAATTGTAAGGGAATACAAAGTCAGTTTGAACCAATACGAACCAAACCCAAGCTGTTTTTTCATGTTCAACAGAAATAATCAGTCGTATTATTATTTTAATTTGAAAAACCAGAAAAAATCAGTCTGCTAGTTTATATAAGTTTTGTTATCAAACGGATTTTCGACATTGAACTTGAATTAATGAAAATAGCAAATTGTGCAAAACTTAATCGGAAAAAATTTCAGTGCAATAATATATTTTAGTTGGAAATATTATTCTGTTGACTATAAGTAGTGTTTTTAAATAATTTAATAAATAATTTTTTGAGAATTGATAATACAAGTAGAACAAGAACATTTTTTAATAAAAATAATTTACTTTTAACCAAGTAAATTTGGAAAACATTAGAGTGCTCCAAAAAAAATTTACTCTCACTGTTTCATGTGGTAGATTTACAATAAATGTATAAAAAAAAATCAAACAATTTTATTTTAAGTTTAAGACGTTACCCTATGGTCTCAAGCAAATTTTTTTATCCACGACAACAGGTCGTATTAGTGATATTCATTGAATCCACAGCGCAGAAAAACACATTTTTTTCGAAAACGATCTTAATAAGGTAAAGAGCATTGTAAAAGCGGGTTAAAGTAGCACCTTATACATTTGGATCGTCCAAATGTACATGCATATTTATAATACCCTTAATTTGTTCTATTCAGTTGCAACTTAGTTTACATATGTTTGCAGTACAGCTCAATTTTATAAACAATAGTTAGGTTATAAAATGTAGGTTCAAACTTTTTTTTAGTGATTTATGACAGTCTTGCACCCCCAATTTCATAAAACCCATTCGCACCTTTCCCTTGCACAGGTGATTGGTGATGCTGGCATCTCTGTAGGCGATGAAGAACTGGTGCAGCGGCAGCCGGACGACTCCGCCCAGAGGACGCAGTTCCAGAAGCAGTTGCTGCCGCTCGACGCTCTGCAGGAAGCGCTCGTCGTTGATAATGGCGAACTGCTCCTGCAGCTCGAATGATCCTCCATCGCCGATCTTCACCACGAGGGGCTGCGATTGCCAGAAGGGCTGAAGCGATAGTTCCTGGCAGGCCGATTTGTTCTCCGCCGTCAATTGACGCAGCTCCCCGGCATTCAGATAGCCCCGGAGGAGACGGACTTTGTTGGTCTCCGCCATGAAATTGACACAGTCCAATATGGCCCTGTTGTTGTTGTTGGCTTGGGGTGGAGGGGGTGGCGGGGCCGGCGGCTGGGGAGGCGTTAAGACGGCCTTTGAGTTGCAATTAACTGAAAAATATTTAAGAACGCAAGAGAGGATTAGTGATTTAGTCAACGGTAGATAGGCTGCGGCATGCAAGGCTGTATTAATCACAGTTCAAAGTTCTTAAGTAGACCTTGAACCCTCACGATGTGAATCGAACAAGCTATTAAAAACGAAATCGAGGAATCAGCTGCGATCTTTGATCCGGGGACTCATCGCCTTGACGACAGACGATCGGATTCAAAAAACCGAATCAAGCGGAACGTAAAATGTACTCAGCAAGCGGGTGAAACCGGGTCGAATCGGTTATAGCACGTGCTCAACAAGCGGACAAATGACAACTTGGCCGATTACTTCAATCGAGTGGGCTAAAAATAGACCATTTAGATCTCAAATCGGGACGATAATTGACGCATTTTGAGCATCATAAGCGGTGGACACAGTGGGCAAGTGTGAAATAAATTATAAGAGCCTCAGGAAAATATATTTTAATTTAAAATCATTTGACTAATGGGAAATTGGAAATGGCACAAATTTAAATAATGTCAAATTAAAGTGGAATATTTTATCGACAGAAAACTCTTCATATCAAAAAGTCATATGACACGTAAACAAATTTTCTTATTTAGAAAAGCCCTCAAATTTTTAAAGTATTGAAAACATGAAATAAATATTAAAACAAAAAAATAACATTATTTTAAAGTTTTGATAGCTAAAACCTTTTTATACTTCAAAATTCTAGTTATAAACCTTTTTTATGCATTTGCATGACCTAAAAATTTTGTATATTCCTAATTTTACAGAAAGGTCCATTCTTAAACTTCTAATGATAATACTATCCAATGAAGAGTTACAAAAACTTCATCAACCCACTGTGCCTCATGATCATAAACAAAGCTGTTGGAAACAAAATACATGTTCTAAAATATATAGCTGGGGATAAAAAACATAAAACACAAAACAGATTTTTTTTGTTTTTGATTTTGTTGATTGTTTTTTGTTTTGTTTTGCTTTCTTTTTTGAAAATAAAAAGTATTTATTGACAGAATGATGGGCAGCACTTGGATAACGGCAATCAATAATATATAGAGTAAGTGCAGGATGCGTGGGCGTGGTTGTGGGCGGCTCGTGTGGTTTTGGTTTTGGTATTGATTTTGTTGTTGGTCGTGGTGGAAATTGTGATTGTAGTCGTGTGGTTCAGCTTGTATCAGTTGTATTCGATTTGGGGGCCCAAGAATCATTGGTTCTTGCGATTGGCAACCACACGACATTAGTCATATATATTCACCTGCGGCCTTGTTTCCACTTTCGTTCTTTTGACCCTGCTGCTTCTGCTGCTGCTCCGGATTTCCATTTAAATTCTGCAGCAGACTGACCTTCACATACACGCTGCCCAGATGGACATCGCGACGCTTGATGGCCACGCACTTGCACTGCTCGAGCAGTGATGCCTTGTAGAGCTCCCGGAGCTCCAGACGCCCCATGCCGAGCATTTCGTTGAGGCAGGTGCCCGGCTCACGCCACCAAACCGTGATGTCCACATGGCCAGCGCTCTGGTCCTCGTCCTCCAGGCTCTTATCCTCCATATCCACTTGCCGCTGAGCCGTCTGCCCGAACCGGGTGCACTGCGTCAGGCTCTGGAACTTCTCCGACTCGAACTGCATGATGTGGAACATGGGGTAGCGCGGCACCTTCCGTATCAAATCCCCGGACAGCTGGCACTCCACGGTGAAAATGGGTCGCACTTCGTTCTGAACCAGTTCCATGCGCTGTGTGCCCTCCGGCTGCAAGGTCAGTGCCTCCAAGTGGAGTTGCAAAGCGTTGCAGCTACGGAATATCTCCGGCGTGATCACCAGCTCGTCCTCCGACTCCTGGGCAATTTGCTCCGATTCGGATTCCGGCCACAGGACCTGCTGGTGTTTCTGCTTAAGCGGCTCGGCGGAAGCAGCGGTGGCAAAAAGAGCCACCAGATCTGCGTCCAGTTTCTTCATGGCCTCCATTAGCTCAACGTTGCTGGTGGTGCCTGTAACGAGCGGAAATATATATTAAGACGTTAGTTTTAAATGTGAGAAACAGAAATGTCTTTGAATTTACAGGTTTTTAAGCTGGCGAATTAGTGCGATCCGATCTCCACGACGTGGGCTTTCCAAATGTGGCCCTTGTATGCATGGGAGATTCCGAAAAAGCCGGCCGAAAGAGGAGTACGAAAGCGAAGAAAGAGGGGCCCCCACTAATCGCGTTCTATGCTTTGTCTCACACTTCTCTCACTCTCTCACGTGTTCGCGCTATCGCTCTATCACATGGGAGTCGGCTTTGGGGGGTGGTGGAGCACCCTGGATACCCTATCGATAGAATTTATTATTCGATTCCATGAAGGAAAAAAACATGAACCCTGCTCTTTTGATTCGAAACCATTTAAAAATGTACATAAAAATATGCTGTCTCAGTTTAGTACTTCTTTAATATTTTAAAGATTTTATTTTATGATTCTTGGAATTAAAATATATCAAGAAGTTATATTTTTTAAATAGAAAAAACTTATACATTTTGTGCTACTTTGAAATTTAATTTTTACCGTAAGAACAAATTTAAAGTGCAAATCTAAAAAAATCTAATGCAATTTTTAAATATTTAATACAGATTTCGAAAAAATTTTAATTTTTTTATCCAGTTTATTAGCTTTTTGTAAAAATTATATTCCAGCCAGCTTTTATAAAGGGTATCTAAATTTGAGAAACGCTATTCTCACAATTGCTTGCTTCTCTTTTAGCATAAGCAAAACCAGACCCAAATATATTTTTTGCATAATTTCGTCTGACATTGGTAAAGTTCAGTGGCAGGAGGAAATACAATTTGCAACAGATTCGAGGGCATTTTTCAACTCAAAATCGTCTACAGCTAAAGGTCAAAGAGTTATCGGTCAGCGGGAAAATTATTACCCATTTCTCGGCCTGGTAACGCGCTAAATTCTTGATTGGCTCCAAGATAATTGATAAGAGACGCCTGATGCCAGTTCAATGACATAATTTTCCGTTCGAGAGATGGATTTTGGTACAGTAACAGTTGTAGGATTAGTCAGTAAATGGATTCTAGGCTTGAGCAACTAACGATTTTCTTTGCTCTCCCCTTTCATCAGCCATTCGGTACGCTAATTAAAACCCATAGAAATTCGCATCGCATTAGTTGAAAAGTGAAATAGCGAAAGAGAGAGCAGGCCGGAGACATCTTATCAAGGCAAGGCTTATCGATTTCGACCCCATACCACCGCAATATTTCTCCCTGTGTAGCAACAAAGTCTCATAAAAAGCGTTCTCAGCAATTCGCTCCTGATTCACGGAATAGTTTCGCTTTTTTTTTTTGTACATACGCATGTCGGTATGTTTGGTGGATTCGTCGGAACATACATATGTACATATGCTTTAAAAATTTTTATGCCTGCGTGATAACACTAGCGGACCTCTGGTCTCAGCAAAGAACCTAAATTGAAGGCCAATGGCGAACACCCAGACGCAGCTGACAAAAGCTGAAAAAAACTAAAAAAAAAAAAAAACCCATTTATTTGACAGTCAGCAAAAACGAGATACAAAACCAAAACAACAAAACCGTTGAGCCTGGCAACATATAGTGAGATAAAAGTTTGTGACAGGGGCGGATTTTTTTAAAGGGGTGCTACAAATGAAACCCTGGAAAAGACTTTATTTTAAACTATTTTATTATTCAACATTTTGTTTACAAATGTAATTTAAATATTTAGGAAACAATATGCATTTGGGAACATTATAGATCACAAAGAATGTTTAAAACGTTAAACTTGGAATATAACATATGATTGCTAACTTAAAAAAAACGTTTTACAATAGCTAAAGATAAATCAAAATTTGATTACGTTAGACAGTTAGTAATATTTTAGAAACGAATGTGAACAAGTACAATTTGATCAAATGTATTTGAAAAGAGGTTTAATAGGTGATTTATTTGGATGCAATTTAAATACATACATAATCCTTTATATATTATTTTGTAATATTTTTTAATTATACGGTACTATAACGTGAAATCATTTTAACACCTCCTAATTGAAAGCCTTTTTGGCACCTAATCCGGCCCTGCATATCAGTTAAAAAGTGTTTTCCCATTGAGAAACAGTCTCCCAATATTTTAGTTTACCGAGAGAGTGAGAGAATAGGTTTTTGCCTGCACGTGTTTCGGTATAATCACACTATATTCTGATTTTTATGGCTCTCTTTCGTTGGGCTTTACGTACATATTTATTGGGACTCGCTTGTTCAAATGGAAAGTTTTCAGCGCTGCTGCAAAACCAAAAAAAAATAAAAGAGAATATCATACGTCAGCCAAACAGGAATATTCGTTTGCCAAGTGATTGGGCAACATGGGACTTCAGGGGAGCTTGATCTATTTTTGGGATTCTGCAATTGTTGTGCATAAATTATCTTTTTGGCAAATTTTGTTTGCTACTGATTGGACTATGTTGATGAGCAAAACAAACAAAACCACAGACTCTTACGTAAGAGTCAACAAACTGTTGTGAATTGTGTGCTTCAAAATAGAAGAGCAAAATCAAATTTTATAAATAAATAGTAGGAAAATGCCAAGAAAAATAAAAACAAAAACCAAAATAAACAGACGCGGTCGTCGACTGAGAGGCTGCGGAAAAGTAGCTGATTAAATGACGACAACGGACGACATAGCGTCTATACCTTAACCCATTAAATAAAATAATTACATAAGAATTTTTTATGTATATTAAAATATGTACGGACAGAGCATTTAAAGAAAACCTTAATTTTTACTGCCATATACACTTCAGTATAACATACAAAGTTTTTTAATTGCTGTTTAAAAATAATAAACGTAAAAATAAATCTAAGATGTTGGCACCTCCTCGTCCATTTCAATGATGTACTTTAAGGCAGAAAATTCCTCCTTACTGCCCCTAGCGGTCTTTTCATCTGGTATATATGAGGCTAGAAGAATGCCGATAAACACAGATATGGCTCCAAACATAAACGGACCCGCAGCAGTTCGATCTTCATTTACACTCCTGTTCAGAAGCCGATCTTCATTCAAGTCCATGTCGGATAAGTAGAATACGATACCAAATACAGCGGGTCCGAGTCCATTACACAATCCTGACATACCCGTGATCATCCCTTGCACTGCTCCCTGACTTTCACCATCCGAATATAGAGATACGTAGGCGCTCACGGCCGGAAAAGTAATGGAACTCAATGCGGCCACATTTCCAGCCAGCCACATTTGCCACTTTTCATCTCCGACGGCATACAGAATAAGTTGCAGCAGCTCCAAAAATAGGCCCAACAATATGGATTTCTTGGCACCTATAATTTTTACAATAGATCCCAATGATACGTTAGCCGATATGCTCAAAATGGCCATGAAAGCCACCAGCATAGACAGTTCCACGAAACCAAATCCCATCGACAATTTAAGGTAGGCCGGTACACTAGAATATTCACCAGCTTCAGGGAGTAGAAACGTGAAGACCACAATGCACAGCAGCAGAATATTGGGATCTGAACACACTCTAAGTAGGGCCAAAAAGGGATCCGCTTGCTTCCAACTCAGTCCAGACGATCTTACTTTTCGCGGCAAACTTTCGGGAACTGCCAGCAGCACAAAGATCACATTCGAAGTGGAGACAAGTGTGGCTATCAATACAACCGTATTAATGCCATAAAGTTCCATGATGAGATTTCCCATGGCCGGGGCAATTACCAAACTGGCGGCAAACGTGGCCGATACTAATCCATAAGATTTGGTCCGCTCTTCCTTGGTCGTAACATCCGCCACATAGGCAAACACAACCGAGAAGCTTACTCCCAGAATTCCACTTATTGCGCTGATCGCAAAGAACCACCAATTATCGATCGTCATCATGGGGATCGGCAGGCAAGTGAAGGTCACTGTCATCAGCAGCAGCAACTTCCGACCATAGATATCCGATAGTGCTCCGATCAGAGGGGCTGATAAAAACGAGAGTATTCCCTTAACACCCATCACCAAACCGTTCATCAGGAATGTGTGATCTGGGAAGGTTTCCTTCAAAGTGGCTATCATGGGCATTGTCAGCAGACCCCAGGCGAAATACTCCAAGAAAATCACGACCAAAACATGAGCAACACACGGCTTTCCAATCCCCGAAATAGAGGCAAGAGTTACGAGTAGTTTTTTCAGACCCAACTTGGCCATATCTGTATGGCGAGAATACAACTGAAAGAGCACTAAATCTTGCACTTTGAGAAAGTAGGTAAAGTTTTACTGAAATTATTTTTATACGGTCTTTTAGCGTGGCTAACACATTTTAGAGGGGTATCTGATGTTTTTTGTTAAAGTAAACGAAAAAACTTTGCCTATATATTTGTCGGAAAACTTATTTGGGAAATGTCGAAAGATTGACCTAATGATAGGTTTAACACTTCTTGTAATATTAAAGGAATACAGAATCTTATAACTTTAAGTTTAAAACAAAGAAAAAATTGTTTGTTTGTTTTGTTTTGTTTGGCCAGCCGAAGTTTTTATAACCTTGCAGCTTTTGCTTTGCTTTGATCTCAAACCCTTTTGCTTAAGTTATTTGATTGTTTTAAGTTTTTTTTTAAATGTATTGTTTTATTTAGTACATATATTATTGTTTTTTCTCACAAACATTTTACAATGACCCTTTCCCTACCAAATTGGTGATGCATACTTTTTGTCGAAATGCCAAAACAAGAAAGTCGTGCTCAAGCAAAGGTTTTTAACCACAAATGTTATATTTCAAAAGTTGAGAAATGTCAAATCTGGAATTGGTGATTTAACTGTTTGAGTATTCTTTGGCTCATCCTGAAAAAGGTAGAACATTACTCCAAACGTGGCAGGACCCAATCCCTCGCTCAAACACTCTATCCCAGCGATAATGCCAAGGACAACGCCCAGATTTACGCCACTGAAATTGTTGCGGGATGGATAATGGTACCCAAGGCGGTCACTATGCTGCCCAGCCAGAGCATCCAATGTTGGATTCCGAATGCGAACAATAGCAGCTGCGATAGCTGGCAAAATAGGCCAAGTCGGATCGACCACTTGGCACCCACTAGACTCACAAGGTAGCCCAAGAGGATATTCGACGTGATTCCGAGCAGTTTTCCAGTAAAGCCTTAATTCCGCTTTAACAAAATGTATTAATTACAAAACAAAAAAAAAAAAAATTGGTTCTGATTCATTAGTATCTACAGTATAACATAGTTCTGTATATTTAAGAGAACTATAGTTTTGTCGAAATTCGCTTTTAAAAGAGATCTAAAACACAAATAAAACCAATTAAAGAGAATTTAAAATGTCAACAAATATTTTGAATAACACGTTTTCATTAGATATTTATTTATGTGAAATTTCAAAGTATTTTCAATAATATATTGGCAATAAGCAAAAACAGTCATCGAAGCTAATTACAGTGCCCTCTCCTGGCGTTCAAAATAAATATGAAAATGAAACACAGAAATTACCAGAAAAAAAATAAATTCAATTTTAAATCTATTCTATTAAAGAAAAAAATTATATATATATATATCTTTATATAATTTAAAAGCAATAACTTGACTAATATTTTCAAGTTAATTAAAACCTGCCCTTACTTATTTGTTATTGATTGTGAATACGGCAACTTTGGGTGAAATTCAAAAAATGATTAAAAGTTGACAAATTTTTTTGTACTGCTTAAACAAATAATTTGCATATTTCCGTGCAGTGCCCTTAAATAAACACAATGTCTCAGTATGAATATGAATAAACAGTTGCGTTTGCTTAAACGAAAAGCGGTGATGGGACAACATTGTAAGAAGATTTATTTATGTTATTTTAGCAATGCGATGCTTTTACGAAAAAAGATTTCATTTGATTGCAAGTTATTGCTGATGAATTTCGAAAATATGGCTCAGCAATTTCAGTTTTTCTTTTTCCATTTATTAGTAATATCTTTTAACTTTGGCATACCCCACACTTAAATTTAGTCCCTATGTTTCGACGACATAATGTTGATTAAAATAGTTTGTTAGCATAAAACACAAAATATTCGCAGCAGTGAATTACAGTTCAGTTAAATTTTTAAAATATTTTTCCATTCTCTGAAAAGCTTTAAAAATTAAGATTTTAAAAGAAGTTGTTATTGATATTATTCAGACATATTTTAACTTGATGTTAAAGTCATGAGCTTGGGTTTGTTTCAAGATTAATAATATTATGCCCAGATAAATATTTAAGACTGCAAATATAAGGATACCTCAAGAATATGTTTGTGGTGGTATTTTTGTATCCACCGGTAGGATGAAATATGTGAAAGAAACTTTTTTTGAATAATTATATTATGTAGGAAATCTGTGTACTAAATTTTGTATTACAAAAGAATTGTCCTTACCTGCCAAAAGATCGTCATTTTGCTGATCCTGCAACAACGGCATCACCTGTTCGCCGACAGGTGGCGCACGTGCATCCTGCACATCCTCCGGCTCGTGGGCATGGCCGTGGGCGGTGGGGGCGTGGCCCTGGATGGGCGGAGGGGGCGGTGGCTCGGCGAAGAGCATCTCAAAGCGCAGCCGGATCTGGATTTGGCCGACTTTCAGCTGCTGTTGCTGTTGCACTTGTTCGAGCGGGCCACCGATCTCCAGGTGACGATATAGAGCATAAATTTCGGTTTTATGCTCGAAATGTCGCGAATTGCCGTAATTAGCGGCGTATTTATTACTGTTAGCGTGATTGCAGCCTGCTCGGACGTCACCACAGCCGGCTGAGGAGACGGCGACAATTTCGATGGCGGTACACAGGCGTAAATAATCTAAAAATAAGACACGGCTTGTTTTTTTGCTGTGTATGAGGGGATGCTGATGGTGCTTCTTCTTATTTGCCCTTAGTGTGCAATGCTTCTTCTTTTTCTTATTTGCCCTTTGTTTCTTCTTTATCCTCTCTTTTTGACTGAGCTTATTTTGCTCTCGTTGTTGTTGTTTTTTCTCCCCGTCTTCTTTTTTCTCTTCTTGTCCTTTTGTTTCTCGTCCCTGATGATGATGTTGCTTGTTTGACCTTTTCTTTTGGCCAAGCTTTCTCTCTCTGCCGACGTCGCTGTCGCTGCCGACGTCACAGCTGATGCCCGCCTTAGCACTCTCTTGGCTCCGCCAACTAAAATTCGCCTTAATTTCCGAGGACAACGTCGAATTCGCTCTGATCGATTTCACGCCTTTGCGGCTTTCCTTCTGCAAATTTAACCCCTCGGCAATTTTCCTGCTTTTCCGCTTTTCACTATGCACATTCGTCGGCGACCGTGGGAATTCTGCTATCATAATTTTTATGCACTTATGCCATAATTCTCTCACTCACTCTCACGCACACACGTATAAAAACGCGAAAAGAGAGGCGGGCGCGCGCTTGTATTTTCTTTTTTTTGTTTAACCAAGCTGAAAAGTTAAAAATCTTTACACACACACACACACAGAAGTTGAGAAATCGAATTTTCCGTACTATGATTTTCCGGCCATTAATCTGCACGGGCGTAAGTTTCGAGGAAAACTGCTGGGCTGCAAAAAAGCTCCTGGTCGCAAAGGAAGAAAAAACGGAGAGCAAAAAGGCGAAGCTTGCCGACTACTCGGGACGTTACCAGACTGCTGAGGGAATGTCATTTGTTTTGGTTTTGCCGCCGGTGCGTTGCCACATGGGAAATAAATACTGAAAAATATTAAATTATTGCCTGAGCTGCCAACCTAGTTCCCCTAGTTCCTACTAAAATCAGATACCAGCTCATTTAAAATATATTGGTTTAAAAAGATATAATTTTTTAAGACTCTAAGAAATCGTACAAAATTTAAGCTAACCAATACGCAATAAAAAAATTATGTTTAAGCCTTAACATGAAAATTATGTTAAAAATATATTAACTACTTTTCCGGATGATCGCTAGTAACAATGAACTGGAAGAAATAAGTAAATCTCTACTTTTGATTTTAACTAATTTGGAAAATTTTGAAGTAAATTTAATCTACACGATTTTCTCATTTTAATAAGCCTATTTCTTGAAACAATTTTATGAAATACATTGTATAGACCTTAATAATGTAGTCTTTTGAAATTTGTTATATATGGAAGATTTTAAACATCTTATTATTTAATTTAGAGAATTAGTCACACGATTAATTGAATTAGTAATATTATTTAGTGCATTAGTCACATGAAACGTTTAGTCACATTTTGAAAGCCCTTTTGTATATTTTATAGTTATTTCTTGGTAAACAAATATTAATATCTCTTAAGACCACTGAATATCTATCGTTTGTTTTAATTTTTGGCTACCAAGTGGTAAGTTATGTACGTACCCATATGCTATTTATTATGTTGTTGTTTATTTAATTAAAGAGTTTAATGCAAAATGAATTCGAAATCATTTATTAACAAATGTGAATCAACACCGAAGGAATCAACTCAGAACGAAGTTTTGGAAAGAGATGTTCCTTATACCATTAATAACCAAAAAGAGAGCGAAACAACTCCGAAAAAACCTGAAGTAATATCATATAATAACCCTCATCGTCGAACTGCGACCACCTTTGTAAGGTTAAAGAGCAAGCAAAGAAAAGAACTGAAGCATGCTTTGTCAAGAGGTATACCCAAAAACTATGCTTTGGCATGGATTCAAAATGTTTCAAAGGTTCAGCAAAGTCAGAAGCCGAACAGAGATAATCAGGAGTCTGCAAAGATTATACAGGACTCGACAAAAACGAGTTTATCCTGAAGATAGCATCTAATTTCCAGCGAGTTAGAAGCTCCTGCGCCAAGAAATTTAAATAAATACATTTTCAATAATCAACAGAAGTCAATAACCTTTGTTTACTTATATGAAAAGTATATTGTAGATTGACTAGTTTTAGTATTGTATATTATTGTAAAAGGATTTTCGTAGGCTCATCTGGACAAACAGAAACTAAATTGATTTATACATCTTAATCACTCGCATGTTTGTCCATTAAATTTTCGCAATAGCATTTTTCATAGCACATTGTGACCTTTTGCACAAATATTATCAATCATTTCCTAAGAAAATCACTCTTAATTTGTCGACTTCTCTTTATTGACGCATCGCCTTAACAAATCCAACTAAAAATTTCCAATCAACACAGACAACAGCCATATCCCGCTTAGGCAAACAGACGCAGTTCGTCGCGTGCCTCGATGCACTTGGGCGGCGATGGCGTCTCGAATTCGCCCAACTCGGCGTCGTAGTAGAGGGCCGCGCGATAGGGACGCAGTTCCCACGGCACCTGCTGCTCCATGGTGGTCAGGTTGATGCCCAGATCCTCCAGCGTGGGCACTCCAGTCAGCACCTTATCGGTGACAGCCTCGCGCTCGATGCGAGCAGGATGCAGACCGCCGATCGGGGCGCCGGGGCAGATCCAGCTGTTCAGCCTGGCCTTCAGCAGGAAGGTGGGGTCCCAGCGCATGTCGTAGCGCATGTAGCCCCAGCGCTTCTGGTCCTTGCGCATCAGGCGGTGGAACCAGTCGACCAGCTCGCTCAGCTGGTAGCGTTTGGGTCTGAAAAGGTTAACAGCAATTATTTGGAGGATCTCACAAATTATGTAGTTTTGATACATTTTGTAGTTCTGATAAAGAATTGGATACTTAAAGTATGCAATTTAAACTAAAATAAAACAGATCTCTTTATGCTCTTAAATAATAAAGAAATCGTGATTAAACTAAGACAATTACTGAATTATAATAAGTTATAATCAGGGTTGGGGTGTACCTAGATTGTACCAAGGTACGTACTTAGGTTAGAATTAATGTTACCTTATACCTTACCTAGCTAAAAGTATGTGAGAATTCCTTACCTAGATAAAGATGTTGATTTAAAAAAAAAAAGAAACTGGCTATGTTAGATATTTAGGTACTGAAATATATTTTGTTTGGTTTTCAAAAAGGCTTGATATCACTTAACTTAATTTAATTTTAATTTTCGCCAATATGCCAATAAAATAATTTGAGTACATCTTAAAAAAAGGTAATTAAACCGTATATGCAAGATAAAATATGTTCTTTTTTCCTTTTTTTTAAAACCAGACTTAATAATATATATCAACCTTTATCTACAACTTCGTGAATATTAAAAAAATTATTAAAAATGTTTTTATTTTAGCCTAGTTGTACCTTTTTTATTACCTAGATACTTCTCAAATTGTGTACCTTTTACATTACCTAGGTACTTATTTTCTCAAATACCTTGTACCAAAAAACTAGTACCTTTCCCAACACTGGTTATAAACAAGGCAATCAAATTTTAATTATATTTGCTTGTTGATTTCAAAAAAGAGTTTTACCAATTAAGCAGTAAACATGTAATTTAATGGAAATGTTACATAGTAAGCTTCTTGTTGGAGAGATTGACTTACCCAACGGCCTGGTAGATGCGACCGGCGGAGTCCGGATCCTTGGCGGCATTGATGATGGCCTGGGCCACGTCCGAAACGTAAACGGGCTGCTTCACAGTCTTCTCGCCCTTGTGCCACAGCGGCATCGAGCGGAACTGACGACGCCAGATGTGGGCGTAGTAGCGCAAGAAGCGATCCTCGGACCCGTAGATATCCGCCGGACGGATGATCGTCGCGTTGGGGAAGGCGTCGCGCACCCGCAGCTCACCCTCGTACTTGCTCTTCAGCCACTCACTGCCGCCCTTGACGAACAGATCCTGCGGATTGGCCTCCACGTTCAGGGAGGACAGGTGGATGAAGCGCTCAACTCCAGCCTCGCGGGAAATCCTAAAATACAAAAAACATTCGATTAATATTAGATTAATAATTAAGTAGTTTAGCTAAGTTAATAATTAAATAGTTTTGTGCCAGGGGCACTTTTTATTTCTGAGTGAACAAATATTAATTTTGTCGGCATACATATTTGTTTACTTGTATATATGTATATAAGTTTATCTAACTAGATTTTAAAGCAGATCAGTGAGTTTGTATTTTATATAAATGCTTATTCGATATGTAATTGATTTATTAATTTCTGGGAGTCAGGGCTTGTTAAAACATTTAAGAACATTTAGTTATTTAAATACTATTCAAATGCGAATGCTTTAGGTAAATGTTGTAAACAGGCCTGTTTTTCAAGAACAATACCAAAACATTTAGGTTCTTGCGGTAGCATTAGACTTATTATAAGTATGTTTGATAAAGTATATAATATTCACCTGGCGATCCTTTCGGCTCCGTTGACATGGACATCCTTGTACTTGAAGTTCTTGGTCTCAAAGTCCCTGCCCACCAGATTGATGACCACGTTCGAGTGCTTGACGGCTTCGCGAATGGAGGCGGGATCTTCCAGGTTGTAGAAGTGGAACAGCACCTGGCCGAGATCGCCGGTGACCTTCAGGCGGATGACATCGGAATCGTCACCGCGGTAGGGCAGGATCATCTGGGTGCCGGATTTGCCCAGCTTATTGCACACATAGCGACCCACGAATCCAGTGGCTCCGAAAACCGTGGCCACAATCCCATTGAAACTGCTTCGTCCTCCAGTTCCGCGCTTCATGGCAGCCGGATTCGTGGTCCTCAGCGGACGCGGACCATCTTCCGGCGGAGCAGCGGCGGCGGAATATCCACGCAGGCATAGAACTCCCACCACGCCATTGCCATGGTGCTCTGAGTATCGGGAATTTAACCGAAAATGAACCAAAAATAAGCCACAACATTGGTGGCAGAACTCATATTACATAATTTGTTTGACCGGATGTTTTTGCCCGCAGGCGACGCTACTCACTGGCCAGCTGGAGATTACGGGTTAGTACTATGGCGGCCATTTCGTACCGGCGCACTAAACCAACTCGATTGGATAAATTAAACGCTTAAAATCCTATTTTATTTCGGGCAGTTTTGCTCCAAACCAGTGTGACCGCGTCTCAACCATTAAAATATACCGTAGTGTGGTGACAAGTAATACTAAAAACATTTAATTAATATACCAAAAATAAGAGTGTCAAGAGTGTCTACATGTCAAATGTAGAGAAGAGCGCGGTTGCCAGACTTTTGAACAAGATCGGATTTGAAAAATAACGAACAATTTTCAGATTGATCTTTTAAATAAAATTGAGCTGGTTTCAAAAAGATTTATTATACCCAATTTCATACAGCATGTATTAAAATTAACAATTAATCTTTACATCTTATTTTAAATGTTTGTTATACTTTTTTTATTGGTTTTTAATGTAAGTTTAAATTATATAAATATAGTTTAACAAACAGCTATTTACTCGTTATTCCATTTATTTTCTTTTTCTTTCCCACGAAAAATGTATGTATTCACATATGTATGTACCTATTATCTGTTGATAAATTGACTAATTTGTGGCTTTATTTTAAATAAATATATGTGTTATGTACATTTTATTTTTAAGAAAGAATAAAGTAAGCTTACTAATTACCTTACAGTTTGGTTTGTTACAATTTAATAACCTTGTGATGGTTATCTTATTTAATCACTTGCTTAGCTGTTATTATAGTTGACAAATCTACTCAACTGGCTCTTAATTTATGAATAGTCTTGAACAAATAAGACGTAAGCTAACCGTGTCCCAGTTGAAATGGAACTGCCTTGACAGCCAGTCAAACCGCCGAGTTTTTATCTAATGTGCGTGGTTTAATTGCAATTTGCAGGCCCGCGGATCGCTTAATTCGGCACGGCCTGGGTTCTGTGGACAAAGAATTTAGTTAGTCGCCTTCGAGCTGTAAGCACGAGAGCATCGTACTAGCAAAGTGCTATCTGTTCAACATCTACCAAATAGGGATTAAGTGCCCTCATATCAACGTCGATAAGCAGTCGAGTAAAAGTGAGCTTGTGGTAAAATTATTGATATGGATACACATTGTTGCGGTCATAAATATAATACCTCCTAGAAAATCCGTCCTTTCATTATACAATAAAGGTAAACTAATTAGAACCGGGTCCAGACTCTTTGAATAGAATAAAATTTGTATATTTTACTATTTGAAGTAACTTAAATATTTCTTGAACATTGACTGTTACCAGCTCAGTTTGTAAAAAAATGCTTTAAATTTAATTAAAAATGCATCTAACAGTTAAAGTCACAAATTAAAATACTGTGTTAATAGTGTTTTATATTTAACCCAACATCAATAATACATATTTATATGTACATATGTATGTATAAATGTTTGCATAAAATATTTTTTTTTATTTATTTTTCCTATTTAATCACCATGTCTAAAAATACTTGATTAAAAATTAAATTTCTAAAATTCTGGGACTAATTTATTGCAGACAGTTGTTTGTTTGATAAGCTAGATCAGTGTGTTTGACAATAGTGGACTTAATTCCGCATTGATTATCATATATGTATCTACATATGTACGTACATAAAACGTATATGTATATGTACATATTCATATGTAAGCATCATAAACATGCCTAGATAACATCAAAACATACTTACACACGATCAGACATGCACATACAAACTGTCTCGCGAAATACAAGCTTACCTGCTGTTCCCCTCGTTTTCTCTCTTTCTCCTTTATTTCTCTCTATCAGCTGATAACTTTCAACATTCTCACGCACTTTTACACCCACACAATCGCTATCGCCGTGCTTTCGCTCTCTCTCTCGTTATTTTCTCCCCTTTCCTCCACCTTTCTACACACACACACGTGCAGTCTTACGCTCACTTTCAATTCGCGGGCATTCCGTTTATGTTTTGCCGGCTGTGGTCATTGCTATTGTTGTTTTTTTTTTCGGCCATCTCTCTTTGCGTTTCATACCGTTACAATAAGTACTACGATTTTGATACCTCTTTGTATTTTCCAACTTAGCAAGGAGCATTAATATATTGAGAGCATACCTTTCAAATAAACATTATATTACACTAATTTAGAAATTTAACTTTTAATCTCCTCAACAGCCTTTTCTTTGGATTTTTCTGATTAATAAACATGAAACTTATTTCTGAGAATTTGGAATTAGAAAATCAAAATACATTTTCTTGAATAGCGCATTTACAGATTGCTTTAAAATTATAGTTGTAATAAAAAAGTTAGTCTCTATCAGTTCTACGTGTAAAATGTTAATTTAAATTATAAATGTAAATAATTGTTTGTAAAATATGTAAGATAATAATGTAAGAAAATCACTTTCAATTATATACCAGAACCTTTTAATACCCTGCTAAGTGTAACCAAAAATATGATCAAACAATTGTTTAAAATAATTTGTTGAATAATAATATAAAATACATTTTCAATTATTAGAAAGTTGTTAGAATTGCATCAAACAGTTTTAACAACTTTTTAAAACATACACCTGCTATTATTGGGAACAACAGAAAGTGTACAAAGTCGGCGGCTTGCCAAAATCACTTGGCTTTCCCGTCGTACCTCAAATTAGTGTGCTATATATTTTGTGTCGGCTTTGGCGATCATTCGTATTTGAGCCGCGCTGCAGTAAACAACGCTAGGTAATTCGCTCCCGAAAATTCGCGCGTGCCTCAAAATATTTTAAATCGTGAACGTGCGTGTGTGTGAATGTAATAACAATAATAAAATAGGAAAAGCTAATTTTCCTAAGCAATTTACAGTGCCGCCGGCTATAAATAGCCAGCGTACGAGGAACGCACGCATTTTTCCGCTTATCAGAGTCCAAAAGACGGTAAATTTCCAGTTGTAAGCCAAAATCTCACTTATAGACGAAGGGGGTCTAGACTGATAAGAGGGTTTCGGCCTTGTGCGAATAATATTTGCCTGCGTACATATCTGGGACCGGGATCCGAAAGCACAGTTTCAGATGGTATAGATATATATATATAGATGACTGATTCGTTAGCAGGCTGACTGTGAATCCATTTAGCAAGTGATTATTAAGACGCCTCGCGCCTCTTGGCACCGATGTGAAAAAATATTACCCCAAAAAATTACTAAAGCTAAAATAACACCATCTGCGGGGTATAAAAATAAATTTGATCGAAATCAACGCTAATTATAGGTTATATCTGTCTACGATCCAATCGTCTCGGGGGCTAAGATTGAGCTAAAAACAAATTCTCACTCTAAGCTAATTCAATGCAAATTGATCCGGGCCTTGGCTCAAGTACTGAAGAACGCAGCCGTGTTCCCAATGCAATATTATAAACAATTATCCATCCGTTAGTTGTTGAAAATATAAACAAACAGAATGGGTCAAAATAATAGTGGTTGCCTTTAAAAATAGGGTTTACTTTATTATAGTATTAGTATCATAATTAAAATAAAAGACTATAAAGATCAAAGTCCAACAAAAAGCGAAAATATATCGCTTACTCCTAGAAGTTCACGTTACTAAAAAATATTCTTGCTTAAATTAAGAAAAAGTTTAGTTTTTGGTAGTTATGTAAATGCATTTCAAGAAATAATCGCTAAAATATTTTAATATATAAAATTTCGACCGCAACTGTATGTTTATATTTTATTCAATTTTTTTTTCCAAAGGCGAGTCATTAAGTGTAATTGAAGTGGGTCTTTAGTAATCAGCATTAATATCAATTTGTGTATTATTTTAATGGGTTTATATATCATCAAAAAATCTCATTCCACTTGATCACGTTTCTGATGAGGATGCCAGGGAAAGTGCTTTGCTGGGCGTTTCATTCATGGATTTATAGGCGCAGATCTCACGTAGATCGTGGTGCATAAAACTGTAATTAAAATTTTTACACTTCTTTGTTTATTTTAATGGGAATATTTCATTGAATTGTGGGCCTCAGCTTATATTATGTACAGGTGGTCAGGGCTGTGCAGTTTTATCTACAACTATATAAAGAAAAGAAATTGCATTAGCGTATTGAGTTTCATTATTACGATTAAGACAGGCAGAAGTCAGACGAAAGTCAGTTTATAACAGAAACAGCGGTTTAAAAAAGAAAGAAAACCTAATCCTAGTCAACAATGTATTCATTAAGTGTATTGATTTTGTTGTCAAGATATTTATCGTAAGTAACTCCTTTAGTGATCTGTTTTCGAAACGAACTATTTTGAACGGTTGATAGTAAAAATTCAAGTTTGTATCTTTGCATAGTCTTTAAATATATAATGATGTTAATTCTAGGTTTTTGGAGGAACGCCAAAAATGTCCCAAAAACTGAAAACTCAAAATCTACTGAACTAGTAATGAAATTTTCCTAACTTACCTAGCAACATTTGCCGGTAGCAACATGTTTCCTTAACAACATTCCTCATCGAATCCCCCGTCTAGCGATGGTATTTTAACCCACCTGATGCCGAGTTGTTTTCGATATTGTTTCAAAATCGTTCTTATCAGTAGAGCTGTCCAATTCCCATATAATCACATGAGGGCGAGATAGCAATAGGTGGCTAGACAACTATCTCTGTCTGCTTATCAGGTGTCTGCTTTTGGCGCGTTCGAAAAGTGTTCAAATATGCCTCATACACAATAGCTAATTGCCAACGACAACAAAGTAATAAAATATTGGCAGCACACTTTGTCTATATCCCAGTGATAGGCAATAACAATATTGATAGATTTTTAAAATAAATCAAGTTTGTTTTCTATTCCCCTTGTGCATTACAAATTCTAAAAGCATCGGCGACCTTGTCATTGTGGTCGAAATGGTCAAAAATATTAGATAGGTGCTGTTGGTGGCTTTAAAAACAGGCCAGGGACCCGCATAGGAAGTATTTTTTAATTCAATTTCGAAATCTACGCAAAAATCAAAGTACAAATGGTTTTTGTTGCCAAGTTCAATTTGTATGCAGGCAACGGCCCAAACGAAAAATCAAACAAACCAACAAACAGAATTAATGCACCTGATGGCAAATCAAAATAAAAAAGCAAATGTTATTGGTCCCAAATTTTATTGCATGCTTCTCGCATTTTGTTGATGCTTTCAATTGATGAAGTGAGTTGTAGTATTCACCTAATTGACAATCAAGTTGTCAACTTTTGGCGCAGATTTACGATCTGGGTTTTACGAAAACAAACAAAGTCCGGATTCCAATCAAATATTTTGGTAGGTCGTTAAAAGTTAAGAGAACACGTGAAAAGAGTAAATTCAAAATTAATTGAAATACTTAAAGATTTTTTCAAAAGCTAGTTCCAAACTCATTCTAATCAAAAAGATCATGTACCATTTTGATTAATTCAAAATAAAATTCAATATTAGTGTTGTCTTACATATACTAAAATGTAGTGTATTTATTTTCCGATTTAATTCATTACTTAAAGTAATAAAATCGTTTACATTTTAAGTTACAAACAAATTGTAAATTATAAATATACTTGATTTTGCTACAGTTCAAGGCTTAAAATTCACATTCCATTTATATCACACAATGTTTTATCTCGAGGATCACTTTCTTATCTTCTTTATCCCCTAGCAACTACACCAACAATAAGCGAACTAAGGTTTCCCATGCCTCAGTATCTGTATCTGTATCTGTATCTGTATCTGTATCTGTATCTGTATCTGTATCTGTATCTGTATCTGTATCTCCGCTTATCTTTTGTTATCTCGTGTTCGAGCCCCTGTTCCATTACCTCCCACAAACCACCGCACTCCTCCAATTTCCAATGAAAATGAAATCAAATTGAGGAAATGAACATTTAGCGGCTGTGGCAAGTGGAACAACTGGGAGATACATATGTATACTATATATCATCCCCCTATATATATTTGTCTATGGGGAGTATCTAAATTGTTTGTTGCTACCTGTACAATAGTATCTTGTTAATTGTTATCTGTACAATGTCTCTGCTGTAAGTATGGGAATCATTCGATTGTTTGCTGGGGTGCACAATCTAGTGCCCCCGAGGCGCCATTTAGCGCTTTTGTACTTAGCTTCTAATTACAAACCTCCTATATGGGGGTACTAAAACAATAGATTATATCATTTGATCGATTCCAATTATTCGCTATTGCACGTGTGACAATTTGGAATGCAATTGGCTCATTTAAAAGTCGACAACGTGCAGGGGAGGCTTGCATCATTTAATAGAATATAATGATTGCTGATAGTGTTCATTTGCGTAGTATACTTATTGAGCATTCCAGATGGAAGCGACGGATATAAATCAGCTAAGATTTATTGCAAAAAAAGTGATCTCAGGCATCACCTACAAAAAAAAAGTATGCTCTGTTTGAAAAATCACTGTTGTAATTAAAATGTCATTAGAATCTTGGCAACCCTTATTTTAAAATTGGAATAAGTTGTAAAAAATCAAAGCAAAAAGGTCTTGATTTTAATTACTCCCTCAGTCCTTGTAACTTTTAGACCGTCCATTTGGATTAACCGAAAAGTGCGACATGTTCCACGATAATTACTTTACTAGAGGGCATTTAACCATTACAAATGATCAACCGAATAGGGTTCAACCTTGGGGTTACATTGCGGCAAACAAAAACTGGGGAGGCCAACAAACAATCGGTAGCCATATATCCACGATCACGTAAAGTTACGTCAATGTCGCAGGCGATCGAAGCGATCGAAGCGATCGATTCGATGAGATACGCTGAGGTAGCCACAGGTAAAACGGGCCCATTTTGCATCTTCATTTGCATGCAATCCAGGAGAAGCTCAGACCCAGGCCCATGCCCACATGATGATGATCATGATATCGATTTGCATACCAGGTTGGCATGGGCTGAACCCTAAATATGGCAGGTTCAGCTCGGTTCAGTGCGGTATCGCTCCAAAACGGTTCGGTTCGTTTAACCCGCATTGGACACTTGAACTTGACACAGTTCGGATCGGTTTTACTCATTGAATGGCTAATAAAAGGTTTTCTGTCTATTGATAGATGTGACGGCGGTTTTTTGCTAGTTCTAATAATGATCTATCAATAACTGATAATTAAGGGTTCATCCCTTTTCGTGTAAAATTTTTTTTTAATATTTTTAAATTTAATTAGCTAGTAAAGAAAATGCTTCTTATATAATTTGATCGAAAACTAAAATGGCTTTACAAAATTAAACAAAATAAGTGAATAATATTTGTAGCCAAAATATGTCTACTTAAAATAATGTACATAGGTTATGTTCACTGAAATAATAATTTTTAATGTGAAATTTATAAAATACCCTTTTAAATTCGATTTATTACCGGCTAAAGCTTGCTGAGATATTATCACAAATTTTCCAATGAGGTGGAATGACGATTGACAAGTTGATAAACATGCAAATTGTAAATTTGTATAAGCAATAAATTGAGTCAATTTATATAGATCACACCTATGAGGGTTCGTTGACAAGTTGTGACCTCCCCGACATTTATTTCCGTAAAGTATCGAATATTTAAGCAATCACTTCTCACCCACTTTCGATGCCCTCTTGCAGACAATGCCGGTGAAAGAGATACTTCAGCGGTGCAGGCCGATCCCGCTGTACACGGTGCTGGTGCTATCGATCTGCTACTTCGTGCTCCAGCTGATCCTCAGCCACTTGACGCACGGACTCACTCTACTGATGGCATCCCATCACATGTTGTGCAACATTTTCGCACTCGGCGGCTGCATCATCACAATTAAGGTAAGTGGAGCAACCTGTTTGTGCACTGAAAAACATTTCTTTGATTATTGATTTGTAAATTAAAAATAATACCTCAAATGGAAAATATTAAAGCGCTACATATCTTACCTCACCTTTAATTGCTATCGAAATCATGTAATAATATAAATATAACGTTTGTTATATTAAAGCAAAAATTAAAAATATAATATATATATTGACAGCTAGCAAATGATTCTTTCCGTTAAACCGTTTTTAATGGGACTAAACAAACATATTTACAAAATAAGTTATTTCACAAATACTTAACCAAAAAATATAGGAAAATGTAATTTTTTTTTCAACTTTTCGACCTGTATTCTTTATATATACAATATCTTAAACCGAAATATTTTTCACTGATTGTTTTCAAAAAATAATTGTGTTGCCAGAGCAGTTTGACTTATTTTGCTTGGCGGTTTTAATTTTTGTTTTTGGCCAGGAAATGTCGCGTGCTGGTGCAAAGTCGAAACAGATGCTGGTGCATTGAACTTTTATTGTGGCCAGCAAAAAATGTATCGAACGCATTCCAAACACATTTTTTACTTGGCGCAGAACTGGTTTTGTTTGGAGTTTTATTTCGATAATTTATGTCCAAATTTTTGAAATTTTTATCTCTTGGGAGTGGTTTTTTGGTTATTATTTGGGCTTATCGGTCAATTTGGTCACGGTTTTTGTTGGGCTTATCAGCTGATTGCTGTGTAATTGGCTACTCAAGTGAAATGCCTCTGTCTACACAGCTTGTGACATGAAATTAGGTTGATTACACGGAGATATCGTACAAAGTGTTGTCATACTCAGTTTCTATGTTCAGATAAGTTCAAATGGAAAACAAATTTATGAGTATCGTTTGGTAGATTGCAAAAAAGGCAATATATGTGAGATCTTTATAGTTAGGGATAGAAAGGATTCCATTCAATTGATTGATTTTGAGTTTGTGTTCTAATTTTAATTTTTAAACAAAATTTCAGAAAAGAAACTTTATATATCTATTTTTTGCCTAATATAAAAAATTTCAAATAAATTAAAGTTAAAAGTTGTTTAGCTTTTAAGTTCTAACTTATGAAAATTAAAAAAAACATTTTTGAATTAATTTTTAAAAGTTTCTTGAATTAATTATCCATAGTTAAACTGCTTTTTTTTCTAATAAAAACTTTTACCCTTATTTTGTTTAAATATTATTTGCAGTTTTACAAAATATATTGTTAATATGGCAACTTAAATAATCAATATTTAATCAAACGCCGTGACATCGCTTGAACTATTTTCTTCATTTTTAGTTTGCCACGGATTAATTTAAATTCAAGGTGAATACTTCCATAAGCAAAATGTCCGACTAAAAATTTATGGAGCAGCCAAAGCTAATATTTTGTTATTGAATGGATGCAAAAATCGTTGCCGCCACGGGAAAGCGTGCCAAGCACGTTTCGCAAAAGACAAAGACAAGGCCCAAAACGGCAGAAAGCAAACAAGACTTGGCCAAAATCGCAGAGTTACAGACCAGAAATCGAAAGCTTCCAAACAGTTGACGGTGTTGTAGGTGTGGACAGTTGTGTGGGCCGATTCCGAGCTTATATAATGGGGCAGACGGAAGATCAGCGAAGCGTTTAAATAGCTGCCAACAATTGTTGATGGGCCAATGCCAATTGTTATGATTTGGCTTAGAAAGCATGACGATGTTTGAACTTTTCCACTTGATTCTATTCCTATTTGATGTTTTTGGACAACATTGTAAAAAATTGGACAATAACAATTAATGTTGTCTATACAACATAGACTTTATTGGCTCAATAAGTAAAAGTACACGGAAAATGATTAAAATTTTTTCTAATACATTACTGAGGAATGTACTTCATTTGAAAGCAAACCGTGAAAGTTAACGAATAGCGGCTGAAAAAAGTTATAAAGTTATCTGGAATATGTTTTTTACCTTTTTTAAACTAAAACTTTTCAATAATTTTTTAAAAGATTAAAAAAAAAAGAATTCCCTTTTTACAGCCCTGTATTTTAATTTTTGTGCTAAAACATAAACTTCTTTTATTGTTAAATTGACTTTTTTCAACCAATAAACTATTTAATTATTTGTTATTGTCATTCTTTTTGAAATCTTTTAGCATAGTAAACAAAAGCCGGATCCCCAAAATCCGCCCCCAAATCAGACCAAGGTCAACTTCAACGGCAATGGATCGGGAGTGGTTGTTAACCTGGCCGAAACGGAGGCCCAAAAACGGGCTAAACGGGAGTGCCGTGAGCAAAAGCTACGAAATACCTTTGGTTGGGCCAGGATCGATATACTGACCATGCTGATTGTGTTCATTATCCTGGCGTCGTTATCCTTTTCCCTGGTGGTGGAGGCTTTGCAAACACTTGTTCACATCGACCATCAAGATACGATGCACCTACCGATTCCAATGATGATGCTCGGCTTTGTGGGCCTAGTCCTGAATGGACTTACATATCTGCTCATTGGCGGATACACGCTGCATCAGGGCAGCTTTCTGCACCTGACTCCCGGCGGAAATGTGGTGCTTGAGCGTCCCATGTCCAGCAATCTGGATCTGTCCCTCACTCCAATGCAAAGGCAACTCAGTAAATCCCGAAACGATCGTCAGTTACGCGAGGAATTGGAGGCGGAGGTGGGTAGTGTTTACTTCGCCACCAAACGCCAGGGAGCAGTGGAAATGCTGCGCGATGTGTCCAGTACCATATTTGTGATCGTTTGTGCCGCAATCGTCTATGTGGCGGAGGATGAGCATCATACTGCCAAATTTATTGATCCCGTCCTCTCCATTTTCTCTTGTGTCCTGCTCGTGACGCTTAGCTATCCCTACAGTAAGTGCATATTATTTAAATTATATTATATTATATAAAACCACAAAAGAAAAAAAATAATGAATAGGTCATTCCTATTAACTTTTGATAATAGCTTTAAATGTCAATATGTCAATTTCTAGAAGATATCTTAAACAACAGCACAACTATTTTTGTAAAATATACAAATTGTCTTTTTAACAGTTTTTTATTTACAATCTAACATTTTTTTATTTTCAATATTTTTTTTCTTTAATAAATTATCTTCTAAAATTAAATTATTTGTTATATCTTTTATAGTGAAAGAATCCTGCCTGATCCTGCTACAAACAATTCCGGGTTCCATCGATCTGGAGATCTTTGAGAGGACACTGGTCACCAAATTCCCGGAGATTATCAGTTACCATGATCTGCACATATGGCAGTTGGCCGCCCATCGATACGTGGCCACCATTCACATCCAGTTCCAGAATCCCAAACTCTACCTCAAGATCATCGAACAGGTGCGGGCATATTTCCATGATCAGGGTATCGGAGCGGTCACCATCCAACCGGAGTTTTATCCGTCCACCAATAAAAATGCCTCTGCCTCGCTGGAATGCCTGATGCAATGTCAGGCAGCGGAATGCATTGAAAAAGTTTGTTGCCGGGACTCCCGCAGCGATCTCCGTGAGGTTTGCGATGCTCCCGGAGGCCGAAAGTCATCTACTCCAATCAAATGTCAAGGCGATGGCCACGATCATGGCAGGGGAAAATCGAAATCCTGCGCCGAACTTAGCGCAGTGGTTGTGGAGAAACCCAAGGAACTGAATGCAGCCCAGCTGTTAAAGGGTCAAGATCAGGAAGTGGCCAAATCCATGCCCAAACTGCAACATACGCCATCGGATGCTGAATCGACCTGTTTGGGTACATCTTCATCGAATGAATATACATCCAAATCAAATGACAGTCCACCTCCTCCAACGAGTAGCGATTGATTCACCTTAAATAACCATAGTATTGAATCAAGGCTTAACGATTTTAGCTAGTTCTTAAGTTAGTTTACGAATTTGCCATATATCTGTTGGAGCTCCTTTTTTAAAACTAGACGCCTAAGAAGAACTGGTAGGCTACGCTTGATCACAAGAGTTGAGAATTCAGTAAAATGTAAGCAAAAGAGTTTCAGTCAACTTCAATATTAAGTCTTAACCAACTTCTTTTCGATCATGTTTTGATTTTAAGAATTTGGTTTTGAGCACTTTTAGTCAAATTTTTGTATCTCATCTAAATTTTAATATATATACTTTTAATCCTAAGACGTTAAATTTCAGAACCGAAATTTTAGAACACAATGAAATCACTTAAAATAAATGTTTATAATCAGGTGCTGTTTTCTCCCCTCTCTTGTGTCAAGAAACGAACTACATTTTGCCAACCAGTGCAATTAGTTTACGAATAATTTGTTTTAAGGTACATTTACTATGTATATGTTGTACTATATAAGTCTTAAACATTTACAACCGAAAGATTACAAAAAATATATCAAACTTGACGTGTCATTAGCTAAACAATCTTTTCTTTGAACTATAAATACGTGGGTATAAAAATATTTGGATAGGTGTTTTGTAAGTCTGCTTAAGTAGTTTTGAAGCACACAGTCAGTTAACAATAGGGTCCTCTCCAAGGTACCGCGGCGGGTAAAAGAACATTTAACAATGTCCCCATATCGGACAGGTCAGTTAGATAAGGCCGTAATTAGATAGAACATTTGTGATTCACTGGGGGGCATAACTTGTACTACTTGTGCTCGCCTCCGCCCAGCAGGTACTCCAAAGCGAAGAGCCGTATAATCAGTGCCAGGTTGTCCGTCGTCGCATAATCAATCACACTGGCGTTATCATCCGGCGTATGCCAGACACTTGGAAAGGGCACCGGAATGAGGTGCAGCACCGGTACATTTCGCCGCAGGAAGGGTATGTGATCGTCCTCGATGTAGGAGGATCGCATGGCCTGCGACTGGAAGTAGCGGGTGGGATCGCGCTGGGAAACTCCACTGTTGGCATAGCGCTCCAAGAGCTGCAACTTGGCCAGCCTTGTCTCAACGGACTGCATACGCATGTACCAGGACTCGGTGTTCTCGAAGAAGCTGTAGAAAGCTGGATCGGGGGCTCCTAAAAGATCCAGTAGCACCAACATATCTATCCTGTCCAGTTTCTTTTCCTTGTGCCACTTTTTGGCCAAGTGACGGGCTCCGTAAATGGAATCCTTGGGTCCCCATTCCTCGAAGGCCTCCTCGCCGTCAAAGAACAAGAGCATCAAACTGAGTTTGCTTTTCTTGAGGGGCTTAAGTTGCTCCTGCAGCACTTGGGCCAGGTTCAGGAGCATGGCACACGGCACTGCGGAGTCGGTGGCCCCCAGGAATTCCACTCCCGGCATGTACTTGCTATCGTAATGGCAGGCCAACACCAGGAAACGCTCTGCGTTTGGATTCAGTGTGGCTATGATGTTGTGAAAATGCAATTTTCCCTTGATGGGAGTTTCGTCGTGGAAACTGTTCACCTCCACATCCCAGTCCAGATCCCTCAAGCTCTGGCTTATATACTTCCGTACAATGCTGTGGTTTCCCGAGCCCACAACTCGGGGTATTAAGATATTGTCGATGGCCTCCCTTAGATGCAGTTTATCGGACAGATTGCTGTACTCCAGAAAGCGGGATTCGGAAAGCTCACTGGGATTGTAGGATATCTGTTGGGAGTAAAGAAGACATACATAGGTTTAGGTGGCAGCTGGAAAGGTGTATCCTTTGTTGACCTGCGAGCGCCCCACGAGATTATCCTTGAGTTGTACGGATCCCCTGGCCAAGGTGGCTATCAAAGCCGTCTGCACGCACAGCGTCCAAATTCTAGTGGTTCGTTGGAGCATATTTAACCGACTGACTAAAGACTACGTGGCCGAGTATTTTGTTTTGATGTGTGGGAGTGTTCTGCCCCAACAGGTGGTTCCGATCAATAGCGGCAAGTGTGTGGAGTTCCAAGGACGTGCGTCTGCGGCACGACTTTGCAGCAGACTGCGGCATGTAATGGGAAATATCTGCCGTGGCTAGTAATTTATCATTTTAGCAAGTTATTCGGGGAAACTTGTGTGTGGCACAAAACAACAAAGCATAGGCGTAGCAAAGGGGGATTAGATTGTTTGCCAGTATTAAATAATTCAAAATAAAACTTTGAGTTTTGGTAAGTCATTCTTGTTAAATATTATATATAATACGTTTTCGAATATTCCTATAATAAATAACTAATTGGTATTTTTAGAAAGTCCATTCAAAGTTAATTCTAACCCCACTAAAGAAGTAGCTATGTTTACGCCCATGTTGTTAGAACAGCTGCTTTTCAGCTTTAACAGGTGGCAACGCTAGGCGTTAACAGCTGGCAGCACCATAAATAAGTTAACGGGCACTAAAAACATATAATGGTTTTTTTTCGAAAGGCAACCTAATGTAAATATTTTTTTTGGATACGAAACAATATTGAAAGTTTCGAATATTTTAAGGTCAATTATAGACCAGTTAAAAAATTTGTTGATAAGATAATAATTTGTGGTGTATTTATATTGGTTAGTTTGTGTTTTTAGATAAATTCTCTCTAAACGTACTGTCTCATTAGTTCTCGCTGGAGTTAAGCCTCTTTAAATCCCACCTCCACATTAATAAAGCCCCAAAAATTGTATCTCTTAAGTATGTTCCACTTCTAACCTTAGGAATATCCACCAACTCGAAACAAGCGCCCAGATTGTATATCTTTTTGCGGGGCTTTGGCAGCAATCTCTTGACAGTCTCCATCAGGGAATAATTTCTTAATAGCACACGCATTTTCACTTATTTATGTCTTTTTTAATACAAATTATGCACACAGAACACTTGACAACTCGCTTTCCACGCTGTTATCGAAACTTATGCAATGGAAAACGATTACACACGGTTTACAGGCGACTTTCTCCTCCCTCGCTGGCATATAAACATTTGTATATATATATATAGTATGTATGTACAAGAGTGCTTTGCCGATCTATGGTTAATGGAAATGGGGAAAACAGTCCGGATGAATGAGGATTAGTCCGTTTTGGAGGCCTTCGAACCGGATGCTCCGAAATAGGCCCTGTAGATATAAAGTGCCAGAGCGATGTGCAATGATATGACCGCTCCCACGGCAGCTGCGATATTGACTTTGACTTCCGAAATGTCGAGGAATCGATCCAGAACGAAACCTTTCAGGACGAAGAAAGTCAGCACGGGCAGGAATACGATGAGCATGCAATAGTACAGGACCGTCTTGAACGAGCTGTAGTCCTGCAAGTCCTGGGTATCCAAAATAAACAAGGGATTAGCTAGCCGGCATTGGCACCCATGTATGTATGTAGTTACTTACGTGCGATTGCTGGCGGCCTTGTTTCAGCCCTCCTCCGTTGCCATCGGTGCTCTTCTTAGTTTTATTCGACATTTTACTAGCTATATTAAACCAGGGTTAATTGAAAAAAGCAATAATTTCTTTTAATTTCGTTTTTTGCTTTGACCTGCCATTCGGTTATCAGAAATATTTGACAAATCACTAGTCACATGATAAAACGGTAGTACCGTTCGAAACATCAAATATACCAAAAGATACCGTAGATATTCGATTATTCGTTTTGTAACAAATATTTTAAATCGAAAATTATTTTAATTATTAATTTTTTTTTTTTTTTTTTTGGTTTTAAGTTCACGGTCCCGCTGCCTTTTTAACGTTAAGTTCAAACTTTATTGTTTTGTTTATTCTATTGTGTTTATCCTGCTAATTTTTACATTTAAATAGTAAAAAATCTACAATTATACCATTAAGCCTCTCATTTTAATTCCGTTTTGTTGTCAACTCCAATGATGCATCGGCCCCGGTGGTGTTTTATCTATTTTTTTTACCCAATTTCGTCTAGTACTTTTTACGGGTATCGAGTTTTGCCACTTTTCATAATTCATTGCTCATTGGAAACGCCATACGTTTGTTGTAGCTAAAAAAAATTAGCAATTAATGCAATGTCATAAGCCCATTACCAAGATACACTGCTTTGAGCATTTATTTTACCAAAGTACATTTTAAATATACGTGCTGTTTTTCTTTCTATTCCAGACTTATTTGAAATTAATTAGGTATTAGTAGTAATAACCTTATTTATAAAACTAAAAAAAAAAACACATGTTAAAATTAGCAATAAATGCTACCTATATATTGGGAGTATTGAGTGACCCTATTTTAATACTTATACTTGTATTCATTTGTACAAATTTTTGATACATTGAATAAGAACAAAAAACGAGTACTTTTTCCAGTTGAAATGCATCTTTGTAAAAGTAAGGCATATTAATTTTTTTAACAATTCGACCCTATGATTTTCACCGCAGTTGTATAGTAACCAATCTTTTTTAGTATTTTCCAGTATATTTCCCACGGCCGACGGCCATATTGCGACACCGACAGTGCGGTCCCACTGGAGCGAAAGAAAACAAAAGCAAACGTGAATCAAAAGGCGCACGCGGCAAAATGTAAAAACTTGCTTATTGGTTTATTTTTAACAGTTGCCGTCATCGCGTTCACATTTTGGCCGATTGCTCGCGCGTCCCGTTTGCGTGTGTTAATTAAATTTATTTCAGCCATTGCCAATTGCTGCGTATATTCGGCGGTAATTAACGACCGAGAGCCCGCTAAGTCCATATAAAGTACGCGCCTGCAGTTAGCGGCACGATTTCGTACAGTTCGGTCCATCGTTTATTTTTTTGGGGAATTTCCACTGCAGCGCGCCATGGTTTTGACGAATTTCGAGTGCTGGGCACATGGTGATCCGTCGGCAGCCGCCACTTTCGAAACCGAAATGCTGCGTCCTTCGATGGATCCTTTCAATCCACGCGCCGTCACTTTCATGACCGATGCCAACAACAACAACAACAATAATAACAACATACACATTGAGACTGGGCAAGCGATGCCGGTAGTCCTGCCACCGGAAGTAATGCGCTGCAAGAAGCGCCTGAATCCCGGTCAAAATCCTGGCGAGGATGCGGATGTGGACCAGCCGATGTACACCAAGCGTTGCCGCTACGACGAAGCCGATCTGGCCGCCCAGTATTGCAATGGTAAGCACTTTAGGGTTCTCCAAAAAGGGATTACAGTGCTCCCTCTTAAAAGTGAAAAAAGGATAAAAAGGTGTTAAATTTTTGTTTGTTCCAGTAAATAAATTTGGTAGAGTATACAACAATGATTTTTGATATTCATTGTTTGCACTGTGTCTTGCACATTTTCTCATTTTTTACCTGCTAAAGCCAGTAAAACGCATGGTTTTACAGCCCCATTTATTTTATTACCGCTCTTGAATACACACACATTAATTCGGAATTATTTATTAATTGTTATTTGCTTTATGAATATATATCATGAGTTTATAGAGTTAAGGCTAACGAAACAATCTTACAATTATAGCTATACAAATATTTTTTTTATTTTACTAAAATATTTAAGATTTTAAAAATAAGATTAGCTAAGATTATCTGTTTATTTTATTGCCGCAACTTAATAATCTCTGTTTTAATGGCAAGTAAAAATCTGGTAAATTACTGATTTTATCTAAGTCACCCAGTGCTTTCTATTTGCAAATAAGTCTTAAAACAGAAAAAGCTTTTAAGGTTTGTTTTTTTGCAAACGAAGCAAGTACTTTGAGTTGATTATCATTTATCTTATGGGTATATGTATGTATATCTCGTTTTCAACTAATCCAACCTTTATAATCAAATACAAATTATATTGGCCAACTTGAACGAAATAAGAAAACCATATTACAAAGTGAATTTAAAAAGCGGAACACACTTTATAATTTTTGGTATAATTTTCGTTTTTTTTTTATCATTCGACCTTGACTCGCGCATTGAATTGGCGTTGCGTGAAAAGTGTCGTAAAACCTGTAAATTTACAAAATTATCTGACCTTGTGGCCCAGTTCGCTTTTTTTTTTACCTCTCGGTGACCTGTGTTATCAGTTCCCATTTATTCAGTTAGATTTTTGCTATCGCTGACATATAGAAACCATCGCACTCAAAACGATAAGCACTTGACAGCCGCTTAATTTCAGCAAAAGCAAACCGGCTTGACAGTCATTATATCGCTGTGTTTGCTCGACTAAACACACGACTTCCAGTTGGGGATTATCTAAAAGGGGTTGTGGATATGAAGGGGTCAGCGTAGTGCTTAAATTCTCCTTACCCCGCGAGTTTAATCAATCTGCATTTGCGAAAGTGTTTCAACAGTAGAAAACAAAGGGCAGAAGGCAGTGTGTGGGTGTATATATGAACAGCCGGTAAAAAAAAGTGTGTATATCTAGCGAGAGTGAATCAATAATCTATACCCTTGCAGAGGGTATATTGTTTTTTGTGATGTTTGAAAGACATTATAAATATTTTTTTGATTTATATGGCATGCCACAAAAATATTTTTATTATCGGTTTTCTTGGTTGGGTGAATTTATGGACATTATAAAATTCATAAAAAAAAATGTTGTCTTGGCGGATGTATAAATGATCGCATAGCTTTAAAAACATAAAAGTTGAAATGTACTTAAAAAATTAACCATTTTCGATCATTTTAGTTATTTGTAAAATAGAATAGAACTAATGTATTAATGTTTCCAATTATACAAATTGTTGGGTTAGCAAATAAAAATATTAATATTTAAAATAAATATAAAAATAGTACTAAATTGAAAAATATAATTTAACGAGAGTAGGAAGTAAACAATGTCTTTAACATTTTGAAAATTGTGTTCATACTTAAACAATTTTTTTTTAAGTGATATAAAAATTTTTTTTAAATTGCAGTCTATTGTTTTGATATGGTATCAGCACAAACAAAAAAACAGAAACAAAAAAAAAACTAACTCGGAGATAAGAAATGACAACGACAGCAACTCGCGGCTCTGCTTCGAATTGGCTATAAATAAACGTTTGGTAATTGGGGCAAATATCGATAGTGTCAACGTGTTGCGTTGCATTGCCGTTGCACTGAAAAAAAATGTAAATCTATGGACCCTATTATTTAAAATAATGTACTTATAAAATAATATTGTCCATTTATTTATCTTATATGTATGGTTGTTTCACCTTAAAGTGCTAAACAAAATTTTAAATTTTTTCAACATTTAAGTGTAAAATCGTTAGATAAATTTTATTGATGTTTTTTTGTGTCATTGTACTACTAAATCGGTTTCTCTCTCTCTATTTGCAGATTTCTTTTCCCTGCCTGCCACACAATTAATTGGAACACAGGCCTGTTTGATGGATTACGAGATGCAGGCCACCGGCGGCATGATGATGGAATCAGAGACGAGTTTTCCAGCACAGCAGCAGCAGCAGCAACATCATCAGTCGCAGCAGCAGCAACATCATCAGCGCATTAATCAGCATTTTCAAGGTCATTTGCATCGCGCTAACCGTGATGTGAGTCGTTGCATGATGTCGCACATGATTTAGGGGCCCTCGTTCACACAAAATTTTTTAAATGTACATAGTCCAAAATGAACATTTACCTCTAACTGAGAAAAACGCACAAAAACACATGCAACAGTTCACCGAGCGACGCGTCTCTCTTTATTTGCAAAACAGCCAATGTATCCAAAAATGTTCACAAATTATTACTCAGAAGCCAAATTAACGCAAACAAACAATTAAATTGAAATTAATTGCAATGCACATACTTAACACGTACCAAAAATGAAACTTGTAAAAAAAAAAACAATCAGCAAACGAAAGAACCAATATAAGTATTCTGTATAAATTGTTAAACACACAGCCCATACTGTACTTAATTGCATAAAGAAATTAAATACTTAATTAGTTTCAATATGTAATCGTTAACTCTGCGAAACATTGCAATCAGCTAATACAAGAGCAATATAATTTTAAGTAAAATGTTCAATCAGCTTGAAGCGATTGCTTAGAGCCTTCACAAAGTGTTGGATAAATGTATTTAACATATAATTCCGCCAATGTGAAGTTGATGATTCGTAAAATTAGTTTAAATTACTTATAAGACCTAACACCATAAGTTCAAAATGTCATTGAAATATGTATGTAAGCATATGGATGATTTATATATTAAGACTATAAGGAATTATGAAATATTTTGTTTACCCTTAAAATACTTTTTGGTTTTTGGGTTTAATAAACCTACTCCATATTTTCTTCCATTTAAGTACTAAACATTTTTTTATAATTTTGAAAAAAATAGTGAATACTAAAACTTTTTTTCTGTCATAGTTATTTTTTTCTAAATTTCAATATTTTAATTTTTTATAGAAAGATAATGTTTCTAAAGAAATCCATATGAAACTTGAAATTGTATTAAGTAAATATTTTGAAATAACTTTAATATAGAAATTTAACATTTATGTAGATTAAGCTTTCTGAAATCCCATAAATTTTTCAGGAATTCAACAAACTATCTCTTAAAAACTTGATATACGGAAATCAGCAAACTTTAAGAAAACATGATTGAATTAAAGGCATGAAATAACACTTTGTGAAAGATCTAGAGAGCAAATGCAACAAGCCAGAGCTACGGCATCGAGTGTAACATTCAAAACTGATAGACAACTCTACCCACTCTGCTCGTTTACAGAATCCGCAGAGCACCGAATGCCACCATCGCAGCAAATTTCAAGAAAATCTATAGATCCTCTCAAGAATATCAAATCAAAATCCATAGGCAGCGAAGCCGAAGCGGACTTGTATATAGCCACACACGGCGGTTGTCTGCATCACTTTCGAAAGCTCAGCGGGTCGGAGCAAGAGGAGTTTGATATCTAGCAATAGCCCAATTAACTCCAAACGAGCATTGTAAATCCTAACCTAAGTAGTAATATAAGCTCTCGCATATCGCAACTTGAAGGTGCTTAGTATTAGTATTTGAATTCTAATAAACCATAAGCTATCATTGCGAAGCTCAGATTAAGTTTAGAATTATTTAATATGGGCATTATTATTGGGGGCTTTCTTTATTTTTCCAACAGAATTTCCCCTAAAACAAAGGTGTTCCATGTAAAAAATTTTGTGAGTAAAAATTGTATATGGATTTTGTTTTGAATAGTGGGCTTAACATCGATGCTAAACACTTTTAAAACTTTTTTTTACTTCCGTTGAATTTAAAATAAATCGATATTCAACTTAATTTAAATATTTTTGCCATTATTTAAAAGTTATTTTTAATATGATAATATTGCAATTTTTAACATTTTTTACTTGACTATTTTTGAAAGAACTATTTTAGATTTACGCCATAATTAACTTTAAAAAATGCATTCAAATCAAATATTATTATTAAATATTTATTTTTTAGATATAAAATACAATAGCTTGAACTCAATAGTCACAATCTATGAAATGTGTATGAAAGAGCACTTCATAAGCAGTTTTAAATATGGTAAACTAGAAACAAGGCACTTAAATATGGCTCAAATTACGGTGAAATATAAGTAAAAAAAAGTTCAAATTTTCAAACGAAAATCATTGTTGCCCTACAAATAAGTAATTCACTAGTTTTCTTTTCCAATAAATGCCTTATTGTATTTGCGAAGGTAAATAGTACAGAACTTTGTGTTGGTATCCACTAAATAAATGCAGTGTTAAATGCGACAGAATTTCATTACTTAAGAATACTTGATGCGGTTGTTTGATCGCCCTGATCCGCTCCCCTGTTGATCAGATCTGCAGCTTCTGCTGTTGCAGCTGCACATTGATGTAGTTCTCCTGGACATCCTTGACCATGAAGTCCACTAAGTTGGCCAGGTCGTACTTGTGCTGCCAGTGCCAGTCCTTCCGGGCATCCGAGTCGTCGAACACCTCTGGCCACGAGTCTGCGATCAATTGACGACTGTCCGGCTGGTAGGTCACGTGCAGATTGGGCACGTGCTTCCCCAGCTGGGCAAACAGCTCCTCGGGAGTGAAGGACATGGCGGTCACATTGTATACACGGCGCTTCAGCTGCTCATTGGGTGCCCTCATAAACTCCAGGAGTGCTCTAATGGGGAAACAAATTAAAGGTTCATAAAAAATTGCGCGATTTTATTTTATAAATACACTTAAATGCGCTTATTTTGAAAATAAGAAACGGCTATACGTGTATACCCTTGCAGAAAGTATTATAATTCCAGTTAAAAGCATACGTTTGCGACCACATAAAGTTTATATATTCTTGATCAACATCATGAACAAAATCTTGATCAGTCGATCTAGCCATGTACATCCGTCTTTTTATTGCAGAAAGTATATATGTTAGTCAGAACGAGATGGATCGGACAACTATATCAGATAGCTTCCATAGGAACAATCAGAAATATACATTTTAAATTTTATATACGCTGTGTATCAATTATTTTTTTTAATGGTTTTATTTTATACTTATGTTTATTAAAATTGGACGAATACATTGTATATATTCCATAGGAACGATCGTATAGTTAATCGAAAACTCTTCATAGCTTCACTGTATTAAAACACGCACGGATAAATATCTAATTATGTAGTTGTTTTAATAAATATTACACTTTTGAAACATCTGCTAGGGTGTATAAGCTTCGGCTTTCCGAAGTTTTCTTCGTTTCTGGCTAGATTATGATTTGATTAACCTTATATTTCCATGGTCAAAGAAAAAAAGTACTTAATAATAATGTAATGTAATGTTTTCCACTCACCGCAAACAATCCTCGATGTACATCATGGGCAGTCTTGTATCAGGACGCAGATAGCAGTTGTATTTCCCATGTCGCAGGGCATCGTGGAATACTGCCACGGCATAGTCTGAAATATAAAAAAAATATATATTGATAACAAAAATGTAACTGCAAAACATTAGTTTTGATGTACTGCAAAACAAATTTCAATTATTGAAATTAATTGAATAAAATAACTTGTATTTTAATTTCAACAGAAATCTTGAAAAGCTTTTTCGTAGTTTTAAAGCTTGCGTAATTTAAACAGTAAAATTACGTATACGTATATCATTATTCAACAATTTCTATCTTTAAAGCTATATTTTTGTCAAATATCAATTTGACTTTCTTTTACTCTTAGCAAGCATAAGTGAAAGCACTTGAGGGCATAATATTTCTAAGACTTAAACATCTTCAATTTAATCAATTCAATTGTTTAAAGGAAAAATTAAAATGGGTCACGAGCTTTGCTCCGCCCAATAAAAAGGCGTAGCATGAGACCTACCTCGTGTATAAATTATGCCCATTGTCATGCTCTTTGATTACCATCAACCATCATCAATTGAGGCATTTATGATACAAAATTGGATTAAATAAAGCTTGAAATTCGCCTAGCGACACAGTTTCAATGGAATAGTGACTCAAAGATATTTTCCCGCAGATGGATATGCATGAGACCATGTAGAAAGTACAGGCGATTAAGTATCCATTCCTACCTGTGGTGCCACCGCCTGGCGGATCACTGGATATAACTCCGGGGAAGCGCAGGCATCTGAAGTCCAGGCCAAACTTGTGGTAATAGTATTCGCCAATCAGCTCGGCGTGCACTTTGGAAACGCCATAAATTGTGCGCGGACGTTGGATCTGTGGAATTGGGCCATAAGTATCGAACAAACTTTTGGGTGTGCAAACAGGAGTCAAACATACCGTAACATTTGGAGTGGGATTGCGGGGGCTGTCGGGGCCAAAAGCCCCAATGGTGCTAGGCACAAAGATACGGAGCCTATATTGCTTCGCCAGCTCGATGACATTGTGAACACCCTCAATGTTGACCCTATAAATTTATATTAAGCGGGATTTTTATAAGATAAGAAAACGATTTAATGATTTAAAGATCTTAAAAACGAGTAAATTAATAAAACAAGGTAACATTTTAGTAATAAAATAACGAACATTAATGTGATTATTGTATGATTTTTGTACAGCTACGGTCAACATAATTGTAGTGGGACAAAACATACCTTTGAGTCATAGGACACTTTAATTAGTCATAATGCTTACTTTCCAAAAAACAAATTTATGTTTAAAATACCTTAAATAATGTTTTAGTTTAAAGAATTTATTAAAATTTACTTTTTAAACAATTTAAGAAAACGTGAATTAAACATGATGCAATTGCACTTTGTTTTAAATACATGATCTACTTTTTTAATGAAAAATTAAAATAAAAAGTTGTGTTTCGGAAAATAATTAATTTAATATTACGATTGAAATCGGAAGGGACAAAAAAAAGTTGAATATATGAGTAAAAAAATCGTACCTCACTGCCAGTGGCACATTTTGTTCGCCCACGGCACTGAGCAATGCCGAGAAATGGATCAGCCAGTCGATGCGGTGGTTCACAACGATCTTTTGCAGACCCTTGAAGTCCAGGATATCGGCAAAGATGTACGGCCCATTCTCCAGCACAGACTGACTGGGCTTGATGATGTCGGAGAGAATTACATTCTCGCTGCCGTAGTGCGCCCGCAATAGTTTTGCGCACTCAATGCCCAACTGCCCTAGGCCACCTATAAAAAAATAAAAAAATATCACATTACATTTTAACATGTATCAAATAATAAAAACAAGAAAGACCGCAGTCGCTGTTGTATTTGATTTTGAATTTTATCAATACAAAAAAAAATTTAATTACTCGACACTTTTATATTTAAAGTCTCATGAATATTTTTTTAATTTTATTTTTATGTCACTGTGAACATGTGTTGTATGGTTACACAACTATATTGATTACCACAATTTGAACAACAAGTTAAAAATGTTTAAATAACTTTATTATTATTTGACGATAAAGATTTTCTTTAACTATTTTGCTATGCATTTTTCCTTCTTTGAAAAAGTCACTTTTTGTTATAAACTTTTTTTTTTTAATTTCTTTTATATACGAAAGAGTTTTTTTGACCCATTTAAAAGATCCCTATTAAGCAATGTTCAAATTTTGTAAATAACACACTTTCAGCGATTTACAAAAAAGTTACTGCCAAAATTTTAATAACTGCTTATAAACATTTTGAAAAAGGAACGTTTTTAAATTTTGGATTTTTTTGCCTGATCTATTTTAAAGATCACAGTAAATCAATGTTTAAATCTTTTGAATAGCACATCAGCAGCGGAGTAAAAAAAATTAATGTCAAAATTTGAATAACTGCTTAGAAATATTTTGAAAATGGAAATTTTTTTTTAAATTTGTCGTGTGTGGAATAGAAGAATAAGTAATAAATATTCTGGACGGACAGCTGGGTCGTCCGATCAGCCTTGAACGCATGGCGATGCGGATAAATATAGATCGTCCACGTGGCGCGGCAACTGACCTGTGATGAGAATTTTTGGCGGCCTGCCCTCGTGGGGCACCTGGTGGACAGAGCGGCGCTGGACGAGCTGACTGGCCACCGGGGTTATCCTGGGGATCGAAATCGAAATCGGACTGGGGACGGGGGCCAGGGCCAGGCTGGCAAGGCATTTGCGAAACATTTTCCGGACTGACGATCTTCCGATTCGCGACGAGCGATGCCAGCGAGCTACGGTTTTCAACTGATTTCGAAATTCGCAATATATTTTTCACCAAGCCCTCAACATTACTTCACTCCCGCCCAATTTCCGCTATATGTTTTCACATATATCGCGTGAGCAGTCGGATCCCGTCGGCTCCATTCGTCTCGTCTAGTCGCTTAGTTACTTAGTTAGCGTGTTAGAGTGTTAGTTGGCAGCCAGTCAAATTCATTATGAGCGCGAACTGTCGCCATGGCGAACCGAATTTGTTTGGGGCCCGGTCCGGTCCGAGATTCAATAAAAACGAAAGCGAATATATGGAGGAGGCCCGACAATTGACAACAACAAGTGCCTCAGATGGATGGGTTTCCTTTTCGGTGGCGGGGCAAGTCTAAATCAGTGCAAATACATCGTACATAGTACATATTGCGTTGGTTGGACATTACGCAAGCTTCAATTGGAGGCTACAGGGTGCTCGGTATTTGGGTTTTCGGACAAGCCCCCTTTTTTTGTCACCACTTTAGGGGGTGTGTCTGTAATGGTTTGAGTACTCTTCACTCTTTAGAAAAAATTTAATTTTAAAATTTAAAATTGACTCAACGCAAGTTAGTCCTTTTCAGCATTTATAAAAAAACATTGTATGTTGTCAAATATTTTAATAATCAACTAAAAATTATTATTGCATAAAACGCTGCCTAGTAAGTTTCGTTTATATAATAATTTGGTTTAAGCTTTAATGGTTAAATTTAAATTGTTGTTTTAAATATAAATAAATATTTTCATTATTCACTTTATAAACAAAATTTAAATATTTTAGGAAAAATACATGCGATTAAAATTTAAAAAAAAATAATACAAAATAATTTTTTCTAACTAGATACTCATCATGGGTTATTTCAGTAATGGAAGTTTAAAAAATATTTATATTTGTTTATACATTTATGTGTTTGTATAATATTTTTTATAATTTAAAAGTTTTTTACTTATAAATTTGAATGAAAAATATGTTTTTCTCTGCCTGGGCAGAGTCAAAAACCCCATTCAGAGAACACAACAGATTCAGAATTTAGAAAAAGACTCAATGATAAACGTGCCGCAAATCAAATTAACCTTGGGTGAAAAATTCCATTTCGTTGACAATGAACTGAAGTCCCTAAGGGGTCATTTTGAAATAGATTCCAATTAGAGGGGTAGACAACCTAATCCGCATTCAAATCGGACACGTGTAGGACCCAGATAGAAAAGTGCAATGAATTAGCACTAGTTGAAATGGCTGACTGGTAATCGTTTTCCATAATAGTCTTATCATCTGGTGGCATATTGGGTGCACAATAATAGCCCCGACAACCCATATTTACTCAACTGCATGACGTATTTAAATCTGGTAAATATTGTGCACATAGAACTAAAAATATTATTTGCTTGTCAAGAGACAAACAAAAGCAGCTGAAAATTTCACTTTTTCTTCCTGTTAACGTTTTATTCTTATAAGAAAAACTTGTCAAACCTTAATATTAGTATATATTGTGACATGTTTCTTTTTCTAATGGTTTTTGTTTCTGAGGTTATTTGAATTATAACATTTTTGAAAATATTTATAAAGAAACTATTATACTAGCTCTGCCAGAATGGATTGGGATATGTAAACATTATGGAAGAAGTGATTATGCACCATAATGAACATCGTAGAAATTGGTTAGTCCCGGAGTTTACCATGTCCAATGAACTTTCCGAAGAATGTGAAGACTATGCAAAGGTATGCGATACTTCAAAATTTATATACACGTTATATACAACACTTCTTATATAGCATTTGGCCACCTTAAAAATCCCAGATCAAAAGTTATACAAAGACCAGGAAGATTTTTTTGTGGATCATCTGGCTTTTCCCTTATCGGATCCATTGAAAAACAGCTACACGGAAAACATTTGCGAGTTTAAGAATAATAATTGTGTTAGGTACTGGTCCACTGCAGGGGCCAAGTGTTATCGTAAGGCAAAAAATCGCCGAACCAAAATTGAACAATCTTTGGCCGATAAGTTTTCAGCAATCACGTGGAAGTCATCTGTGAACATCGGTATTGGATGGGCGCCCAAGAATCCAGCGTAAGTAATGAGTGTTTCCCTCACCCAACTGGTAATTCATATATTTGCAGCAACCCGAATGGAAGAAATATACTGGTAGTCAGGTATTCTCCACCCGGAAATAATCCTGGAGAGTACGAAGAAAATATAGAAAATGAGGAATTTTTGGACTATTATACTTTGACTGCAGTAAACGAAGAAGAAATTGTGAAAAACCCCAAGACTTCAGGAGGCTCACGTGACAATGCATTGCGAAAGCAAATTAATGTAACTTTATTCGTCATAATTTTGCTGCTTAGTTTGAATATCGAATCAAGGCCAGTTTTCTCAGCTTCAGGTTAAGTCAACAGCAAATTTTAATAATAATAATAAAGACATTTTTTTTTTAATAGTTTGTGTTTATTTAGGTACATATAATATAGATTTGAATTTTGTTTTTTTTTGGGCATAGTTTAGTTGGAAAAAAATATGGCTTCAGCAGTTTTTGCATAAAATAGTACATGAATTATTATATTAAATTAAATTATTTTTATATTTTTTTTAGAATAAATATAATAGTAAAATTTATTTTTAGCGGTGTTTTTTAATGTGTTTTTTTAACAAAGACGATTAAATTTTAAATTCAACAAAATTCAATATTCAATATAAGTTCAACAAAAAATAGTGCAAACAGAATAACTAATTAACATTCCGATCAGCGTATAAACCGTTTTATCACAAAAAAAATGATTGAAAGTAAGAAACCATGTTTGGCTTTGTGTGTGTAGAGGGTTAAAATTTATCCCGGTTTCAAAATTTACAAGCTGCTGTTAGCTTAACATGGAGATGCGGGCGCAGACGAAATTTATTTATTGATTTGAATGATCAAAGACTAGAACATTAATTAGAAGAGGTAAAAAAACAAAGAAGAAATAGCAAAATCTTAAATTGCGATTCGGTTGTATATTAATTTTAATTTATTTTTATGAAATTGTTTGCCGAATCCCTATAGTAAAAAAAATATTACTATTGTGGTTGATAACTATGAATCCAAATTAACAAGTTAAAAACATTAATGTGAGCGATGCTTGCTATGATTATCAAATTAAATGTCAAGATTAGCACTTGGCCTTTGTTTCCACAGTGATTTCCTGCCATAATTCTCATAATTTCACTTGCAATTTCAACAAAACGCTGGCTGTAAACAATTTTAAGTTCCGAACCAGGCCGAACCCTCGAATTCGAGGGAAGAGCGACCTCTGATCCGTGGTCACAGATCGCCTCACCTGAGTTCCATAATGGAATCCAATCCACGGCGAGAATCAGCCAAGTGTGGCGCCCAACGTGGAACCCAACTCCCATATGGCGCAGGCAGGAAACTCCATTCGAGCCGACATTTCTGGTAGAAATCTTGAGTAATCTGCTGGGCTGAAACTTATTTCGAGAAACAGTTTTCGCGTGCATTCCAAACGAAGCGGTTCGTCTTAAAGAAAACGCGGAGTATTTGCACAAAGTCCATGCCAAATGAGTTCCAAGTGTGTTGGTGGTTAATTGCATAAAAACGCCTTAAAGAAAAGCAAAAGTGCTTTCGAAAGTGAAGTGAATTAAATTAAAATAAAACCAAAGGGTTTTGGCAAATATTGCCAGATAGAAGTACGAGTTTTGTTATTTCCACAGCATATAAATATATCCAGTGTTAAGTTTACTATTACTTGGATTAAACGGATAAATAGTGCAACGGAAAGAAGTAACTGTCGGATTTATTTGTTATTGAGTAAGTCAAACTGTGTTTATCATAAATAATAGACAAAGAAGAATCAAATATAAAGTCTTCAAAAGCCAAGAATTCGAAAAAACGAGTAAAATGTGAATTTATTTATTAATTTAATACCGTACATTAATTTAAGATGAAAGCTCTTTTAAAAATTAAAACAAATTTCTGATAAAGATTGTAACAGTATAATACCCTTATTGTTTAAATTAAAACACAAAATTTCATAAAATAGAAAGTGTTTAAATATTTATAGAAATAAGCCTGCTTTGGTTCTATCAAAAGCTTAGAGCCATTGTTCATATATGTCAGATAAATTAAGTATATCGGTTCTTCATTTTGCAATTGTATTTTTAGATCTACTTCTACATTTTTAAATTTTTAATATACATTTCGCAAAAAGAACCTTTTAATGTAGTACTAAGTTAGAAATAAGACTGCATCGTTTATATCAAATAGTTTATCTGCCTTCTAAAAATGTAGTTTTTGATCTATATAACTAATTAAGTAATTGAATCCATAGATTCGGAAATAAGACTACATTGATTCTATCAAAAGTTGCGAGTCATAATTCATTTACTTCAGATAAATTAAGTATGTCTATTCTTCCCTTTGCAATTGTTTATATTTATTTTATTAATTAACCTACATCTAAATTGTGAATCTTCATTTCGCAAAAAGAACCGTTTAATGTAGAACTAAACAGTTACTTAATTAGGAGAGTTTGAAGGGGACCAAAAAGAAATCAGAGCAGGAGAAATTGTCGTTATAGAGACTTTCAGGGAAGAGGGGGATTGGGGGCGGTGCCTTCACTTAGTGTGACTTCAAGGCGTGCAATGCAAGAAATTACACACAACCAAGGGGTACAGAGAGATACAGATACTGGTGCAGATACAGCTACAGATACAGATACAGATACAGATAGAGCGTACGGCCACAGATGCAGATACTTCGAGCCGAACAATGATGAAAACGACAATAATTTCAAGGTTCGTTTGATGTAAACTCCGCTGCGCATGCGTAGAAACGGTGGCAGAAGATAAAGCTAAAACCGAAGTTGAATCGGCGGTTAGCGTTTCACTCTAGTCCAATGTTTTGCAGCTGCTTCTCTGGCTACCAACTGCTTCCTACTGCTTCTGTGTTTTCAGTTTTTTTTGTTAAATGATTACAAAATTTTCGTTGAAAAGCCATGTTACGCTTCTTGGCGCAAAGAGTTTCTTTTTTTTTCGGTTCGAGTTGCGCAGTTGCATGTGAGGGTGGTATAGCTATAGCTATAAGTATAGTTATAGTTATAGCGATGCCATGGAAAGGTATAATGTCTATACGTTATGAAGACGCGACGAGTCTCTTTGGGGGCTATTGCACAAGACGGCGTACGTATAACTTCCTGTCGTACGACCCGCCTCAAACTATGGGGCTTTATGGGGATGAAACTTTTTATGTTAACTCACATGGACGAGAAACCCATTTCTCTTACAATTAACCACTGGATTTTGAAGAATTTTTTTAATTAAAGACATTAATTTGGAAAGGGGATTATAATATATTTGATTAATTTTTCACTTGTAAGTCCACGGGCTGTTTTCGAATCTTAATGAATTGAGATTACGAACCATTTAGAAGAGTTGAGATTATAAAAATCATTGACCTCCACTCAATCCAAGAATAAAACATATTTTATTTATGAAGGAATATTAAGTTTATGAATGCAATGCAATATTAGATTGTTATATGTAATACAAAACTTATTCATTGATTATTTGTTTTATGAAAGCAACAAGAAAAAAAAATCCCAGCTATCACAAATAAATGTAATTTATTAGTGCTTGAAAACCTGGCATTTCGGGGCACTACCTAGAATACGAAATCTTATCTGAGACGATTTAAATCAGATTTCTTTAAACCCTCGACTCGCGGAAAACAATAGAGATATTTACACAATGGTTTAAAACGAAATCAAACATACAAATCGATCTAATCGAGTTGGTAACATCGATTAACTAAAGGCTCTCTTTAAATCGGTAATAAATTAAAGACAAGAGCCATGCAGGTGAAGGAGTGATTAATAGCTGACACCAACCTTATGTTTGGTGTCGGTATCTAATCTGGCTAAGCCATCCATAAATTCAATTGAATACCCTTCTATAAACTTCTTTATTGGCACTTGCACATTTGCCTTTCTTAGACTTCAACAGATAAGATCGCCTAGAGTATTGCTCTTCATTCTTTTCGGTGTTTTTCCGTGGGAATAATTCTAAGATTTATTGGAGAAATTGAAGTACACTTGAAGGTTAATTGAACTTCGTGTAAAGAAATGCTATTTTTGCAGCTTTATTTTTACTATTCAGTAATTGAAGCAAGATAACGTGTTTATTTATATTTTATGATTGACATTTTGAGAATATTTATTTTTTAACTATTCTTAAGTCAATGACCCGCTTCCTAACTAGAAATTATAACTGACAAAATGAGTGCGGTACGGAATTCTTTATTGGTTCATTCCCTAGCGACCTTCGTAGGAGTTAATGCGTTTGATAATCGGATCGTTGACCAGTTCCTTCATGTTCCGCGCAATGATGAAGTCCAAGTGGTTGAAGCTCTGCACGGGCACACGGTAGTCCTCCTTCAGATGGACGAAATTCTTCACCATGGTGTCGACGTCTTTGGGTCCGCAGAGGGCATCGTTGTTGCTGGAGTACGAGTGGGTGGGCGCGGTGATCAGGCTGAGGTCGTAGTCCGGAGGCAGATCCTGGCCGTAGATCTCGTTGTTCTTCTTGGTGCCCCAATCGTATTGGCGGAACTCCTTGGACTCCCACAGCTGCAGGTAGTGGATACCCTGGTTGCTGGAGGAACCAGCCGGATGGGTCTCAATCAGAACCTTCATGGAGCTCTAGAGGAGGAGGAAATATTTTTAATTAATTATTCCTCATTTAACTCTAGTACTGAAATGGAAGTAAATGAGCTATTATTATGACCAAATATTAAAAAACTTGTGTTTTGTATTACGTTTCCTGTTATTTTGACCTTTAGTTTCAAGAAATTTAGTTGCAAATAGACTAACCTAAACACCATACAGATCCTATGAACAGATAACGACTTTAAAGACTGAACCCATCTGACATTTGGATACTTGGGCGACCCGCAATTGGGAAACTCATATAAGACCCAAAAATTGCCTCACTGATGAGTTGTGAAGATGAACTTTCCTTTTGAACACTACTAATAAAACCATTATTTAAAAAAAAAAACAATTTTTTGTTTTACTTTTGTTTGATTTAGAAATCATTTCAGTTGTATCTTTTGCTATATACCCCCTCCCTATTTTAAATTAAATGGAATTCCAACTCACCGCATTGGCATTGACGTAGCCCCCGTTGGCGAACATGATGAAGGCGTTGTCGCAGATGGCGCTGGCATAGTGGCAGGTGTTATCCACCACCCGGTTGACCAGATTGTTGTGCGGGATCAGCTCGGTGTCCACCAGCAGCTGGTTCCAGATGCCGCCGGGAGTGCCCACCAATGGGCCCAGGGCGTTGAAGACGAACGAGGTGCCGTGCTCGAAGAAGGCACATGGGGCCAGCAGGTGACCGGACTTGATCTTCTCACTGTACTCCGGTCGCTCCGACAGCATCACCAGGTAGACGGTGGTGCCCTGCGAGTGGCCGGCATAGTGAAGCTTCGAGTGGCCAGTGGCCTCCAGAATGTAATCGATCATGGCGGGAATGTCGATGGTGCCGATCTCATGCCAGTCAAAGTGCCAGAACTTGTGGCTATTCAGCGAGATGAGGTTGTTCTCCCGCGAGTAGATGTTGCCGCGGGCATTGCCCAGCCACACATCGTACCCGGCATCGGCCAGGAGGTAGGCCAGGGAGTTGTCCGGTCCGGAGGAGAGCCAGCAGTCCGAGTTGCTGAACAATCCGTGCTGCAGCAGAACCGGCGTCCGTTTCTCGTTCTGATTGTTCAGCTTGCGGGAGTAGGGCAGGCGGAACAGGGTCAGCACATAGCCATCCTCGGTATCCACCTGGTGCGTCTCCGTTGGATATCCGTGCGATTCCATCCTTTCCGCCGAGTTGACAATCTCGGTCAGACAGTACTCCGACTTCTCGGCGACGGCCAGACCCGCCACCAAGCTGAACAGTAGGGCGTAGACGATTGGATTCATTGTGGGCAATCGATTTTGCTGGCTAACAGGCCGTGGGGCCTCCTTTATATAGTCGGCTCTTATCTGCTGGTCAAAACAGTCCCCTGATTCGGCCCTGATTTATGAAGAAACCCCTGTTTGGCACACTCCAAGAATTGGTGGTGCGACTTTTTGGCCTTGACTTGGCGATAATTACAAAATTTTGAGTTATTTGAATCGAGGAATAACTTTTAATTGTAGTGTAGTAACATTCACTGGACAACTTTCTTTTAAAATAATATAAAACATCTAATGTTTTATTTCCAAAAAAATGTATTGTAAACAAAAAAGAACATTTTTGAAGAAGTAACGCTATATTATTTCGAACGATTTCAAACCTTTCTATCGCCTGAGCAGGAAATATTTTCAAAAATTCCTAATTAATAGTTATTTTACACATATCAGTCATTGAATATAAGTTATATAATTAACTTCAATTTTAAAAGTTGTATTTTATTTAATTGTTAAAAAACGTTTTAAAATCTTAGCATTTTTTGAGTGCAGCATTGTCCTGATTACCGTACACATGCTTGTTTTGATAGGGGCAAAAATCACAATCAAGGGGGTCTTGTTTGCAGTTCGGCGGAACCCGCGACCATAATAAAACATAATTTATTTTTAATTCAACCTATTCCGCCAGCTAAATGTGATTAATATATGACGGGAGGGTTTTCCCATCGCAAGTGTTTATAAGACGTTTGTTTTCATTCTTGGTTTGTTGGTTTAGTTTTGATTTATGGATTGGACATTATTAAATAAACTTTGTTGAAATAGCTTTAAAGTTAATAGTGTTAGATTATTATATAGTAATGTATAATCTGAGTAATTGAATTTGTGGTAATTTATTAACTTTTTTAAGGTTAAATGTTTTTTGGCTAGACTTTGAATTTAATGTAAGTCTTTTCAATCTTTCTCTTATAGCTATGTGCCAAGTTGGCCACAACCAACCAAATCCACCCACTAAACCTATGATCTAGCCGATTATTAAAATGTTGCTGCCCATATTCCTACTACTCTGTATTGGCCTCAGTTTGATCAAAGCCGAAAGTTGTCCCCCGTCGCAGGCTATTTTACCTTGTCGCTGTTCACTGAGAGGAAAAGAAATCCAGATATGGTGAGTTAATAACTTTTGCTTTTCTTTTAAATAAAATTTAAAAAATTATGAAATAATATTTAAATATTGTTTACAAAATTGTTTAATGAAATATGATAGGTTTTTAAAAAATCTTATTGCAAAGGGCTCTTTGCAAAAATATGTTCGTTTCGTAAATTTTATTGTTTTAAGAAAAAAAAATTATTTTACGAATAAAATTCACGTATTTGCTAACCAAAACAACTTTTTCATTTCCAATAAGGTTTTTTTTTTTAGAAAAAATCTTAAACTAAAATTATTTTTCCTTTTTAAAAAACTAAGGACAAAATGAATTTTTTTTTTTTTAAGTTTTAAATTATTAAGAAGACAACTTTAACGCTAATATTGCAAAGACTTGAATTTTTAAAATGTTTTTTGTTTTGATTTTTTTTTTTAAAGCTTACGATACACAAAACCAGACTAAACACTTATTAAATAACACGAAAAAAAATCCAAACCGGTGAAACCATTTCTAGATATTTACGCCTGTTCGAAGTTGGCAAATAGAGGCCATAACCTATGGGGTATCTATGTCCGGATTTCTTTGTAGAGGCAGATATTAAAAAATGTACATGGGACTGAATTCTTGACTTTTAATATATTTCGATTGTTTTACTCCCATCAGGTGCTCGCACAGCAACCTGCCGCAGATCATGGACGGTCTGAAGGCCGTGGAGCGGAACATTAAGGGGCGGATCGATGAGTTGGTGTTGGAGAACAACCAGTTGCCAGCTCTGCCGGGACGCTTTTTCGGCAGCCTGCAGATTGTGCGCCTGATGCTGCGCCACAACAGCATAGAAAGGGTGTCCAACGGGTGGCTGAATGAGCTGGAGAACGGCCTGGTGGAGATCTTCGTGGTGGAGCCGCAACTGCGCAGTATTCCGGCGGAGAGTCTGAACGGGATGATCAACATGCTGGCCATCACCATCCAGAGTGACGAACTGAAGCACCTGCCCGACTTCTCGGGCCTTTTGAGTCTCACCTACCTGAGTGTCCAAACGGGGGCTCTGCAGGAGTTACCCTCCCACCTGTTCAGACATCTTCCCAAGCTGCAGCACATTCACATCACCGGTGGTGGTGGACTCACCCGCCTGGAGGCGGGTCTCTTCGATGGCTTGATCTCCCTGAAGAACCTGGATCTATCGCACAACGGACTCAACTGGATTCACCTACGTGCCCTGTCCAGATTACCCAACTTGGTTAGCTTGAAGTTGTCCCACAACCAAATCAGTGATGTGGGCATGGTGGGTCGCATTGTCAAGGATCTGGAGCATCTAAAGAAACTGCGACTGGACCACAACCTCATCTCTGTGATCGAAGATGGCTCCTTTGTCGATCTGCCCAATCTTTCAGAGCTTCACTTGAACGATAACAGGATTACGGAGCTGCAATACGGAGCCTTCTTGGGCACTCCACAACTGAAAACCATCTATCTGCAGAACAATCTCATCCGGCGGATACATCCGGAGTCCTTGCTTCAGGCCAGTGGAAGTGGTGTGGAGGCGGTACACATCTACAACAACGAGATTGGTCATGTGGAGGTTCTGAGGGCACTGCTGGATGCATTGCCTACGTTGCGATATCTGGACATGAGTGGAAATGTGCTGAGTGAGCTACCCTATGGTGCTCTTCGTGGTCACGGCACCCTGGAGCAACTGCATCTGAATCACAACCGACTGAGGCTTATTGAAAGGGATGCCCTGATGGCCATGCCTGCTTTAAGGGAACTGCGGATGAGAAATAACAGTCTGTCTGCGGATTTACCCCTGCCATTTTGGAATCTTCCTGGGCTCAAAGGTCTCGATCTGGCACAGAATCAGTTTGGACGGGTGGATTCCCAGTTGCTGGCGGGGCTTCCTTCCTTGAGACGTCTAGATCTCAGCGAGAATGGTTTAACCGATGTGGCGCCCAATAGTTTTCGCCATAATCCCCTTCTCGAAACACTCAATATATCCTCCAATGAGCTGACCAAAATCCACTCCTCCACCCTGATACATTTGGAGAGGCTCTTCGAAGTGGACGCCAGTTATAACCAGTTGAAGACAATGATCGGAGGATTGCCTAGGATTGTGGAGCGCATCTCGCTGAAGGGTAACCAAATCACATCACTACCAGCAGCGGCCAGCAAGGATCTGCAGTTGCCCAATTTAAGGATGCTGGATCTTAGCCAGAACCGCATAGAACAGCTGCCCAGACATGGTTTTCAGGGGGCATCGGAGCTGAGGGTCTTGAGTCTGGCTCAGAACGAGTTGCGCCAGTTGGAGGATACCTCGTTCATTGGAATTCAACGTCTGGAGTTGCTGCATTTACAGGAAAATCAATTGGGTGAAGCGGATGAGCGGGCCTTACTACCTCTGGCCGAATTGAGGAATCTCAACTTGCAGTCCAATAAACTGGAGGCCATCACGGACAACTTCTTCTCGAACAACAGCAGACTTGAGCAGCTGGATCTCTCTAGGAATCTCATACGCAGCATATCCCCCACTGCCTTCGATACCCAGAGGTCCCTCGAGTATCTGGATCTTTCGGGCAATGCCCTGCTAGACATATCCGTGGGATTGGGTAACCTGAATAACTTGAGGGACATCGATCTTAGTTATAACCAGATATCCCGTATCCAATCCGATGTGATTGGTGGCTGGCGCAATGTTGTGGAGATTCGTTTGTCCAACAATCTCATCGTAGAACTCCAGCAGGGCACTTTCCGAAATCTGCCCAAGTTGCAATATCTCGATCTTAGCAGCAATGAGATCCGTAACGTGGAACCTGGAGCTCTGAAGGCACTGGACGAACTGCAAGAATTCGTCCTGGCCGACAACAAGTTGGTGGAGCTGAAGGATCATGTCTTTGAGGAGCTACCAAGTCTACTGGCCTCTCACTTTCAGTACAACAAGCTGCGCTACATCTCGCCGGAGAGCTTCCACAATGCCAATTCGCTGGTCTTCCTAAATCTGTCCAATAATCATTTTAGGAATATGGAGAATATTGGTCTTCGGAGTATGCGCAATCTGGAAGTTTTGGATCTGTCCACCAATGGTGTCAAATTGGTGTCCACGATGCCGCTGAAGGCGCTAAATTGGCTGGTGGAACTCAAAATGGACAACAATAGAATATGTCGTATTCAGGTAAGGTTGTTTAGTACTATAGTAAATGTATATATATCTTTCTATGAATTTTATATATATTTTTTAATTTTTGAAAAGCAGATCATTTTATAGATTACCTTTTTTTTCGTTTAGGGTTCTCCATTTGAGACGATGCCTCGTTTGAGAGTCCTTTCCATGCGAAACAACCAACTTAGGAGCATACAAGAGCGAACTTTCCGAAATCTACGGGGAAACATAGCCATTTTGGATGTGGATGGTGAGATCTTGGCAAATCCGATGATATAAACTAGGGTATAATTATTTTTTTTTTTTATAACAGGCAATCCCATTGACTGCAATTGCGAGATGCAGTGGCTTTCAGTGTGGCTGCAGGAGACAAACTTTCCGTACCCGGGACCCAAGTGCCAGGATGGACGCCTTCTGAGGGCGGCCCGCATGGAGAGGAGTCTCTGCGTGGGTGCGGACATCTATGGAAACGAGCGGACCGATGGCAATCAGTTGCCACTGCTCAACGAGCACGGCGATGTCTTTCAGCGAGATTTGCCCGAAGATTTCAACGATGAGTGCGAGGCGAACGAGGCCACAAGACTGCCTGGAGGAGATCGACCTCTGGTGGGGGAGAGCGAGTACTTCTACGACCAGTATGTGGACGCCACCGAGGCACCAGATACCGCCAACTCCGTGATCAGTACTTCGCAGCGACCCAAACCCAATCCCACGCTAAACAGCAATATAGATCTGAACAACACGATACTCCATACGAAATACTTCGATCGCAGACCGCAGTCGGGATCTGGATCACCCTTTACGTTCTTTGGTTATCCCCTGCCCAGTGTGAGTTTGGGTCGCTTTTTCGGTTTCGGGGATCGAGGACGAAAACAGCGCACTGATGGACCCGATGATATGCCCGCCACCCATCGGATGGCACACATTAGCCTGCCAAGTGGTCGTGGGAAAACGAGAATGTATCAGCCAAATAGTGCTGAGTTCGAAAAGTACCTGAAGGATCAGCAGCAGCAGGAGAAGCAAACTATAGCCAGGAATCGTTATGTGGACACCGAGTCCACCACTTCGTCCGTGGAGGATGCCCTGAGCAATGAGAGTGGAAGTGCTGCCACCACAGTGGGTGTCTTTCGCACCACCTTTCGCGAGCCTTCGAGCATCGAACGCGGTGGTTTCCGTCCCATCGTTCCAGCCCATGTGGGTGGTTTCATGCCTGTACATGATCCTCAGCAGCGACGTGGTTTGGTGGAAGCGGTGAATGTTACAGGAAAACCACCGGAAAAAGTACAGGGCAAAGGTGAGAGGAAGTTCATTCCCATTTCTGTTCAAGCACGACCGAAGCCCACCAAGAGTAGTGGTGAAAGTTCGGAGTCAGCCACTTATGATGTCACAGAAACCACGCCCGATGTGACCACCACAACGCCTCTGATGCAGAGGATCACTACCAGTACTACTAGGGCAACCACAACGACAACAACAAAGAGTACTCCAGCCAGCAGTAGTACCCAGGTCACAACACCAAATGATGCCTCGTCGAGCAGTGAGCAGGAGCCAGAGTCGCAGTATGATGACGACGATCTGGAGGCACAATCCGTCACCCTGTTAAGACCACCTCCTCTGGGGCAGACCACAACGGCGGAGACGATCCTATTGATTCCTCCGGCTGAAGAGCATGTGGCACAGATCAAGAGCCGCTCCTGGGTGACCACCTCCACGACGCCTCAGAGTCCCAGTGACTATCAAGTAACTCCTGCCCGTCCTACGAGCACAGTGCCACCACCGCCACCTGCTTCTCCTCCATTACGAGGCGGAGGCCGCTCCACCATTACCAAGGTATACACGCCCTATCAGCAGCAGGTGGCTCAGCCCACGGCCGAGGAGTACCAGCGCACCACGCCCAGTGCGGATAACGAGGGCGTGGCCAGCGAGCATCAGCTCATGGCGAATGCCCAGAAGCGCACGGAGCTGGAACTTCTTCAGGTGGATCGACTGGATCGCAAGGATGGCATGGATTGGTACTATGAGAGCTTCAAGAAGAAGCGCGACTTCAACGGCGGTGCTGCTGTGCGGAAAACAGTCCACAAGGAGGTGTTCTACGATGGAATAGGTGCTTCGTCCAGTTGGAATCGATTGCACAAGAAGGAGATCCTCTTTCTCAGCTTGTTATTGTTGTGGGGAGCGTGTTAAACAGTTTTATAAGATCTTCGATTTAGGAAGTTAACATATTTTATTTTGTATGCTTAAATAAAGAATTTATTTTATATTTTAAGTGGCTGTTTTTGACATCATTCCGATCTAGCACCTGGAAATTAAAAAAAAATGAATATATTCCTATTAATATATTTTATAATCAATAAGAAGTTTAATTTTGAGTAGTTGGTCAGATGGTGATGCATGTTAAAAAGATTTCAACATAATTGCTCTGATTTGGGTATGAAGTTGTCATCAGTAAAGGATTTAGTAACAAAGTAAAATTAAATTAATGGTATAATTACCTTTTAATTGATCTAAACTATCCAAACTGGAAAATCAGCTAAGATCTTATGCTTTTGCAATGCCTGTAAAATTAAAAATCAAATTGGTTAGTAATGCATTATATAAGTTACAAAATTAAATGTGTTTTGTTTTTTCAGATGGTGATGCATGTTTAAAAAGATTTCAACATTATTGTTCTGAGTTGGGTATGAAATTGTCATCAGTAAAATTTGTACTAAACTAAAAAACTAAATGCAGGTTATTACCTTTTGATTGGTCCAAACTATATTGCCTGGTAAACCTTTTTAAGATTTTATCCTTTTGAATTTCCTGAAAGATTAAAATTATTTTGTTAGTGGTAAGTTTCAAAACGTACAGAGTAAAATATATGTTGATCATTCAGATGGTGATGCATGTTTAAACGATTTCAACATAATTTTTCTGAGTTTGGTATGAAGTTGTCATCAATTTAGTAAATGGAGATCAATTATCCAAAACTTTGATTACCTTTTGATCGACTCAATCCTGGCTCGACAATTTTCCTTTTACTTTGCCTGAAAAGTGTAAAAAAAAATTGTTTACTTAACGTTTTTTTTAATACCATTAACATAATTTTAGTAAGTAATTCAGATGGTGATGCATGTTAAAAGGATTTCAACATAGTTTTTCTGAGTTGGGTATGAAGTTTTCATCAATTGGAGAGTAAAGTAAGATATATCAAAGTGTGGGGAATCATTACCTTTTAATGGATCGAAGATTCTGCTAGAATACATCTCAATCTTTCGTCATTTCCGTTAGCTGCAAAGATAACCTGCAAATAATTAAAGAATTTAAGACTTAATTTGGAAAAAGAGTCGCTCAATTCTTTAAAATCTCATTCAGATGGTGATGCACGTTAAGTATTTTTCAACATAATTTCTCTGCATTGGGTATGTACATAGATGTCATCATTCGAGATGTTAAAGAACATAAAGTGATATTATTATAGATTAAATGATTACCTTAGAAATATGAAAATTTCAAAGTGCCTCTAGGTGTCTCACATAGCACCACGTGGTGCTCCATACAAAACTCAATTATTGCCGGCTATTTGATCTTATTATGGGGTCTGTATATAGATGTTTTGATACCCCGAATTTGGGTTACAAGTTGGGCATCAAATGTGCTAAACATCGGATGATTCTGACCCATTTTTTATATAGTTAAGTAAATTGTGTGGCGCGACGACGACCTTAACCAAGAGAAACTCGTATGGAAAGAAGACAGAAGGTTGCCGGATAGTCAGGAAAATAAAATATTTAAGGGCTGCCAGATACATTTATTGGGTGACCACGAATAATAAGTATCGGTAAATATTCAATCAGTATAGAGAATAATGAGATCGTAAACTAGACAAAAATAAATAAGAACATGAATTCAATTAACTAATTACTTATTTTAGAATAATTTTTTGATATTGATATGACTACGAATGTCGTGAAGTATCTGACCCAGATATTGCTCTCAGCTGTAAAAAAAATAAATAAGCAAATTTGTGTTTCTTAATACAAAAATTTACTCGTGCGTACACTGGTCCATATTAATTTTTTTTAATAAGCACAGTCAGTTATTTGTATTCCGAAAGACCTTGATAACGTTACGAATCCAGCTTGATACCGTCTAAACATACAGCCGCTTAACAGAGTTGAAGTGATTACACTTATAAGCGGTATAACAGGATGTTTTTGAAATGTTTTAGTTTAATTATTTTTAAAATTAAAAATCTCATAAACTAAATGAGACATCGGTCTCATATACTCGCTGATAGGGTATTGCAGAGTGAGTACAAAATCGATTCGACTGCGATAGTTCTGCTGCATATCGCACATCTCTAGACCGCGCTGCCACCTTGTGCGAATTGGCGCAATTTAAACAAAAATAAGGAAAAAATCACAGTTACAATCGCGGGAGGGACGCCAAAAGACAAGTCAGAAGAAATCCGAGTGGCCAGTTAGATATAGCTACCGCCCACGCACAATTCGGTGACTCTGCAGCAAAGATATAGCGAAGCATCCAAGTGGTAAGAACGTCAGGTGCAAAGCGGCGTGAAAATGTTTATACAATCCTAATGCGTATGCGCTTTGTTATTGCAGCATCCGCATCGCAATTTTAAATTGCTATTTGCAATGACGACCCCGCTGCAGACACGAATGGCGCTGGCCGAGATTCCGGATCGCCTGGAGGCGCTGCGCATGGCCAACACCCCGACGAACGCCAATCGCCGGACTCCGGATGAGCCGACTCCGGCGACCATAATTAACACTCCGAACGCCAATGGAGGATTGGGCCTGCGGTTGGACAACGACGTGAATGTGGTGCAGGCCCAGGACTTTGTATTCTCGCCGCTGCCCTCGCCGGATGAACTGGTCATTCGGCAACGCGGTCGCCGGCGCTTCACCACAACCTTTTCGCCGGATAAAGTCAATGGAGGCGGGGGCGCAGGAGTTGGTGCCTCCGGTGGCCCCTCCATGCGGAGTCCCTTCCAACGCACGCCCACCAAGAACCTGCAACTGACCAGCGGCATGATCCTGCGCAGCTCCCCACGCAAGCGACTGACTATGGGCAGCACCCCGCCGGATCCCACGCCCATGGAGACCTATTCGCCCATCAAGATGGCCACCACCAAGCAACTCTGGCCAGGAACGCCCATAGTAAAGAAGCTGAAGATGGACGACCGACCTGTAGGACAGACGAACACCGATGCGACGCTACCATCCCTGTTGCAGGGTCTGTCCCAGGATCAGCTAATCGAATTGATCATGAACAACCTGAAGACTGCCAGCGATGAGGAGGAGATCAGGAGGCAGCTGCCCACGCCAGATACTAGGTAAGTTTACTCGAGCACATTTGGTGGATTTTGTTTTGTACTCGGTCCATATTACATATCTGACGTGTTAAAAAGATTTAAAAATTATTTTCTCCTCTTCCATAAAGATGAAGAAGAAAAAAAATTAAAATGTTATACAAATTTGAAAATTTTTTCGCAAAGCTGCTAGAAGGAAGAGTGAAAAACTATATACACATATAGTCATAGGAAAAGTAATAAAAAATGTAGCGAGGTAGGGTAATTTTTTTAATTTCACCCAGACGGACTTCATTTTTTAAAAATCAGTCTACTTTTATCATAAAGCGGATGTATTAAAAATTAATTATGGGATAAAACATTTTTTTAGGCTGCAAGGGTATTCTTTTTAAATATTTTGAACTCCAAAGAGACTAGATTTTTTGTTATATGAAAATAATAAACATAACATATCAAAGGGTTTCAGATTTATTATTTGTATAAATAGACCTTTTTGATAGTACACATAGGTGCTTCGTCTAGTTAGTCGATATAGACGAAGGAACAAGTTTTCAATGGAACAATTTGATTTTAAGCACTGTCAATGATTATAGAAAGTAAATAAATTAATGTTTTCCAAAGACAGACCCAGGAAAACCACTTTAAAATATATTTTTTAACGACAACTTTTGTGCCTGCCTTGCAGTTCGCTGGAACAGGAGCTGCACCACGCCAAGCGGCTCATCTTCAAGTCCCTGCCCACCTCTCGCCTGTGTAAGAAGACCGATGCGGCGGCCTACTCCAAGGCGTCAATGCATCTCAACGAATTTAAGCGCGTTCTGCAAGCACAGGCCAAGCGCCTGCACGATTCCACTCACTGGGACGCCCTGGTGGACTATGTGACCATGGCCTGGCAGTGTGTGGCCAGCACCCCCAACTGGGAGAGCCACGCCCACAATGCTGTGCGGAGGCAATGCTTTAAGCTCCTGGCCTGCTCCTGCTACGCGGCTATCAAACACGGCGGAATGCGATTGGGACAGACGCGACTGGAGACACTGGAACGCAATTTGCGCGAGTGGTCCAAGGACTACGAGGACGTGTTGTCCTGTGTTAATGCCTTGCAGCGTACGCTGAACAACCGTACCAGCTTATAAACACAATGGAGACTATAGACTCAAGGGAGACTTGCTGAACTCGAGGTTTAGTGGACCGAAACTAGGAAATAAGGCGAAATTTAGCATGTAAGCGAACGATATTTGGCGCGGCACGTGTTATACACTATTTTTAATTTTGTTCCTCAATATGTTGTCCTATTTAAAATGCACGCAAGCAGTTACAGCTTCTTTATTTAGTGATCTAAGCCACACGCTAACTAAACTCGGTTAGCTTTATAAACTTGTATTTATTAACGCTTAAATATATGCTTAGCACGTAGGTTTGATTACCATTGGACATTGTTTGAACTAAGTACACTTATTCGAATGTTTTACGGCTAGATCCTACATCGCTATGACTATGTTGTACAACTTTCGCACGATTACTCCGGTCATGACTACGCTCCAACTTTAACAAAATATTCGTCTTCTACTTAACCAGTGCAGTACACTGAATGCAGAAAGCAGGAGTATTAATATTTTTGGTATGTGCTGGCTTCGCGAGCTGCCGGAAATGTGCCGCCCTGAAAATAGTCAGAGAGAAACAAATGATAAATTATTACTCTATTTTCCACTTCGCTGAGTAATCCTTAAGAAATTTAATAATAATAGGATGCTGTAAAATATTCACGAGCACAATTGCGCAGCTTTGCTCATATTTATTTATGAGCTGGCTCTTTATTTAGCAAAAGTGTTATGTTTATTATGGTAATCTGCTCGAAAATTTCTTGGTATAAACTACTCACAACGATAATATACAACCAAGGCTAATTACCTTTTCAAAATTTATATTGGGCCATATTTTAAGGCTTTTAAAGTTTGTTGTTATACTTTATGATTAAGAACTCTCTCACTTGACGCCCAGTAGCAAATGTGCTGTGAGCGCTTTCAATTAGCATTATAAACTAAATATAATTAGCATGGTTCGATTTTCTGCCAGCGGATAATATTGACATGATCTCTTGGGCATTCATTGTTGCTGTTATTTCTGGTATGTGTATGTTTATCGAAGGCGCCGTGTGGAAACAAAATCATCGAAGAAGTGTATTTACATTATTAAATTAGCATTGCTTTGTTAATCCCTTCTCATGTGTGAGTGGCGTGGGCTTTTAGCATGGATATTGTATTTCCAGATGCGATGACTTCAAGCAGAGCACCGTGAATAACTCATTGGGAGTGAGGCATGATAGTGTTCATGTATGTATAATACTTACACTTCTTGATCCAGATCTCAGCGCAGCAGCACTCCTTGACCGCCCCAAATGCGAAACAGGACTCCACGAAGGGTTGGTGCACTTTCTGATCCGCAAAGCACACATGTGGTACATAGGGCAAGCCCTCTGTAAAAAATAGAAAAGAGGATTAAGCTCAATTCTGAATTGGTCAAATATAAAACAAATCATTTACTTTTTTCTAAACCCTATTCTTAATGAAAGTGCTTAAAATATTTACTTGAAAACTATTTGGGTACTGGTTAAAAACGTTGTAAATCCAAATACTCAATTCAAATATTTTTCACTTTGATATTAATCCATGGCGGTCTTAATTTTTTTTAAATTTGACTAATTTCGGATTTTTTTTTAATATCTGAACATTTAACTTAAATAACATTTAAATTAAATTAAATCCATGTAAATTTTTAATTTTTTTCGCTTTGATTGGGGTTGTTAGTTTTGGCTGTTTTACCATTTTCGGATTTTTTTTTAATATCTGAAAATTTAATTCAAATCACATTTCACCTAATCTCTAATATTTTCCACATTAATTAAAACTCAATAGACATATATATATTTTTCCTATTTCATTTTTTTAACATCCTACTTTTTATGTGAAACACAAATATATTAAGTTTCTTCATAAGATGACTTAGGTCATTTTGGAATCAAAGCTTTTCAAATATATTACGCAAGGTTTTAAAAAAAAATCCTGAGTCATAAAATCGTATTTCTTAGTGTACCAGTATGTGGGCAAATCCAGCGTGACGAACGCTCAATTCAATCTCGTTTCCGGACGGAATTTATGTTAGTCTTTTCAAGAAGATAAGAAGTGGAAGTTACTTTGAAATTTTGAGCATAATTTTTTTTTTGTTTAATAATAATGAAATTTTTTAAACAATCTTTTTTTAATAGGTTTTGTTGATTAAGAGGTCATATGTTGATGTTTTAATATCCTCAAATTTAATTATATTATTTAAGTAACCCATTTATTATATTCTGTTCAATACGATTGAGAACTTGTGCGGCGGTTTTCGCTGGAAAAAATAAACAAATTTTCAACGTTTTCAATATGTTGCCCCCATTTTGAAATCAAGTGCCTAACTTTTATAATAGAAACCACTTAATTTAAATACACAATTTATGAAACTTTTTCGCTTTGAGTAGAAACGGAAATCGATAAAATAGAATATGTTTATTAGGAGCTGCGCACGCAAAACCCACAATAATTCTGAAGAAAATATAAACTGTGGCGAGTGACTAAATTTGAACGGCATTGTTTCTCGATCGGATCATAACATATGCCTGTATTATTTTTCGTTTGGCCTGTTTTTAGACGCCCATTTGTTTACAAATGCTCAACGCTTTGAATTTTATAAAGTTCCATGTCTACAGTTTTAGGAACATAGAAGGCCCACACAGAATAGTTTTTGATGGTGCGTGTCGCCGATATTTATGCAATTAAATAATTATTAGCTAATGAAAACAGACACGGCGCTCGGAGTGTAATATGTTAGGTCAAATCAGTGACTGCTCTCGCAATTGTTAATAATCTTTAGCGACGTTTGACAACCCGAGGACAATCGGGTAAAAACACAAATCGACAGATTGTTTAAAAAGAAAATGCATATTGAGTGTGATTGATTACACGAGGCAACAAATATGTGGTTATCACTGAAACGATCTTTATAGTGATTATTTTCAAAGCTGTTATGATTCACATTTACCCTGTCAACATTTGAATAATTAATAAAATTATTAATGGATTTAATTGGGAAGTTTCGGCGAGGTGGAAAAATATAAAAGAACATTGAAATAGCTGTCAAATTTAATAGTACACAATTATGGAAATATTTGAAATGGGCGCTATAAGCGGCACCTAAAAATAGTGGATCGAGAAGTAAAGGTATAGCCACCCACCCAGTTGCCTGGACAGGTGTTTTTCGATTGTTATTTCAGGCACGTTCCTTATTGATTGGATTTGTTGCCGGTAGTAGGAATCGCCAACAGCATACTAAAGGAAACTCGTCAGACGTAAGACTGAGTCAATAGTAATATAATATTTACCCAGCTATCAGATACTTGCGTTGGGAACAGTCAGAGCATTTATTATTTACAATGAATTAGATTTTGCTCTGTTTTAGAAGCAATTAAAGGGATTCAGTTTCGTCAACTGATAAGAAGTTTTAAGAGGTGCAAATATGTATTAAAAAAATACTCTGATGACCAATTTAAACGTAAAGTAAACAGGAAAAGAGAGCTTAATATTTGAGATATTCCGTATCTTAAGTCAATATACTCCTAACAACCCCAATGACACTTTTCAACCCTTCGAGATAGCGATTTCAAGAACTCAGGAATTTGTTTTTAATATTGATATTTGATAACGATAAAACTGCGTATTTTCCCAGAAGACCTTTAAGGGCTAACAGCCTACTTAAATGCATAACAATCCAATAACAAAGTGAAATTAACAAAATTGTATTTAATGAGTGACCAACACAAAACAATTCAAAGGCGGGAGCACTTGAAAAGGAAAACTACAGGGGCATGGAAAACTGCGCGCCTTGAAGAAAATCATTCAACTGTAGACAATCCAAGCGCCGAACCCACTAAAATTCCCCCAACAAGGCAAAATGCACATCAACAAGTAGAAAATGTTCAACAAAAAGTAAAACAACTGAAAGAATTATAAACTGACGCTTGGACATTTGGAATGCCAGTGTAATCCAACTACAGTGAATGTAAATCATGCAAAATAGGCTATACGTTTGTTGTCAGCTTCTCATAGGTCAATATTTTAATGTTTAATTTAATGTACTATTAATTTAAATTATTTTATATTTACAATATATATTTAAATGGTAAATAGTTAGTAACTCTTAGTTCAAATGCTTTCAAACGATAGGTTTGCCCAAAGTCTAGCTTTCATTATAGGCAATAGAAATATTATATATAATACATATTTGACTTTAGACCACTTATAACTTAATCTAAAAATTACAAGTTAATAAACAGAGTTGAAACATGATATGTGTGATAATTGAAACATTTAAATTTCTACTGTGTCAGTATAATTAAGGATTAATTTTGCTAGTTGATTGACAATACTAAAAATGTTAAATTAAAGCTTAAACCTTATTTAAATATTTTAAGTATTGAATTATTTTCCCTATGCAGTCTCCACTGTAGTGGTTGCAAGACGAGGCAATGAAGCGTGTCGCAGCATTAGAGTGCGGTTCAATCAGTGGACCAGACTTAACAACTTCCGCGCCGCATCACGTGCCAAGTGGAAGAGCACAGTCCGTGGAATAAGTATCTGCCACCTTTACGACCATGGGATAGTTCTGAGGCTTGGATAGTTGGGCCAACTGTTGCGTCATCGACGGCAGCGCCTTAGCCAGTAATTTGCGTGAGTGCGGTTTGTTAAGGGCCTCTGAATCGGACAAAATAAGCTAATAAGCTAATGACGCTCTTTAGAGAGTTGACTTTGCCACTGCGTTGCAAGTGGGTTAGTGGCACGTCTTTATTTTGTGTGTTTACTGTGGGAGTCTGCTACTGCGGCTGGGTTGCAGAGTTTTGTTTATTGTTGTATGGCGCCATCTGCTGAGACTCATGCGGCAAGTCATAAATATCAACCCAGGTGAACAAGTACACTACCAAAACTTTTTTAAAACTTTAGTTTAACCTATTAAATTTGTCTTAACCTTTTTCAATTTTCTGAACCTCCAAAAACCAATTACAATTCTAAGATTATTATTTTCTTTGACACATAATATTCGTAAAATAAAGACAAGAAATAATACTTAATTTTATTAAGAATAACTTACCTTCTCGGTGTTGCAGCTCGCACCAGCAATGATCGTTGATAAACTGCAAACAGAATATTTTACAATTAATTTTCTTGCCTTTTGATCTTAATTATTTTAAATGCGGGCTTTATTTATTACCTTAGTTCCCAGACAATATTTCGGTGTATTCGGTGGGCACTGAATTGAACTGCAGGCATATTTCTGGCCCCTTGCTATAAAGACAGAAGATTTAAACGTTGTAGAAAACAAGAATTTTTGTTTAAAAAACATAGCGCTGACGGAGTTTTTCGAACTTCATCAAGTAAATTATTATAAATATTTACAATTTTGCTTAAAAACTGATTTTACTTTTTCTCTAGGGAAACGTAGTCAGTCGCATTTTATTAAAATTTGTGGTTTTATATTTTAAAAGCAAGGAATATTTTTGTTTAAAATTTTAAATCATTAATGATATTTGCCTAAAATGATTGTTTTACTTTTTATATTATATGGAGACTTTGTATTAAGTCCTTTGTAATCACTTCATCAAGTAAATTATTATAAATATATTTATATATATAGGTATGTATTATATGTTGCTTATTTATAACTTCTATGAAGCAATTAATATGGTGAGTACAAAAAAAATAGTTACCAGAATATACCCAAAAAAAAAACTGTCGTTGAAACTATACTATTGTTACGTTTATGTTAAACTATTGGGTATGAAAAACAGGATGATAATTAAATTAATGCCAAGAAAGTATCAAAATAAAACGTATGTGGTTCAACAAAAAAAATACCTTATTCTACAGTTTTAGACTCTTCGGTATAGAAATGAAACTAAAAAGTAGTATTGAATCAATAACTTAATACTGGCACTAGTTTGTTTTCAAAACACACTCATTATAACTAAACTTCCAGTTTTTTTTTTGGGTGTAAGCAATAAATTGTTGCCAAAGTTTTTACTTGTTCATTTTGAATATATTATATTTCAAAAATTTCAGTATTGAGTCCCATTTCGGGTTACTTACTCGCATTAATTTTCTGCAGGGACTCCATGGCCGACAACTGGGTCACCTGGTGGTCGAAGGTGTATTCCTCGTAACTGTCGCTATATGGTGGGACCCGAGGACGCAGGTCCTCCTTGTCGCACATGATGCAGGAGGATTGTGGAGCACCGAGGGCAGATCCGAGGCAGATCGCCAGCACAATCACCACTGCCAGGAATGATGGGATGACCGCGGGCTGATTACGCAGGCTGACCTTTGGGTCTAAGGGCTTATCGGTGGATCTGGGCGGCGATTGCTGCAATCTCGAGCACTGGCAACTCTCTATGGCAAATCCGACACATTCCAATTCGGTCCACATCGTGCCTGGTCGTCCGATTTCGATCATTTTATTGTGCACAATTATCACATTAATTAGCTGGGCTTTATTGGCGTTTTATTTCGGCTTAGTTTGTGCGTCGTTGCGGTCGCAGCAATCGGATACGATCTGTAAGTCGCACGGATGCGGAGATTGAGATTTTTAGAGATCGGACTGACTATAGTAAACTAAAAATGCGGTCGTGATCTGAATATAGATTCCAATCGCATATATGGCTCGGATTCTATGCGCTTTCCACACGAACAACTTTTGTCTAATTCACTTTACAGCTGATTGGTTTAGTGGCATTTCTGTATTATTAAACAATTTTTATCGTTTTTCTTTAAACTGCAGTAACTTGATGTGACGTGAAACTTGAGTTGGTTAAATGGGCCAATTTTTAGATAGTTGCAAGAAATTGCAATCAAGTCTATAACTTTTCACATTTTATTTTCTATCACTCGTCGATTTGTAATTAGTTTATTTTTTTTAAATATATGTATCGGGGATAATTTAGTTTTTATTAAACATTTCTGAATTAGTTTCCAATTGATTCCACATTCTAATAGCAATCCTTGTTGACAGAAATACACTTTTTCACATATTTCTAATTTCTAATTATTTCTTTGGCGACCATATCCAAAATAAACTTTGTTCAAATTAAAACTCGAAATAAACCATTTCCACACATCCACAAATTGTTGCACAAAATCGCCTCCTTTCATCTCATTTGTTGCTGATAAATGACTTTAGAATTTTGTAGATATTTTTTTTCTACAAAAAAATGCCTGGTATTCTTGAGAATAATTTATTAAGAAGCTGACCAGCGACTCACTCAACGCCTCTCATAAATTAAAGTTACAAATATCACACACGCACGTGAGGAGGCGGAATAAAGGAAACAATATTTGTCGTACCGCTGCGATGGTTTCGCATCAAGATCGACGGCCACACGTCCGATTCCCAGCCTATGCAAATTCGTTCTGAGCAACTCGCACCGACTTTTACAATGCGGCAGCGCGGCACACAGTGGGCTAATCTGGCAGTATTTCAATTGAATTTCAATTACTTTTATTTAATTGCAAATATCTAAACGTAAAACTTAATGTTAAAACTAAACACCAGAATTAATGGAACCCAAGCATAGATACTGTCTACAAAGGAATAAAAATATCAAGCTATCGATTTTTAGTTACCAATTTTAATATTTTTATTTTAAAAATCATTAAAAGCACTTATTCTTTGAAAAACAAAATACATTTCTCCGATAGCGGGTACTTTTTAATAATAAATAAAATATAAGTCACAAAATATCTGTCATTAAAAACATTTACTATAAATGTTTGAAAAAAGTTTATTGCGTAAAGCAAGTTAAATAAGCAAATAAGTTTTCCTTTATATTTATTTAAAAAATGTTGGTCGTTGATTTTAAAATAAAATAATATTTCACTAAAATGTTACAAATTTATTTTAAAAAAGCAACTGCAAAATAAAATAACTACTTGCTACTGCGGATAATTCGTTCATTACCAATTAAAATAGGGCTATTATTTTGTTGTTACCCAACTAGCAACTTAAACACATTCGCATACACTTTTTTGTACCAAAATAAATATTGTTCTTTGCACTGTGGGTTGGCGTAGTAAACGATGAGCAGCACGAGCATGCGCTTCGTGGAGCTCCTAAGGCCCGACCACCAGTTGGAAGCCCGTCGACTTGAATAAAAGTCAATGCCGCCGAGCGGTTGCATATAAAGAGAGTTCGACCACTTTTATTAATAAGTAGAAGTATGAGTCAGAATAAAGTTAAATAATAACAAAAGGATAGTGATTAAGAGTATAAATGAAAGGATTAACAATTGTAAAAAACAAACAATTCTTAAAAATTTATAGTGTTCCACAAAACTGGTAAATAAGATAAAAAAAAAAATGAGATCATTAAGCTTTTTCTCTTAGACCACTTTTTCCACCTGGTAAAGAATAACGTTTTGCTCAATTCACACTTCCCGATGATTAGCGCCGCCTATCAACAGGCATTTAATCAAATACCCACAAAAATAATGCTCCATTAATAATATGGCTCTTAATAAGCCCCAGTAATTTGTTCAAAATGAAGCAGAACCATTTCCCTTTCCCGAAAAAAAAAAACAAATAAAGAACATTCATACCTTGGCATACCGAACAAACAATATCTGACACACATTGAAATATTTTTATAATTTATGCCCACCTAAATGCCCCGGAACGATCCCTTCAAAACATATATATATATATATATATATCTGCATCTCTTTACCTAGCCCAAAATATATGCATGTGTAATTTTCCCTAGGCTTCATAATTTTGTGTTTTAAAAATAAAATAGAAAATCACATAAAAGAGGTGGCTAGGAAGTTTTCATTTGGTTCCTACTCGAATCTTTTGTTTATTTGTAAAACTGCAACCTGCTATGTACACCCCAGCTCCTCTGTCCAAAATCGTAAATCTTGACAGGCCAACCAGTCAGTCCGATTTTCGGTTTGGAAAGCATCATTTTATGGACCGTACTTTCTAGAATTTCCCAAAACTATTTAATTCTGCTGGGCTCATGATTTGTGGGCGGTTATTGTGTTTTCCCAATGCTTTTCGCTTGATGTGGTTTCAGCTACCACAGCACTTAAAGGCATAAGTCCGTGTGTAAATATCTCGACTGTATAAAAATATCATTTATATGACGGCATATGGCTTAAAGAACTTAATACCATCCACCACCCTGCAAAGGATATTGTGGCAAGCGAAGGGCGCCGGGGAAAGCGTGTCAAGGTGAAAGTGAATCATGCCGAGAATACCTCCCCTGGTTATGATTCTATGGCTTTAATGGGGCACTTTGCCCCCCTCTCTAAGTGGCCAAACAAAAAGGGCGCGTATATTTGGCAGGTAATGGAAAAAATTACTCTCACGAAGCTTTTCGATTGAGTTTTAGCACGCGAGGCGATTTAAATTCGCAAATTTGCATGCAAATATTTGGTTTACCGCAAGCTCTTAATTGGCGTTGAGTGGGCCTAATGGGGAGGAAATGCTGGAAAGATTATATCATTATCTTTATCAGCCATATCTAGGCGGTAACACTAGCCTTAATGGCCATGTCTTTTTAAAAAGTTGCTTCGATTTTTATTTAAGATTTTTAAAATCTTGAAATATACAATTGCGGCTGTCTAAACGATTTCAATCTTGTATTTTGAGTTGTGTATAACTAACTAAGCCAGATTTTGTTTGATTTTAAGGTCAATAGGATTGTATCATTAAAACTGTGCTCTCACGTAAATATAATTGGTTAAGTAACCCCAGTTCCTAGCTCAACCAAAGGTTTAAAAATGTGGACTTTTCGATCCAACTGTAAGTTTGTTGTTTATATCGTAAAAACTCAGCAGGCATCATTTAAAATAAAAACAGTTTTTCTGGCAATCGGGCTAAAAATACTTTATTTGTATTTATATTTGCTAAATGTGCTTATTATCTAGCAATCTAGTGTATCGTATAATTTCTTAGAATTGAGGACCAAAATATTTGTTGTTGGTACTCTTCTTTAAATGTTTTATCTAGTTATAAGTTGTAACCTTCCATATTCAATTTAGTTACCTAAGTTTCGTTATTTCGAGTTTAAGTTAATCTAAAGAAAGGTTTTGAAACGTATACAAATTGACAGCTTAAAGTCCACTACAGGTAAAATTGTGAAACTGTATTTAAATAACTCTGATGAATGACACAGATAGTTATAAGCCTTATATTATTTTCACGCCTCCGTAACCATAAATATACATATTATTAGCTTTGCATTTTTGTTTGTTTTAGCTAAGTTTTTTGTTTGAGTTCTTAAATTCTATGCGTGTGTACTTTTTGCAAATATTCGTATATTTTAAAGAATTTCTAACAAACCGTGTTGACCTAGGTCGATCAACTTTAAATTGTATTTTCTATGTGAATTAAAACCGACCTACCTTTGAAACTTCAGAAAACATCTGCCTTGAACTTAGCTAATGCAAAATCTCACCCACCCTAAGATATGGCTGCGCATGCGGTCTATTGGGATTCGTAACCCTAATCAGCGAAGAAACACCCCGAGAAAACAATCCTTAAAAGGCAAGGAAGAAGCAAGCCCGCGAAAGAGAGATATCCTGCCAGAGAGTAAGTCCCCAAAGTACAATGCTCTCATTTTCAAACAAGAACTCGTTTCTGTAGTGCTTCTAAAACTGTTCCCCCCCATAACATACAGTTTTCTCACCACTGGACGAGGCAATGATTTTTGCGCCTCCATATTTATGATCATTTTCCCACTGAATAATCAATCAACAAAATCGCAAAAGTAACATATATACACTATTTTTAAACCACTAACTAGAGAATGCTTTCAGAGCATATAATTTATGTTGTAACATTTAAAACTTTTTTGTCTTGCTTTGGGGGATTTTTTGTCTCGAAAATTGTCCGTTTTTTTTCGAGGCCAAAACCATTTGGTGTTGTTTTTTCGCGTTTTTTTCAAACATTAAGATTTTAATCGCTCAACGAGACGCACCAATTTGTCAATATTTAAAAAAAGTTGAACATAAATTTTCACAGCAGCAACAAAAAAACAAAGTTTGGGGCGGAAAATAGAGAATGGCGACAAATGATTTTGGTTTGTACACAAAACACAGTGACAGTTCAAGTACGTATAAATTTTTTTGTGGCTGCAATTCTTTTATTTGTGTTATTATAACAATTAAGATAGATAATTTTGGAGTAGTTACACACTTCTGATTTTTCCTGTTATTTTTTAAAGCGACTCTTGGTTGTTGAGCTTGTTGTTTAGGCAGCGCAGTAAACGCGACTGAAGGCTAAAAGCGTGACGTAGACCGGCGACAGCTTGCGGCTATGGCAACAACAACAACCACGACAACAAGGACAATAACACAACACTGAGAGAAATTTTGCGTACTGAAATGTCTGAAAAGGTTACATCATTACATCAACAAATTATATCACTGTCAGTTGTTAAATTCACCTCTTTTTTGAACGAAAATCTTTATTTCCTTTCCATCAAATTTCCATTAGTGAAGCAACGAGAATAAGTATGAAATATAAATACTTTATATTATGTTTTTAATTTTTTTACGAACATTTATATACTCACATTATTGATTGAAAATTATTAGAAGAATTAAGTATTTAAAAATCAAACAGTTTATTGTACATAAATCAATAATAATTTAAATAATTTTAATATGATTAAGAAAAAGAAAACAAACATGTGCTAATAAATAAAGGACTAATCTTGTAAATAATTTAAAACAAAAAAAAATTGCTTTACATATTAAGACCAGTTTTCTAATGGATATTTTGTTTTCTGTGTACCGACGTCGAAGTTACTGACGACAACAATAGAGACTCACATCCTTCTGTCTGGCAGTCGTCCTCTTAGAAAGCAACCCCCAAGTGAGAAAGTTTTCCTGCTGGCAATGCTGTCTAACCGACAGAGAGAGCTACTGCCCCCGATTAAAAAAAAAAGAGAGGCGAAAAGGGCCGTCAGAGAGCCCTAGAAATACAATCTCTCTATAGAGCAACAGGCTACCCACATCAAACCCAAAACAAACCCGAGCTGAGCAAAATACCGTTCTTTTCGCCAAGAGGAAAAGTTTGCTCAGCTAATGGCAAATCAGTGGAGTTAGAGGGATGGCGATTATTATTGGGATAGGTCTAATGGGGTGCGTCAGATTTATTGACTTATGGAATTCCGGGAGCGCCAGGTGTAGAATAAACAAATAGAAATCCCAAAAATTTATGAGGGCGATAATAATATCAATGAAGTGAAAAGGCGATGGTAAAAATTGATTTCGGTTAGTCAAAACTTGTTTTATATAAAGAACTACTATTAAATACAACAAAATTAAATAAGTTATTATTGAATAAAATTTTATTGTTACACACATTTATAGTTTCTAAGAATAAAGACAATTTTTTCGATCATGTCCTTAAATATTCGCTTCCGTACACCTAAAAAGGTAATTAAATCGTAATATAAGAACATTTTGTGCCATAAGGCTTAATAGCCACTACAACATCTGGAGCAATTTGGCGACAAGTGTTATTTGCAACTCCCGCCACTGTTGTCAGACTATCGCCTCTGCAGCGCCCTAATAAGCCAATCATAATAAATGTCAAGCATCGATTTGGCTTCTTGCCAATGACCAATCGACCATATCGCCGTCCTCCACCCTCAGTTCTCTTTTCCCTTTCTGCAGCACCCCTTTCGAACTGTCAGTATATCATTAGTTGGTCACTCGCAGCTGAGGAGACTTTGTCTAGGGCTAATCATTAATGCTTAGCTGCTTGAATTGCTCATACGCCATGTGTTCACTGCTCTAGGGCAGCCCACAGACCCATGAAAACGATTAATTTATAGGCATGTCGCATGTTGCCAAACACCTGACACGAATCGTCATTCAAAATGATTAAGAGAACTGCCCTATCCCAAAATATCATTGAGAAATTTAATAACTTAATAATGGGATAGGATAGAAAGTGTTATGATTAAGTAACTTAAATAGTTACAAAAATATGTACAGTTTGATTATATTATTTAATAACTAAATAATTTCATATTTAAAGTAGGGTATTAGAAAAAAAAAGAAATATCTAAAGTATTCACTGATAGAACAAGAAGAAAAATTGTTCATCAACTTAAACAGATCAAACCAATCTAAAAATAATCCACGAAAAATAGCTAAACTTGCTTAATGAAATTCCTATTTGATAATTCAAATCAAATAACCAGTCTTTCTTTATTCAAATACAACAAATCATGTGTTCCCAAAAATGAAGAAAGAACAGTCAAATTAATGTCTTTGAATCCTTTTCCAATCCTCTCAAGGTTATTATCCCAGCAATTAATAGTCGATTTAAAGCAATCATCGAAATATGTTATTTATGACTAGCGTGTGCCGTGTTATTAAATAATAACAACAAACAACTTTACTAACCAGTTCTCGTCGTTTTGTTTTGAGAATTTATCAAAGCGATTCTAATGCAAAACAACTTCAATGGCAATACACATTATACACTGGCATAATAGCTAAAAACAATCGAGATAACATTAACACTCTGTTTTCCTATTGTTGCGTTTTTGGGGGCTCGCAACTCGAATCAAGTTCAATGCGACTTGGCAACCGATCTCCGAGCAAACTAGTCTGCCGCCTCATAAATATTTTGTGGAATTCTAGCATGAACTCAAACATTTTGCATAATGACTGGCGATATTTTCTTGTAACGGTCTTGGGCAAGTGAAATTTTGACTGTAAAAACTTCTAAAAAGCCGCCATGATAAGAAATAAACATGTTAGAGGCCCGTCCTAGGTTACAAAATTGCAATTCATTCTACCCGATTGCATTAATTAAGTAAACCACCTGTTCTAGTAAACAAATTTCTGCAAGTTCAGTTAAAATATGCGAACAACAACCAGCTACTTAAGATATTCCGATATATATAGCAGTTGAAATAAACAAAATACTAGTTTGGCTTTTATTTAAATTAGTACAGGATTTTCACCTGATCGAGGCCCTATATAAAGCGTCCGATTGGCTTAGCTCGGGCCATAATCATCTTGAAGATCGTGTAAGATCAACGGAACGTAAAAATCTATATCGCGTGTGAGGAGAGGATTTGCATAAATTGAGTCTGAGTGATAATGGTAAATGGGTTGGTACACGTGCCAAAAGTTTTATATAACCGTGTGTGAAAAAGTGTGATCAAAAATTGTGAAATTTAAATTTAAGTCCGATTTTAAACTATTTTTTATTTTAAAGTTTTGAAACTCTTATAAAAACTAATCCACTTTTAAAATTCGATATACCATTTTCTAGTCTTAATGGTAATGTTAGTCTTACCTTAAATACTAAATAGAATAGAACAATAAAATGTTTCTTCCAAGATGATAGTAAAACACGTAACTTCATAAATATAAACTAATTAATGCTCTATTATCCCTTATTCGCCCAATAGACCAGCTATACTGACAAAGGAACCAAAGTAAGTTTAAAAAAAGCATACGAAATCCCAAAAAAAAAAAACTATAAATAATTTATTTACCTTTTATAATTGCAGCCTGAAGCCGGCAAATTTCTAAGCTTTGATCACCTGACCTTCTACGTTGGCAACGCCAAGCAGGCGGCCAGCTATTATACCACTCGACTGGGCTTCGAACCTCTTGGCTATCAGGGATTAGAGACCGGGGAACGACGCTTCGCCAAGCATGCCGTGCGCCAGAACAAGATCGTCTTTGTGTTCGTCTCCGCCTACACTCCGGATGACAAAGAGCATGGACTCCACTTGATGCGCCACGGCGACGGTGTCAAGGATGTAGCCTTCGAAGTGGAGGATCTTAATGCCATCTTTACCCTGGCGGTGTCCCGAGGCGCCGAAGTGGTGCGCGACATCTGGGAAGAGAGCGATGACCAGGGATTCGTGAGATTCGCCACCATCAAGACGGTAATTGATACAGGAAATAGAAAAATCTTAATATTAAAACCTTAATCTTCAATATATTCTATGTAGTACGGTGATACCACTCATACTTTTGTGGAGCGCACTGGTTACACGGGCGACTTCCTGCCCGGTTTTCAGCGGGCGGCTGAGGATGTTCTTCTGAAGGGCTTGCCCTCCACAAAACTGAACTTCATTGATCACGTTGTGGGCAACCAGCCGGATCTGCAAATGGAAAGTGTGGTCTCCTGGTACGAGAGGATCTTGCAGTTCCATCGCTTCTGGTCGGTGGACGACTCCCAGATTCACACCGAGTACTCGGCCTTGCGATCCATCGTTATGGCCAACTACGAGGAGACGGTGAAGATGCCGATCAATGAGCCGGCCAATGGAAAGAAGAAGTCGCAGATTCAGGAGTACGTGGAGTACTACGGTGGAGGTGGTGTCCAGCACATTGCCCTCAACACGGATGACATTATCGAGGCGGTGACCAACCTGAAGGCTCGGGGCACCGAGTTCCTGACCATCCCATCCTCGTACTACGAACTCCTGCAGGAGCAGCTTTCGCATAGCCGCACCAAGATCAAGGAGGACATGGAGGTTCTGAAGAAGTTGAACATTTTGATTGACTTTGATGAGAACGGATATCTGCTGCAGATATTTACGAAGAACTGCCAGGACAGGCCCACTCTCTTCCTCGAAGTAATTCAACGCTATAATCACAATGTAAGATTTATTACTTAAACTATTATAGCTATGAACAGTCATTGATAATCGTAACTATTTCAGGGATTTGGCGCTGGAAACTTCAAGTCCTTGTTCACGGCCATCGAAATTGAGCAAGCCAAGCGCGGAAACTTGTGAGACAAATGTGTAATAACTCAACAATTATAATAAATGAAATGGTTTAAAGAGAACAACTTATGGTAGAAATATTTCCAAAATGTCATTTGTTTATTCGCTGGTCTCTGAAACGTGTGTCTATCAGAACCTCGTTGCGGGGATCGTCTTCGGCAAAGGAAACCATGTGGGGATTCCAGAATCCTGGTGGCGTTGAGCTTCTTGCGTCAATGTGCCGGCAGTTGGCTAAATAGTCTTCAATCTTCTCATCGGTCAGGTTTGAACCCATGAAATTTATAAACTTAATTGGAAAATTATAAAATTTAATACAATTTGCTATCGAAAGTATTGAATTACACCAACCTTTTCGCATTCCCCGCATTCAATATTGAAACGTTCTTTAACTGTCAACTCTGGTTCATTTTTCACCAAAAGTGGTCGCGGAAACTCCTCTTCTAAATCTTTGCTATCCTCTTCTTTGATTTCCATTAGATACTTTTCAATATCCTGAGACATTTTCGTTGATTCATTGCCCACATCTGTCTCTGTTTGGGATTCGGGTTCAGCTTTCACTGCCTTGGTAATTGGAATGACAGCTTCCACTTTTTTTGGTATCGATTGAATGTTCTTCTGCTGGTCAATCATTTTCATCTCGAACTGTCTCAGAGCGTTCGAGCAGGCATCATCGTCGTCCTTCATAATCTCGGCCAGCACATCCATTGTCCCCATTTTGGTCACTTCTTCGGGGGTATCGTTCACGAAGATTATGTCCTGGGTGGCAGGCGTTAGAATGACCACGCTGTCCGAGGTGCAGTTGATTTTCAATCCTGGAGGGGTTGCTGGTGGTGGCATTATCGGAAGCTCCAATCTCTCCAAATTGAACTCTTCATCCATATCCATTTCAAAACTGGCCTTGCTGATCTTAATATGGCTACTGCTGCTGGTCGTAAGCGAGTCGTCGGCGCTTAAAACGGTCGCGGTGTCTGTTCTGCAAGCTTGGCTTTTAATATTAGAACGAATGGTAACCAGAAGTGTCACAGTAATCTCTTAGTTAATATTTATGGTATAGTAGGAGTTTTCATAAGAAAAATATATATGAAACTCATTGTTTTTAATGTGATCCTCCTGATGAAAACAATATATTTTCCCACTATATCAATATAAAGACTTTAATGACTATTTAAAAAGGGAAATCGGAGATGATCAAATTTCTATCGACTCACTTAATTTTTTTTGGAAGATAATTCTGTGACACATCCTTATTTATCGTACTGCTAATTACCTCTGCATTAGGGATCTATGTGGCCGAGATCTCTTTAAGCTTGCGAGATTGGGGCTTTCCTCTATAACATCGTTTTCGCTGGTGCTAGTCTTATTTGCTTCGAATTTCAGGCGAGTTTGTTTTAAGTGCGAGTTGCTACTTTTGTGCGTGAGTGAAAGCTTGGTGACGATTCCCGCATTCTTGGGTGTCTTACGGATCCAACTGGTGCTCGCGGCAGAAATATTGTTTGGCTGGACATTCTCAAGATTCCGGATGTCCGGCTTTCGGTTTGGTAGCCTTAGTTTGCGCGGGCTTTGTGCAGTGGTCTCCGTTTCCGTAATGGTCTCGTCCTCCTCCATTTCCTGATCCTCGTCGGAGAGATCGATACTGTTGAGGGCTATGTTCATGTTCAGGGAGTTCTGGCTCTGCGGCTGAGGGGATATGTCGTCCTTGATCTTTTTGGGCGACAGTTTCCTGCGCTTCTGCACCTGAATCATGGACTCCTGGCGTTCTTTCAACAACTCCAAAGCCTTGTGCAGCTTATTATTGTGGGCCTTTAGGTTTTCTATGGCCTTGGCACTCTCCTCCGAATCCCTCTGCATCACTATGGGTTATATTATTTATGAAATATTGATTAGCTTAATAGGTCAAAGATTATGTTTTAAGTTCGGATTACTTAAGGCGTGCTGTTTGATCGTGTCTAAAGCGGCAAAAAGGCACTTCACACTCTTCTCCTTGTGACCCCGACATGTTCCACACGTCATTTTAATACAATTTAATTAATTTAAGATTTTTTTATGCAGATTAACGTTTTTTTGATTACTTTTTTTGTTTTAAAATTGTGATGTTTTGTTTATTTTGCGTTCTGCCACATAGTGTGACCTTAAACAGAATGATAAAACAAACCTCCGGTCGAAAAACTAAAAATAGGGTATTTATTGTTTTGCCGGTTGGTATTTTTTAACTCACTAGCTGCGGTCTTACTGTTTGCCATTCTACTCGTGTTTAATTTTTATTTTTCACCTGTAAAATTTAATTTTATTAAATAGATTAACTTAATTTGGCCATGGCACACCTGCGGGAAACCTCAGACAAGGCGCTGAAGCTGTTGCGCACGTTGCCGCGTGTGCAAATCGGAAATCTTCGACCGAATCCGAACTCCAAACAGAATGTGAGTGGTTGAGTAACAACACGCAATTGATACACTATTTATTTATCATATGTCTTTCGGCAGGACAAGCGTGGCAGGGCGCAGCACGGCGGAGATAAGCACGGAGCAGGCAACAAGGGATCCGGACAGCGGCAGAACTTTATGCGACTGGGTTACGAAACGGGTAATCAGCCTTTCTACCTGAGATTTCCCTACGAGCCTTACTACAAAGGACACCACATGAAGCGCCAGTATCCGCCCATCTCGCTGCTCCAGCTGCAGGTGCTCATCGACACCAACAGGATAGACATCAGCCATCCCATCGACATCAGCACTCTGTGCAATTCCGGCCTCCTGAAGCTAAAACCCGCTGAAATGGAATACGGATTCCAGCTCACGGATGACGGGCTGGACAACTTTCAGGCCAAGATCAACATTGAGGTGCAGCACGCCAGCGAGGCGGTCATCGCGGCTATAGAGAAAAACGGCGGGGTAATCCGTACGGCCTACTACGATCCCCGCAGCCTGCATATGCTGGCCAATCCAAAGAAGTGGTTCCAAAAGGGTGTGCCCATTCCCAGCCGAATGCTGCCGCCTCAGGACGCAGTGGACTACTACACGAATCCCAAGAACCGGGGCTACCTCGCCAATCCCGAGGAGATCAGCCAGGATCGCTTGGTGCTGGCCCAGAAATACGGCTACCAGCTACCCAAAATTGAAGATGATTCCGCCTACGATATGCTAACTACTGCCAAGGATCCCAGGCAAGTATTCTATGGCCTGGAACCCGGATGGCTGATCAACATAGTGGACAAAACAATCATCAAGCGTAAGCAATAACTAGTTGAGTTTGTTACTATGCATTTTGTTAAATAAAGAAATGGATTACAAAAAGCTCTGTTAGACTATGATACTATGGGACATGTGATGTGTCCTTGTCTTTTTGATTTGTTTATATAAACACCTGCTTGGCCGATAGATCCTCCATGAAGGGTTTGACCACCGCACTGGTGGCGAAGCAGAATATCAATCCGAAGGTAATTGAGATGGGCAGAGCGGGCAGTGCCTTGCGCCAAATGGCCAGAAGCAGGAGGGTGAGGCAGAGACCAATCAGGATGGCCACAAAGCAAGCGATGGTGGTCGTCCAGTCGCCGTAGCTGGAGGCTTTGCCCACTAATACCGAATAGAAGATGAAATCGCCGAGGCCCAGTTTAATGCCACCTAAAAAACACCAGTCATTAGGATATAGGATGTACTGATTTTACTTACTAAGTACTTACGTTCTTCTTGGCTATCCGGATGATTCTGGTCCGGTGCAGTGACTGTTCTGTACTCGTTTGAACGCTGAGCGCTTCCACTCTGAGTACTTTGAACCTCAATCTGGCGACGGGCCACACGTTCGCTCAAATTGTTAGACCATTCCTGCGTGAAGCCCGCAGCCTCGGCTAAAAAAAAACAAACAAAATGAAACATTTAAGGGTGAAACCTAGCAAATTGCCTTTAAATAGACCAGACCATTTCATGGCTTAGTCATAAATGATATTCTACTAGCAGCGCTGTATACCATATGCCCAACAAAACTAAACAAGACATTAAATACAGAAGAATACAAACAAAAGACCAAATGCCAATTAAGCAATGTACACATTTGAGAGTAGATAAATCATAAAAAATATAATGCATATGTACCGTTTCCGCGCAAATTGCTTTTAAAAGTCACAAGTGGCATACCTTCAGTTGCCAGTACACTGCCATCATCCCGCTGATTCTGTCGAGGATGAGAGTTACCTGAGCGTGAGCCACTAACGGCCGCTGCCTCCGGCGAAGCCAGAGAATTTTGGGTAGCCCTCGTGGTTGTGGTGGAGTTGCTCGACGAGGGCGATGATGAGGCCTCGGCCTGCGACTGCTGGGGCGTAACAGTGCCCACAAGTGCGTAAACGACAGTGGCTACAAAACAGAATTGTTGTGAATACGAAAGTCTCCAAAGAGGTTAATCATTATTACATGAGTAGATCAGAGCGGGGAAGATTTGTTCATTTCGTTCCTGGGCCGTTTCCACCAGTATGCGAAGTGGTCCTCTTGGAGAAAGGACAGCTATGAGATCTGTAAATAAAGCAAATAATAATTCAACTAAAATTCAGTACTCAAGTTCAGTTATGGCTTACCCCAAACGGAAATGGCAGCTAAGACGGCCCAGGCAGTCCATTCAGGCAAATACTTGATGAACACCAAGGCCATTAGGGCTGCTACAAATATAAGATATCCTTGTTGCAGCCGCAGAGGACCCTGCCAATGGATGGCCATCATTCCGACCACTCCAAAGTTCCACATAATCAGCAGGGCAGTGGGGTAGTCCATGGGTATGTTATAGGCGCGCAGGAGCTCCCTTAAATGATCAAATCATCAATGAAGAACTTTATAACAGTGTCTTATACTTACTCCAAATATAAGTACGTAAAGATAAACAATAACATAAAGGACGAGAGAATGAGCCAGCCATGAATGATGCGGTAGCAACGTTTCTTGTACAAAACAATCAGCAGAATGGTCATTGCCACCACTACGCTCATCAGGATCAAAGAGTTGGCCAGAGCATTCCAGAGTTTTACGCTTGGCTCCGGTGATAGCTCATGGAATGGAGTGTATAGGCTAGTGAAGTAGAAACAATCATTAATAGACATAAATAGAGAATGCTGCCATTAAATGTAACCATACAGATAGACATTCGTGCTGTTGTAAAAGCTGATAGAGTTAATGGTGGCCACCACTACCAGCATACAAAGTGAGACGGGCACAAACAATTTGATCACATGCTGGGCGCCATATTTCAGACCCTGCTCCTCCTCCGTTTCATTTGTGGGCGGGGCACCGCCGCCTCCTCCACTCAGTCTTGAAGGTCTTGGTCCGCCCGGTTCCCGCATCACCACATTGGGAACTGCCAGTATGGCCTGGCGGAAATGGAACGGCGGTCAGTGGTGTGATTGCAATCCTCGAATTCAGGGGACTCACCGCATCCGGCTGATCCTGATTGCTGGAACCGTAGTTGTTTCGCTGATGTTGTCGCTTTGGAGGACGCTCCAAACGCTCCGCCTCGCCGTTCTGGCTGCCCATGGTGGCATCGTCTCCGGAGGCGAGTCCGGAGGAGCACGAAGCCTGCAGATTGACAGCAGCCATCAGTGGTGTGCGTTCGTTCGCCCCCGTAGCGCTGGACGACGACCCCTGCGAAGCCGTAGTTGTGGGCTGCGAACTTCTGGGGGGATCAGTACTGATAAGGACCTCAAACTAAATGCATGGCGATCTACTCACAATGGGTGGAACCGAAGTAAATGTAGCTAGAGCAAAACTTTCTTTTGTTTTGACGGAAAAGCGACTCATAGACTAGTGATGGACAACGGCAAGTGCGGCTCAGCTATCGATTTTCGATTAGTTTAGAAGGTTTCATGGAAGTAACAAAACATATGTGGAGGGGATGCATTTAAATGGATCAATCATCAATTTAAGAAAAATGAAGTTTTATGTATAAGTGGCTTACAATTTTTCTTCTTCTAACAGCAGTCAAAATATAAAATCTCTTATGGAAACTTAATATTTAAAAGATCTGTATGTAAGAACGGCTTTTCAAATCCCTTTCAGACCTACCCATGATAACGGGAATATTGTCTATCGATTAATTGCAATCAAAATAATACTATAAAAAATACTGCAAAAATACAAACAGCTGTTTTCCGCAAGGTGAAACACGGCCGCACCATTCATTTCATAAGATTCGACAAACAAAATAAAATCGTTAATCAATAATTGATTTGTTTCATTAAATTGGTTATTCACCATGTTGAGAGCTTTAAAATCACACGTGGAAGCACCCATAGTAATTGCCACTGTAAGTAAAAGTATTATTATTACTTTGCAGTTGAAAAATGAATGTATTTTTATTGAATAATACAGCGTGCGGCATCAACAAATGCGGAAAAGCTTGAAGAGATTCGTGATCGCCTGGCCAAGGGACCCAATTTCCAGGACTTTGTCCAGAATCCAGAGTACTCAAAAAACGAATGGGAGAACTATGAGGGAAAGCTGCGACGCGAAAAGGGCGAGGAGCAGCGCCTGCGACTGCCGCCTTGGCTGAAGACCACTATCCCTGTGGGCAAAAACTACGCCAAGATCAAGGCCCAGATGCGGGACCTCAAGCTGTCCACCGTCTGCGAGGAGGCACGGTGTCCCAACATCGGCGAGTGCTGGGGCGGCGGCGAGCATGGCACCCAAACAGCCACGATTATGGTGAGGCAACAGAACCAGACCCCCGGTGACCTCTGCTGATAAGCGAATATGCTCACTATCTGGTCTGGGGTGTCACAGAATTTTCCACAGTTTTAGGCGTTTGGAAATTTGTAAATTTGCAATTAGTATGCTTTCAATATTCTCTCCTCCAAAGCAAGAGTAAGAGTTTAAAGGGCTTCAAACTTCGGAAATTGTTAACTGTTTTTAAGGCATTTCTTTAAAACACTAGGACAAACTAGTTTTAACGACCGTTTATTGTTCCTTGAAAGAACTTTCAAAAAAATGTATTTAAAATTTCTATTAGAAAGGTCAAAACCTAAAAATATTTTTACAATTTTAATAACTAATTACTATTTTTCAACACGAGCATTCTGATGAACTTTTTCTGTAAAATTATTTGTTTTGAACCCCTCATTTAACTTAATTTTTACTTGTCAATAGCAGAACATTTTCCCAAAAATTAATTTTAATTTTTTTTACATATATTTTCCAGCTAATGGGAGATATCTGCACCCGAGGCTGTCGATTCTGTTCGGTGAAGACGGCACGTAAACCACCGCCGTTGGATGTGAATGAGCCTGTGAACACCGCCACAGCAATTGCCTCCTGGGGATTGGATTACATTGTGTTGACCTCAGTAGATCGGGATGGTTAGTTTTGGAATGGATTTTGGCTGACCAGTTCTTAATTTATTTTATTTTCATTATAGATTTGCCGGACGGCGGCTCTAAGCACATAGCTGAAACTGTTCGGGAAATAAAAGCGCGGTAAACATATTTATGCAGACAAAGCTTTGCCAATTCTCTTTACTTATCAAATACTTTATTTCAGTAACTCCAACATATTCGTGGAGTGTCTGGTGCCGGACTTTCGTGGCAATCTGGAGTGCGTGGAGACGATTGCTAACTGCGGCCTAGACGTGTATGCGCACAACATTGAGACGGTGGAGAAACTTACACCCTATGTCCGAGACAGACGAGCCCACTATCGTCAAACCCTGCAGGTGCTTACCGAAGCGAAGAAATTCAATCCCAATCTCATCACAAAGAGTTCAATTATGCTGGGCCTCGGTGAAACCGACGAGGAGATTGAGAACACTATGAAGGATCTGCGGGAGGCCGGAGTCGATTGTGTTACCTTGGGGCAGTATATGCAGCCCACAAACAAGCACCTCAAGGTCATCGAATACGTTACGCCCGAGAAGTTCAAGCACTGGGAGGAACGTGGCAACCAAATGGGATTCCTGTACACGGCCAGTGGTCCCCTCGTTCGCAGCTCCTACAAAGCCGGAGAGTTCTTCATCACGAGTATCTTGGAAAACCGTAAAAAAAGGCAAAACACCAATGCCAATCCCAAGGAGTAGGACGATTTCAAAGCCTTTCTGATAACAAAATTTGTAGATGCCTGCAAAAACATTTAGATAATTTTAGCTAAGCCTTTTGTTAACATACCTTTCGCTTGTTGTGCAATGTAAATATATACTATAATAAATATATTTTTATTTTGAAATAAATTCGAATTGTTGATAGTGTATAACTGTTAATTTTTTGTAGTCAAATATTTTAAAACTTAAGTTTTAGCACAAACAAGAAAAGCATTTTTTTTTCGAAAAATTTAGTTTTCTTTGAAATTAAAAAGAAAAACATTTCTATTTTGAACTGCGCGCCCTTTTTTCAGTATTAAATGAATACTTTCCGTTACATTTGGCGTTATGTTATTTGATTTGGCATTGGTTTCCTCACACAACTTGGCCACACTTAATGCGATGCACTATCTGCTGGTCTATTATTGTTTTTTTATTTGTTGAGCATTGGATTGGATTGGGATTGGATTGGATAGAAGATAGCTAAGAAGACAAAGAACCAGCATAAAGATGCCTCGTCTTGTCAATGGACGCGAGGCCGCACCCTCGTACTCTAATGTGGTAAGATTCACTGAAATAAATAAAACTCGGGACTCCTTTCACCAAAACAAAGAGCATAATGCATACCTATGTTACTTGTTTGTTTTTATGTCTGCGCAATGAATGCCTAGTTTTATAGAGTTTAGAAAGATATGTACATACATATGTTTTTGATAATAACGCTCCAGAACTAGCATCAGATAACATAAAAAAGGAAAAATTAAATTACGCCTACTTGCTCACTTTTTGCTGCGTGTGCACATAATATGAGATTCCAAAAACGGAACACCTGTCGCTCTGAGTAATTGTTTCCTTTTTTACTCTCAGGTCGGCTTTATATTCATTTTCAACCTTATTGTGGGAACTGGAGCCCTGACTCTGCCCGGAGTTTTTTCCAGGGCAGGATGGATGCTCAGTCTCATCGTTATTGTTCTACTGGCCATCATAAGTTACATGACCGTAACCTTTATCATCGAGGCCATGGCCTGTGCGAATGCCATCAGGAATTGGCAAACTCTACAGGCCCTGCGACAGAGTCGAAGTTCCGCTGAGAACAGTGAGAACGATGATAACGCCGATGAGGTTTCCCTCACATCGGCAGCCGACCAAGTTGGGGACTTCGAGCGGGTTCCGTTGACCATCCAGAACCGGGAGTTCCACTACTACCAGCTCTCCCACAAATTCGAACTGGGAGAAATGGCGACACTCTTCTTCAACGAATTCGGTCGCGTTATGTTCTATCTCTGCCTGATAGTTTATCTTTACGGAGATCTGAGCATATATTCCGCCGCCGTGGCAAGAAGTCTGCGTGACGTTGTATGGTTAGAAATGGAAATCAAACTTCCTTCCAGAAAAATTTTCATCCTTAACTCTAAATATTATTTACTTTAAATCGATTCGATATCAGAACTAATTTTCTATGGTCAAGTAATCAAATTTTTAAAAATATTGATCATTCAATTTAATTTGTATTATTTCAAAACAGAATTTCCAGAGTTATTTTTCTTTGGTAAATTTGTATTATGACTTACAATACAATTTTTATAGTTATGAAAGTACCTTAAAGACTTTATGAAGAGGTTTATATTATTAATTTACAAATATTGACTGATTTTAGTGATCAAACAAATGGGACGGACACCAATAACTTGATGTATTGGCCAGGAGACTTTAAGAATAATACATCTCGGGCCTGCTGGAAGGAACACACCATATCTCGACTAAGCATGTACAGGGTATTTTTAATTGGATTTACACTGATCTTCGGTCCATTCGTTTGCTTTAATATACAAAAAACTAAATACTTGCAAATGCTCACTGCAGCCTTCCGATGGATGGGTAAGTTATGAGATATTGAAATGAGATTTTGAAATATCACCAAACATTCTGAATTTCAGCTTTTACCCTTATGATATGCATATCGCTAAAACTGTTGATCACCAGAGGAGCCAAAGGACATCCGGAGACCTTCAACGTGTATGGTATTCCGCCGCTTTTCGGGGCATGTGTCTACTCGTTTATGTGTCATCATTCGTTGCCCAGTCTGTTGGCACCCATTAGACAAAAGTCTATGGTTTCGAAAATTCTCTCTTTCGACTATATCATCATCTGTGCTTTTTACATTTTACTAGCCATGACAGGTATTTTCGCCTTTGAACGAATCGAAGACCTTTACACATTGGATTTTCTGCCCTACGACGTGGAATACATAGATTTTTGGTCTGGTCTATTAATTTGCATTGATTACTTCCTGGCCCTTTTCCCTGTTTTTACGTTGTCCACCAGTTTTCCCATTGTGGCCATTACCCTGAAGAACAATCTACAAACACTCTTTCTCGACATGTCACAATTCGAATCCTATGGCCTTTTTGTGCGTATGTGGTTCCCACTTCTCGCCATAATTCCGCCGTTTTGTATCACTTATTTTACGGAGAGTTTGTCGAGCTTAGTGGCATTTACTGGCACCTATGCCGGTACTGGCATTCAATACATAATTCCAGTCTTTCTGGTCTACTTTTCGAGACGCACTTGCTCAGAGCTTCTGGGAAGCGGTGTGATCAACCGTTTTCAAAGTCCTTTCAAGTCCAGTGCCTGGCTGGTTTTTGTTTTTATCTGGTCCATTTTATGCGTCTGTTTGGTATCCATTAATTTGTTTAGTTAAACCTTACTAACTATCTGCAAAAATATAGATTATTTTATGGCAACAAGTTTATTACCGGTTAATAAAGTTCCCTGTCAATTAGTTATTACGTAAAGTTTAACAGCGAAACAAACTAATTTCGTAGATGTATATATTTAAGCATGATATTAAATAAATTAAGCGATTTCTAGCAATGTAAGTAAGTATTGAAATCGGCTGTGAAACTCAAATTTTCAAAAAAATAAAAGATTGTAGCGTCAGAATTTTGTAAATCTGCAATCTTGTTTTGACTTAAAAAAAATATATTGTTATTTTTGTTTAATCAGTAGTTTTTCCAATCTTAATGTTTTTATGAAATATTTTAATCAATATTTTTGATCAGAAATATAATGTATTAGTTTTAAAGACTGCTCAATTGAAATGAAAATCCATGATATATATTAAACCTAATAAAACCTTTTTAAAATTTTATAATTTACTTTTAATTCTTTAATACAGCGTTTTCTATAAGAACTTCAGTTTTTTTAAGACTTTGAATGTGAACGTTTTTAAAATACCGTTAGTTGTTGTTCCCGACGGATAAAAGTGGATAATCTATAACAGTGTGACCGTTGTTCTATTTTCAAAAAAATCAATTCAACAGCTAGTTGTCGAAATGTCAATCGGAATCTTTCCCACCTCTAAAATTGGACGACTTGTTTTTATTTTGATTTGCGACTTTTATATTTCTTAAAGTCCTCGCAATATTGTTAAAATAAGATCAAACACTTGAATATGTCTTTGTCTGTGGACAGTAATAAGTCCTTGCTGAGAAAGGGAGACATGAAACTGGATAACTATCCCACATGTGCAGTGGAGGCACTTACTCGATTGGGTATAAAGTTACTCTTACCAATTTTGGCACCTTTCTTAACTAAATATTTGCAGAAACATTGATCGCCAGTCGGAACAAACAGAATATGGTGATGCAAATCATATCAGAGTACATATTTCTGGAGAGAACCGGCAAGGATGGCGATGTGCGAAAGTCGCAGTCACTGCCCATCAGCCAGATGAATCTGTTCCAGGAGTTTCAGCTTATTATAGCACTGATCGAGTACTTCTCGCGACCGGGAAGGGATGCCACCCGCAATGCCATCTTCCTCTCGCTATTCGGCAGCCACTTGACCCCGCAACGGTCCAAGTTACTATCCCGGCTGATCAGCACTGCGGTTTCCGGATCCGTGGCACCGTTGCTCTCCTCCGCCGGTACGTGGATGCAACAGGTGGGCTGCAAGACGCCACTCAGCCTGGAGGTGGCCCAGAATATAGTCAGTGACTTCATCTCGTACTCCCGCAAAACGCCGGAGCAACTGAAGCAGCTGCCGATGGTGGGTCCGCACTTTGCCGCCAACTTCATGGTGGCCGTGGCGGACTTGTATCTCAATGAGCAGCGTTCGCAAACCCTGAATCCCCCGCCAGATGCCCTACTCGATACAATTACCGAGTGGATGACGGAGAATCCCACGTTGTGTCAGGCCTCGCAGCAGCCTTTGGTCCTGCCTGCCGGAGCCATAGCCATGCCGTTTGCCACTCCCTTAGCTGGTCTACTGCGTTGGGTGGTCCTGGCTCCATTGGTCTCCAACCGCTCAGCCTACAGCAATCTGCATCTTTCCCTCCTGCGTGCCCTGCAGCAACTTGTCAGCAGTGGAGAATCCACAGCGCTGCCCAGCCAGGAGCTTATGCAGATCGTGAAATCCCTGCAGAACTATTGCGCAAGGCTGGGGGAGTCCAAGACGGATCCTGAGGCGGATGCTGCCTACCAGAAGTGCATGGAGCGATTTGCCCAAGCCGTGCAAATCGCCCTGAGTTCGAACTGCATCAGCAATCAAATCCAGCTGCTGTGCCTCCTGGAATCTTTACCACCACACAAGCTTATGAAAATTGTTATTGAGGCCCATAAAAAATAGAATATCGAATTATTAAATACATTTGGAGAGAGTAAGTCGGCTTACATGTCAATTGCAATCATTTTCTGGTTGCTCAACATGAGATTTGGCTCAAAAAAATAATTTATGTTGGGTTGACTTATAAGTTGATTAAGAAATACCGCATTTTTGAAAAAGAAGATCCGAAATAGCATTATATTAAATCGGAAAAACATTTATATCTTCACTAGCTTGAAAAGATTGATTAAGTCAACCCTTTTTTTTAGTGTTATTAATTAAATTCATAAAATACAAACCGCTTATGGGTAATAGCAAAAATCTTTAAGGAAAATATCCCACAAGTTTGTAAAAATCGAATTATCGTGATTTTGTTTTCCTTTCTCTGTATATTTAGTTAAAACTATTAGTACAGAAATTCATCATATGTTTTTAAAGTTTGGTTGATTATAAATTATTTTTTTTTATAACGTGCTATAATACGCAATCTTTGATCTGAAAAAATTATAAGTGGGACTTTTGACGAGATAGATTAATGCTAATTAATTTTACAATTTTGTCTTAAAGAATTTTCTTTTTTAGTGCTTTATAAATTCTAAAAATTATGATATAAATAGTACTAAGACATATTTATTTTAAAACATTCTTATCCCGCGCGAGTTGGGAAGCTGCCTCACTGACATAATTTTTTATTTTAGCGCGCATGTCCTTGAGAGTAAATGAGCAGGTGACAGGACTTGCACAGGGATGTGGTAAAAATCAATACCATTCCAGTTTGAAGCTTGCCTCGCAGTGCAAGCTTGTTGAATAGAATCAAAACTAGCAGCTAAAAGACAATGCAATGAATCCCGTACCGAGCCGCGAGTTCCTGGAGGTTCATCCGCTGCACCAACATCAGCCGCATTGCAAACAGCAATGCTTTGTGTTCACGGAGATAGCGGACATCGAGCTGCCCGCGGAGATAACCAAATTTGGAGGTGGAACTGAGAAGATCCGGTGCTCCAACGGTGGCATTCCCACCTACAGTTCCAAGAAGGACTCCTGCAGCGAGTCCTCGGGCGAAAGACCGGAGCGATCTCGGGGGCGGAAGATTCTGCTGGGCGTGGGTGTGGTGCTACTGTGCATCGCCATGGCCGGGGGCATTCCACTGGCCCTCCAGCTGCGCTCCTCGTCGCTCCTCGAGGCTCGTCTGGCCTTCATCCGCCGTCTGCTGACCGAGTCGCCGCTGATCGAGGGCTCGTGGAAGCCACCGAGCACCATGAGCCTGAACAGCAGCAATCTGTTCGAGGTGCGACAGAACCACATCGGAGCTGTGCTCTGGCCCATTGCCGTGCCGTGTGGAGCCCAGTATCTGGATGCAGTGCAGCTCACTCTGGAGGGGATCGACAGGGCCAAGCGCATTACCGCCGCCACGAACTTGATGCACATTGTGGAGTCGGCAGACGAGATGGAGCAGACCCACCTGCAGGGTGAGGTGGCTGTCCTCATGGGGATCAGTGGTGGCCATGCCCTGGGCACCAGCACGGCCGTCTTGCGCTCCATCTACCTGCTGGGAGCTCGGTTCGTGTCCATCACGAGCCTGGAGTGCACCACTCCTTGGGCGGCGGCGGCCATCCGAAGACCCGATTATCTCGTCGAGGAGAACATGACGAATTCGTTCAACGAATTCGGTCAGGTGGGTACTTTTTAGATGGGAGTGGCACAGTCAAAATAAATATCTATCTAACTAGCTGCAAGAATGTATATTTCATATTAAAGTTAAATATAAACTCATATTATTATATAAAATGCATATTAAATTGAATAATTTAATACTACAATTTTAGAATACGTTTGAAAAATAAGTCAATTTAAAATGGGTCCTTTAAATTAATTAAATTAAAATTTAATATGGCTTCAAATAAAATTACTTTTTTTGTTATTCCAAAAGAAGTTAAAAAAAAAAAATAATAAAATATAAATATATATTTGTATTCTAAAAATAAGTAAAAACCAAACCATATACTATTTTTTCCTTACCAGTTTAGTACTCTTCCCATTACTATTTAATATCTTTAACCATTTTTAGACAATGGTCTTTGAGATGAATCGCCTGGGAATGCTGGTGGAGATATCGATGCTCAGCGAGGCTGCCATGTTGGCCGTCTTGAAAACGGCCAAGGCTCCCGTGCTGCTTACAAACGCCACACCGCTTTCCATGTGCAACAGTAGCAGCACAGCTTCCATTCCCGATCATGTTCTCAGGTGAGCAATTTTCAGGATACCTTCCATACATTTTTGGGATTGCATTGTAAATATTTAATTCACCCACAGCCTATTGCCGGAGAACGGTGGCGTTATATTACTCAACCTGGAGCGTTGTGGAGATCGGACACTGGGCGTTCGGGAGGCCATTACTGCCATAAACTATGTGCGTAAGGTGGCCGGTGTGGATCACATTGGACTAGGTGGAGCTCCGAAAAGCTATGCCCTCCTGCTGGCCGAACTGGCTCGGGACAGGGTGTGGGGTAATGCAGCCATTAAGAAGCTGGTCGGAGGCAATGTGATGAGGATTCTGCGCGAAATCGAGACTCTCAAGAACCGATTGCCCTTGTATGAGGAGTGGATTCCGCATGAGTCCATCGAAAGCAATTCCTATTGCCGCTATCCCGAGACTTAGATCAGCTCCCTCAATTGGCTCAATCGATTGTTCTAAAATAATTACCAAAATATTTAATTAAACTATTAAAGTACAATTGACTTGTTGTTGCATTTAGGAAGCACAAATATGTGTTAAATGCAAGTATTGATAATATTAAGCTAGCTAAAACCCATTAAAAAGTCTCTTAGGGAAGTACATACATTTGTACATAGGTTTATATTTAATGAATATCATTCTAGGTAAATACATATCGGTGTATGATGATATTATAATATTGTTATGCTTAACTGCTACTAGACCTTCAACGACTATTTAACACTGATGCCAGTTCGCACTCCGAGGGTCAGGGAAATCACTTCTTGCTCTGATGGTCGCTCGTTAAGCTCGCGCTTCATGATTCTCTTGGACAAGAGATCCTCATCCTCGTCGATCTTAAGCTCGCGCTTCACCCTAGATGGCTCGCCTTCGTCGTCGTCCAGCTCGAAGACGTTGTTGTCGGTAAATGCCAAGTGGTTGATTTCATTGAAGAACAAGGTCTTCGCATTCCGTATGGTTCGGTCGTAGCCCGGATCACTTAGGGGCGGCAGATAAGTGGCAGGGATGCGGCTGGTGCCCCTGTATCCGGAGTCAGGGCAACGTGGATCAATGGATCCCGGATAGCAATAGACAGGAGTGGTTCCGGCAATCGGCGTTCTTGTCGTTGTCGCCGGCAGGCACTCAGGATCCGATGATCCTGGATAGCACCTGGGTCTAGTGGGTGTAGTGGGCGGCTTCTGGGGGCAGCGACTGTCTGTGGAGCCTGGATAGCAGTTGGGCTTGGAAGTAGTCACAGGAGTTCGGGTCGTGGCAGGTTGACACTCAGGATTGTTGGAGCCAGGATAACATCTACTGGCTGTCGTGGGCGGAAGGTATGTAGCTGGCTGGCAGTAGGGATCGTTAGAGCCAGGATAGCATCGCGGCTTGGGTGTAGTTATAGGCGTCCTGGTGGTCGGTGGCGAGTATGTTGCTGGCTGGCAATCCGGATCGTTGGAACCCGGATAACACCTGGGCCGAGCCGTAGGAATCGTTGTGCGGGCCGTCGTCGGTGGAAGGTAAGTAGCCGGTTGACACTTTGGGTCCTTCGAGCCGGGGTAACATCTTGGTCTGGGTGTCGTCACTGGCTCCTGCGGACAGCGTCTATCAGTCGAGCCCGGGTAACAATTCGGCTTGGAAGTAGTTACAGGAGTCCTTGTAGTCGGAGGAGAGTAAGTAGCTGGTTGACACGCCGGATCATTAGAGCCAGGATAGCACCTTGGCCTCAAAGTTGTTATAGGTGCCCTTGTTGCTGGCTCGCAATCAGGATCTGAAGACCCCGGGTAACACCTTGGTGTGGAAACTGGAGTTCTTATGGTTGTAGGCTGAGTTGGTTGCGGGCACCTGGGATCAGTTGATCCTGGATAGCAATTTGGCTTAGGCGCACTCGTAGGCGGTCGATAAGTTGATGGGGGTAGGTAAGTAGCAGGCTGGCACTTTGGATCATCGGAACCCTCATAGCATCCGGGCTTCCTTGTGGTTGAAATCTTTGGGCATCTCGGATCTGGGGAGCCAGGGTAGCAATTCAGACATTCAGGATCTGATGAGCCGGGATAGCACCTCGGCTTCGAAGTGGTAGGTTGTTCCTGTGGACAACGACTATCCTTTGAGCCCGGATAGCAATTGGGCTTGGATGTTGTTACAGGTGCTCTGGTTGTCGGTGGTTGGCAGTAAGGATCGCTTGATCCCGGATAGCACCTTGGCTTGGTTGTGGGAATCGTTGTTCTTGCCGTTGATGGAGGAAGGTACGTTGCAGGCTGACACTCAGGATCTGTAGATCCAGGATAACATCTTGGTTTTTGAGTCGTTTCTGGCCTCTGCGGACAGCGACTATCAGTTGAACCAGGATAACAATTTGGCTTCGACGTAGTTATTGGTCTTCGAGTAGTCGGAGGTGAGTAAGTTGCAGGCTGACAGTCCGGGTCACTGGAACCCGGATAACATCTTGGCTTGGCCGTGGTAATTGTTGTTCTCAGCGTGGTTGGTGGAAGATAAGTGGCTGGCTGGCATTCGGGGTCCGTTGAGCCGGGGAAACATCTTGGTTTTGGAGTCGTCACTGGTTCCTGAGGACAGCGTCTATCTGTCGAGCCCGGATAACAGTTTGGCTTGGAAGTAGTAACAGGAGTCCTTGTAGTCGGAGGCGAGTAAGTAGCTGGCTGACACTCTGGATCCCTTGACCCAGGATAACACCTTGGCTTCAAGGTAGTGATTTGTGATCCTGAAGTTGGCGGAGAGTAAGTTGCTGGTTGACATTCCGGATCATTGGATCCTGGATAACACCTAGGCCTAGATGTAGTTATAAGCGTCCTAATGGTGGTGGGCTGAGTAGGTTGCGGGCAGCTCGGATCCGTTGATCCTGGATAGCACCTGGGTTTGGGAGCAATTGTGGTTGGGCGGCGTGTTGATGGGGGCAAATATGTGGCAGGTTGACATTTTGGATCATCTGAACCCTCATAGCATCCTGCTCTCCTTGTGGTCGGAATTTTAGGACACCTTGGATCTGGCGAACCAGGATAACAATTCAGGCATTCCGGATCTGAAGAGCCGGGATAGCACTTGGGCTGCGGAGTAGTTGGAGGTCTCTGCGGACAGCGACTGTCAGTGGAGCCCGGATAACAATTGGGCTTGGATGTGGTTATAGGCGTTCTAGTTGTTGGGGTTCGGTAAGTAGTTGGCTGACATTCAGGGTCACTAGACCCCGGGTAACACCTTGGTTTCGAAGTCGTAATCGGAGCTCGTGCAGTTGTAGGTGGTAGATAAGTTGCTGGTTTGCAATCAGGATCTAAAGAACCTGGATAACATCTGGGCTTTGATGTCGTTATAAGTGGTCTTGATGTCGGTGGGGAATATGTTTTTGGTTGGCAATATGGGTCGGTTGATCCCGGATAACACCTTGGCTTGGTTGTAGGAATGGTTGGTCTCGCAGTTGTAGGAGGAAGATACGTTGCAGGCTGACATTCAGGATCAGTAGATCCGGGTGAGCATCTTGGCTTCGAAGTCGTCGGCGGTTTCTGGGGGCAACGACTATCTGTTGAGCCGAGATAACAAATTGGCTTGGATGTAGTCAAAGGCGTTTTAGTTGTTGCAGGTGGTTGGCAATCGGGATCATCGGAACCTGGATAGCATCTGGGCCGAGTCGTAGGAACCGTTGTGCGTGCCGTTGTTGGAGGGAGGTAAGTGGCAGGTTGACATTCAGGATCCGTTGAGCCCGGATAACATCTTGGCTTTGGTGTCGGCACTGGTACTTGAGGGCAGCGTCTATCAGTCGAACCCGGATAACAATTTGGCTTAGGAGTGGTTACAGGCCTCCTGGTCGTAGTAGCTGGCTGACATTCCGGATCATTAGATCCAGGATAGCACCTTTGCCTTGACGTAGTTACAGGAGTCCTTGTTGTGGTTGGTCGAGTTGGTTGCGGACAGCTGGGATCCGTTGATCCTGGATAGCATCTGGGTCTAGGTGCAACCGTGGGAGGCTGTCGAGATGAAGGAGGTAAATATGTGGCAGGTTGACATTTTGGATCATCTGAACCCTCATAACATCCTGCCCTCCTTGTGGTTGGAACCTTGGGACATCTTGGATCTGGGGAACCAGGATAACAATTAAGACACTCCGGATCTGATGAGCCGGGATAGCACTTAGGTTGCGGAGTAGTTACTGGTTTCTGAGGACAACGACTATCAGTGGAACCAGGATAACAATTAGGTTTGGAAGTAGTCACAGGCGTTCTGGTTGTTGGTGGCTGGCAATAAGGATCACTGGAACCAGGATAACACCTCGGCTTTGTAGTAGGAATCGTTGTTCTTGCTGTTGATGGCGGAAGATTAGTTGCTGGTTGACAGAAAGGATCTGAAGATCCCGGATAACATCTGGGCTTTGGAGTCGTTGGCGGTTTCTGTGGGCAACGGCTATCTGTTGAGCCCGGATAACAGTTGGGCTTCGATGTAGTGGAAGGTCTTCGTGTTGTCGGAGGCAAGTAAGTAGCTGGTTGGCAATCAGGATCATTCGAGCCCGGATAACAACGTGGTTTGGGTGGCGGAATTGTTGTTCGCACCGTAGCTGGCTGGCATTCCGGGTCCGTTGAGCCGGGATAGCACCTGGGCTTTGGTGTCGTTACAGGTTCCTGAGGACAGCGTCTATCTGTCGAACCCGGATAACAGTTTGGCTTCGAAGTGGTCAAAGGCCTCCTGGTCGTCGGAGGCAAGTAAGTAGCTGGCTGACATTCCGGATCATTAGATCCCGGATAACACCTTGGCCTAACTGTTGTAATTGTGGCTCTTGCAGTTGTTGGTGGAAGATATGTTGCTGGCTGACACTCAGGATCTGAAGAACCAGGGAAGCATCTTGGCTTGGGCGTAGTAATTGGTTGCCTTGTTGGAGGTTGACATTCAGGTTCCCTTGAGCCCGGATAACATCTTGGCTTAAAAGTAGTTACTGGCCTCCTGGTCGTCGTAGGCGAGTAAGTGGCTGGTTGACACTCTAAATTATTCGATCCTGGATAACACTTAGGCCCAGATGTAGTTATGGGTGTCCTTCTTGTAGTTGGTTGCGGACAACTGGGGTCAGTTGATCCCGGATAGCATCTGGGTTTGGGTGCAATAGTCGGGGGACGACGAGATGATGGAGGTAAATATGTGGCAGGCTGACATTTTGGATCATCTGAACCCTCATAGCATCCCGCCTTCTTCGTTGTAGGAACCTTGGGACATCTTGGATCTGGGGAACCAGGATAACAATTAAGACACTCCGGATCTGATGATCCGGGATAGCACTTAGGTTGTGGAGTAGTTACTGGTTTCTGAGGACAACGACTATCAGTGGAACCAGGATAACAATTAGGTTTGGAAGTAGTCACAGGCGTTCTTGTTGTTGGTGGCTGGCAATAAGGATCACTAGAACCAGGATAACACCTCGGCTTTGTAGTAGGAATCGTTGTTCTTGCTGTTAATGGCGGAAGGTACGTTGCTGGTTGACAGTCAGGATCTGGTGATCCCGGATAACATCTGGGCTTTGGAGTCGTTGGCGGTTTTTGTGGGCAACGACTATCTGTTGAGCCCGGATAACAGTTGGGCTTCGATGTAGTGGAAGGTCTTCGTGTTGTCGGAGGCAAGTAAGTAGCTGGTTGGCAATCAGGATCATTCGAGCCCGGATAACAACGTGGTTTGGGTGGCGGAATTGTTGTTCGCACCGTAGCTGGCTGGCATTCCGGGTCCGTTGAGCCGGGATAGCACCTGGGCTTTGGTGTCGTTACAGGTTCCTGAGGACAGCGTCTATCTGTCGAACCCGGATAACAGTTTGGCTTAGAAGTGGTTACAGGCCTTCTGGTCGTCGGAGGCAAGTAAGTAGCTGGCTGACATTCCGGATCATTAGATCCCGGATAACATCTAGGCCTAACTGTTGTAAATGTTGTTGGTGGAAGATATGTTGTTGGCTGACACTCGGGATCTGATGATCCAGGGAAGCATCTTGGCTTGGGCGTTGTAATTGGTTGCCTCGTCGGAGGCTGACATTCAGGGTCCCTGGACCCCGGATAGCACCTTTGCTTAGACGTAGTTATGGGTGTCCTTATTGTGGTTGGTCGAGTTGGTTGCGGACAGCTGGGATCCGTTGATCCTGGATAGCATCTGGGCTTAGGCGCAATCGTGGGAGGGCGGCGAGATGAAGGAGGTAAATATGTGGCAGGCTGACATTTTGGATCATCTGAACCCTCATAACATCCCGCCTTCCTTGTGGTTGGAACCTTCGGACATCTTGGGTCTGGGGAACCTGGATAACAATTAAGACACTCTGGAGCTGTTGATCCAGGATAGCACTTTGGCTGCGGTGTAGTAGGTGGTTTCTGAGTCACACGCGTTGCTGGCTTACACTCGGGATCAGTAGATCCCAGATAACACCTTGGAGTTGTTGGAGGTTTTTGTGGGCAACGACCATCAGTTGAGCCCGGATAACAATTTGGCCCTGATGTGGTTACTGGTGTTCTTGTTGTTTGGATTGGTGTTCTCCTGGTGGTTGGTGGAATAAAGGTAGCGGGTTGACATTCAGGATCGGTAGAGCCTGGATAACATCTTGCTTTCGGGGTAGTAATTGGTATTCTGGTTCTGGGCTGGCAGTCCGGATCGGTGGATCCCGGATAACAACGTGGTTTTGTCGTAGGAATCGGAGTTCTTCTCGTTGTCGGCGGAAGATAAGTTGCCGGCTGACATTCAGGATCATCGGAGCCTGGATAGCATCTTGGCTTCAGTGTGGTAGTGGTTGCCCTTGTTGCGGGCTGGCAATCAACATCAGTTGAGCCCGGATAACAACGTGGTTTGGTCGTAGTCCTCCTCGTTGTTGGTGGAAGGTATGTAGCTGGCTGACATTCCGGATCATTTGATCCCGGATAGCACCGCGGCCTAGGCGTGAAAGTTGAGGCTATTGGTATCCTGATCGTTGTCGGCGGCCGGGAAGTGGGCGTTTGGCAGCCAGGTTCTCTGGAGCCGGGATAGCAACGTGGCTTCGGTGAAATCAGATGATCCTGCAGACACTGCGGATCAGTTGATCCCTCGGGACATGGGCCTGTCCTCGCACTGCCGCAAGAGTAATCCCTTTTGCAAGCACCATTGCAGAGTTCAATGTCACACTTGAGATAAACCTGGGATCGGTCGGGGAACCTGAAGGCCTTTAGTGTATTAAAATAGGTTGTTGTTAGACTGGAGGGCGCTTCAAACTTTCGCCACTCCCCAAATATTTTCTCCTTTATCGAGCATCCTCTTTTGTCCGAGAGCTGTAATCTCTTCGTGGTTCTGGCCTCAAAGTCCATGTCATCGGAGGCATAGCATTGCAGTATATTTATGTCCCATGCCTGTTCCGAGTGCTTAACGTTAATGGTGAACGTTATGTCCGTTCCAAGGGTAAGTGTGCCCTGAATAGGTTTGATATTAGGCGGAGACCCAGTGCCGATTTCCATCCAGCACTCCACAGGACCACTTGGTGTATCCACAGAAATCACTTCCAGCATGTCCACCACAAATGGCTTGAAGTAGACAGTCTTCTCACGTTCATCGCCCCGACTGCACGATATCTTTCGTGCTATATCGAAGCTGTTTTGAATGTCCCTGTCATCCTGGATAATCAGGATGTTTTCGATCGAGGCGCATACGGAGCACGATGGTTTGCTGCCGCATCCATTGTATGGCACTGTGAATGTGAAACTGCGACCCGCTCGATCGCCCTTCACGTAGCTAATTAAAAATAGTCATTAAATTAATGAAAAGAAAATATATAGATATAAAAAAGATATACACATACTTGCATTTGGGGTCGTTGTAATACCCCTGACTGTAGATGACTCCCTCGAAGTCCTCGGCGAACTCCACCTCGACCATCATACCATCACCTTGGTCGCATTTCACATCGATCTTCTCGATGTGCTTAGCCGACAGAGAAGTGTCGCGAGCTAATCTGGTCGAAGAGTCGTCAAACTCAAGTTCGCTTAATACGTCATTGAGCGCCTCATCATCGCTCAGATCAGTGCCCGAAGTAGTGACCTTGAGCGTTATTCGAAATAATAACCATAAATTTATGATTTCTAGACGGTTATCAGCGGTGTACGTACCAAGAGCAAGGCCCACACGAAAATGTGGCCGATGTTGACCATCTTTAGTCTAAGTTTTAAGCTTTATTCTGCAATATAATAAATGAAAAGGTGTAAAATAAATATAAATATTTATGGTGTATACGATTCCAGGTACTGAACGATCGAAAAGTTAGGGTGCTTAATTTATTTCCTCTTTATTGATTACAAAACACTTAATGGTATCTTCGAACTTTGCTCAATGTTATTAAAATATTATTATTAAGAATATATGGACACTTACGTTTAATACAATATTAAATAAAATAAATTTGTTGAATATGCGAGGCTTACTTTATGTTCAATGTTGATCAGCTTAAATTATGTAATTTATTTTTTTAATTCATTGAAGTTTCTTTTATGGCAATTCAACATGACCATTTATTTAAAATTTATTTTACCATTCAGTTGACAGGATATTATTTCTGTTTACAATTATAAATTTAATTCGTTAATTTGGCCTTTTATTTATGGCCCATCTGGTACTTGTTGATTTGGGCAGAAATTTAATACCTCGAGCAACCTTCCTTTTGGGTGACTCACATTTGAGTGCGGCAAAAAAGGGCGACTTTGATACGATCTTAAAGACCATATATCAAATCATAAAAGTGACGAAAAATTAATTCGCCGATTATGAAGATATGTATTTGCATTCGCCGGGTTTGTCAACCGATCTCTAGCGCTGGGTGAGGTAAGATCTTCTTTATCGCTAATTACGGTTGAGTGCAACCTGTCGAGTATTTACACGAGCCGCCAACAGCCGGACCTCTTTTGCTCGCCGAATGGAGGGTGCTGTGCAGCGACACTAAAACGGGTTTGGTTTTTAAATAATACAACTAACCTTTAAAAGAAAAAAACAAAAAAAAAAGCTGGCGATTTCAAAATCCATAAATTGAACACTCACAACACTCACACACGACGCAACAAAGGGAGTAACTTAGAGAAACAAATATAGTGACTAGTGCCTATTTGCTTAGCCGCAGTTGATAAAGGCGCTTCGATTTTGGGGCCTTTTGTGTGGCATTGGCTTCTGCAATTTGATGGCGCTGTTGTTTTTGCCGAATGCCTGTCTTCGTCTTCTGTTGCTATTGCCATTGATGTTGATGTGGATGCTGATGTTAGCCCCGGATGATTAGGTGCTTTTTCATTGTGGCCTGGCCCCTTTTGTCTAGGTTATTCCAAGCATTAGGCTAACGAGACGTAAAAAGTACCATTTGATTACGGATGATTTGGCGTGAGAAGTCTGCTATTTGTTCTTACGTCACTCCTCAGATCGATTCAATTTTGGAATATAGTAACTACTTGTTCCACCTCATGAATAAATCTTTCATTAATTCCAGGAGCCCCTAAAGCGAAAAAAAAGTTTTATCTAATTGATTCCCCTCATTAGTGAACTAAATGTTTTCCGGTTCCTTTCCTTTGTACTAATCAGCGTGGATATAAATATATGTTCATGTTTTCACTAAAGGTTAAACTTTGTCTCGGTTGTCGACAACAAAAAAAAACACCTTAAATTTAGCAAGATACCCAGTTGATTATGATGAAATACCCGCCCATTCATACATCCGATTCATATTCAACACGATTAATATGGCATCTCTTTTGCTCCCAGCTTTTCGTTGGCTTAATCTTTGACGACCTAATTTTTTTTGGGTTTTTGGTTAGCCAGATATCTCAGTTTGCACGTTTTTTATATGACTGCATAATTATGCCCAATTTGATAAAAATTGGTTCACTATGTCAGAAAATTGCTCATTTGTTTTTTGCCTGCTTTTAAGTATACCATATTTTTATGTTCGCCAGTTATCAAGATATAGCTATTTGCCAACCTGCGATTAATAGTCAGGTCATTTATTAAATTGCCAGACAAACACATTAATGGCTTAGTTCGATTGAAAGACAAACTTTAGAATATAATATATATGCGAGTATTTATAGGTACACGATCATCTAGTAAATCAACGAATAATTATAATTGGGCAATTATAATTTTCAAAAGCCACCATTGAATGGCGATTTGGGTGTCGAAATTCGAAGATCGAAAGAATGAGTGTTCCGCCCGCGGATCCTGAGTGTCTGCCTAGTTCATAGGCACTCATATTTAATTGTATTGGCTAACCATTGAGCGTGAATGAAAACAACTTGGACATTGATGGCTTCACCCTGAACTTTTGACATTTCAGAGCCTCGCATAGGCGTATATCTTGGTATTAATCACGGCGAACAGGTGATTAGTCCGCGGGCTTCAATATGCATATATCTATATATGCTATTTGTATGTCCAAATGCGAGAGTGATATCTGTGACGATTGATTTAACCGACACTGCTCGTCTGCTTCTCATAATTTGGATTTAATTCATTGACAAATTGGTGAAATGCTGCTATCTTGCATTCTAGCTGTCTAATTTGGTCACATCTTGATTTATTTTATGGCCAATTTAGGATTGGCGCCAATTTGGTAAGCCGCTGCTGATCGCTCGTCTTAAAATAGTCATATTATCAACAAACTAATTTACATTTTTGTGCTGCATATAAGTGGGTATTTATTTCGATTTTGCATATATTATTAAGTGCAAAACAGATTTTAATGCCTAAATCTCACAAAGAGTTTGGTGAACTCAAAAATAGGCTATAAAAACTCCATAATTCTTAATATGCGCTTGTTGGGTGTGTCATTAAAAACCTGTGAATTATATTTCGGGGTACTTAACAAAATAAAATACAGTTAGCAATATTGACAAATAAACAACAAAATGCAAATGGCATTCAAACACCGGATCTGTGAAACTTGTTTCGCGTTTAAATGATTACAAAGAAATGCAAAAACGGGTAAACGGATTTACAAAAAGAATTCGATTTAAAAATCCCGAAACGCTTTAATCAATTGATCTTCACCGATGCTCATTTGTACAGGAATAAAAAATTTTGCGCAGTTAGAAACCGTGAGATCTTATAATCCGATTTTATTCGGGTTTAACCCGAAGCTGGGCAGTTTTAATTTTTTAGTTATATGATTCTTTCAGTCTCGTAACGATTTTTTTTTTTGATTTGGAGGATACGATTACATGCGTCACTGACATTCCACTTTCGACTTTTTTAATCGCCATATATGGTAACCGGCTAAATGCAAATACAAGGTCTTTTCTGCGTGGGTCGTAATGGAAAAAATAAATAATTATATAATAACCGGGGTTTTAATTTATCAAATTTATTATTATATTCAATTCTAATAAAAATGTTCAATACAAGCCATTTTTATGGTTAATAAAATGTAAAAATAGGCTTTATGTAGTATTTTAAATAGTATTATAGTATAATCAGTTCTTTAAACGAATTTAAATTTAATTTACATTTTTTTCACACTTATACATTTTTACTGAACTTGCTAAAATGTTTGTATTATGATAATCCTTATTCTTGTTTTTAAAAAGGATAATATGATATTTACTTTATTTGAATTTATTTTTTAAATTTTTAAATATTTGATTAATGTTTTTTGATTGATACCAGTTTGCTTTATTAATTGAAATGTTGGCAAGCGGCTCCTTCTACAATTTCAATGATTTCTGGCCAACTTCTTGAGTATTCACCGAATTCACTTCTGGACCGTTCACTTGCAGTACATTAAATCGAATCACATTTCTTGGCCTTAATTGGCGGCGCATCGTGGTAAGCACTTAAATTCACTCGAATATTTCTTAGTGGAACACATTGGCCAGTTGGCTAATTAATCGGTGGCCATCATATCATTCGGAATAGCACTGGACTTGGACTTACTGCACTGGTTGGTGGACTCGTGCTTGGGGAAAAATCGCTGGGATGCAGCTGGCGAAGTGGACGTTGCCGCACTAAGCGCCGAAGAGACTCGTCTTCGTTTATATACACACACGGCGTATGATTTAACAAAAATCGTCTCGGATATTGCCTCAAAAATCGAAAGACGCGGCAAGTAAAATAGCAGCAACAAAAACAAAACAAAAAAAAAAAAAACAACCAATGCTAGTAGCTTTATATATTGTTGTTTATTTTACGTCGCTCGTGGTTTTATACACGCACACTAAACTGGACTCGGGTAGTACGATTTATTGCCAAACTGGGCTTATTTATTCGCCGAACTAAACGGGTACTAAACAGCCGTAAACATAAGTATACAAAAGTATACAAAAGGAATTCAGATTAGGATATATATCTTCTAAGCGTTTAGAAAAAAGGCTAAATAGTACCAGCTCTTAAGTGAAGTTTTTATAAATGTGAAAGGTTAAGCGATAATTATCTTAATACATTTCAATTTGTTTGTCAGAACAAGTTATAGCATCACTGTACTCCTACAAATACATATAGAGTATCAATTCAAATGAATTTAATATATAAACAAAGAACAGTTGTGTCATTTGGGCCACAATTAAAAATTTATTGTAGCCAATAAATGTTTGAGCTTACATTAATTTTTAGAAACCTGTTCATATTTCGATTGATTTGGAATTGTGCATTTGGAATATGGCTAATATCTTGAAATCCTTTTTTATATATTTTTTTTAAACAGTTACAATTACAATTACAATTCACATTTTCTAATAATTAATAGCAATAAGTTAATAGAGTAAGTTATTGATAATTAAAAATTTTAATTTAACTTATGAATGCCATTGAACCCATGTTTGCACCAATTATATTCGATCTAAGGACCCATCTGCCTCAAGTACGAACACAAGGCCATCATAATTACTTAAATCTGTATTTAAGGGTATTGTGATCCGTATTTTCATGGCCATTATGGGCGTAGTCGTTGCACCATGCCACCATCATTAATATAAACTCTTTTTAATTGATTGCTCAGAGGTAGAGCATCCAGTAGCCCAACGCCTGGAGCCAACTATTTTTTCCATTCATGTGCAGTTCGTGGGCAGAGCGACGCGTGAGCAGCGTCCACACGCCGTCTTAGCCATCTCAGTCGTCTTAGCCATTTGTGCCGCCGTTTTAGCCATCTTGACCCAAGCGCGCGACTGGCACATTTCGTAGCCGAAGTCTAAAAACTCAAACCGAAAACTTAAAACCGAAAACTGAAAACTGAGCTGAAAAACTGCACCTTCGCCGGTGTGCTTTTAGGGCCAAAGAGTCAAAATCCGTCATTGTAACAACCTCTACTGCTGCTGATGGTTGACTTGGATCACAGGGGGAATGGTGGCCATATGGAGATAGAGATGGAGATGGGGATGGGGATGGAGATGTTGTCATGCAACTACAGCCGGCATTGCGGACAGGTTGACGCCAATTCCGATGCCTGGTCATCCCTAACAGGTATTAGTATTCAAAGTTTTGGAAGCCCAGCGTCCGCTTCGTGATGCTGATAGATTTTAGCCAAATGGCAACGGTCATGGCGAGATGGTGATGGTAAGTCAGCGATCGTAGCTGTCGCCATGGGAAGAATACGGATGGAGATGGATGGTAAGGTAATTCCCTTAGCCATAGTCACTCTAGGCCCGAACCCGATCCCAAACCCGAACCCAATCCCAAACTCAAACCTAAGTCAGTACCCATATGCATGCACGATCGCATCGCGATAGCTGAGGTGCCAAAGTCGCTTCTGCCTTTGACAAACATCACGTAACCTAGACAGCAACTCAATTGCACCCGGTACTCGCCGAGTCCAATGGCATTTTGTCCTCAGTCAATTGACACTATTGATTACCAATTAATTAAAATCGAGTTCACAGAAAGACGATCAAATATGTGGAATTCTCAAAACAAATTTCGGACATTCAAAATATTATATCCACATTTTCTAACATGGCTTTGAGTTTTTGTATAACAATACATTGCTTACCATGTTTTTCTTAATTTTGAAAAAGATGTCACGGCCATTAAAATTTAACTCAAATATTATATGGCATATTTTTATGTATTGAGCTCTTTCGATATGAGTTTCCAACATCTTCCAAAGTTACAGACATTTAATAGACGTTTCCTAGATTAAAATTATTAAAAAATTTAAGGGATATAATGTAGTTTCTTTATTATGTATAATAGTTTCCTACTAACCGGGTATCTTCTATTCGACTATAAATTATTTGCTAGGTTTTTCTTTCATGTTAACAAAAAATCATGCCTTAATACATTGCACTTAACTTCGGTTGATTAGGCTATTCAAAACTTAATGAAATGTTTGGTGGCTCACACATAAAACCACAAACTTATGGTTATACGATTTTGGACTCATCAAGGGTGTGACAAAATATCTATTGCGTGGATCAACAAAGATCACATATTCTTGCATACAGTCGGCGGCACTGGCTAAACAAATACGCGAAATTTAGTCATTACCGGACATACTTTAACATAAAAATAGGCAAGAGTTAACAACACTTGATCTTCAACATGTTTTGATAGTTCAGACACACCTTCTTTGCGAATAAAATTAATTTTGCTGCTTAACAAACAAGAAAATATTAAGTACATATTTATGTGCTTGCCTTTTGACGTTTAAGTTGTTATAATATATTATTTATAATAATTGTAGACCTAAGCCAATTAGGCGACCACTTAAAATTAGTAACTAAATTGTAAATTGTGATTAAACAATTACACAATCTCTATTTTATAATTTATTCTTCTATTAACATATAAACTGTTTTGAACATGGCGCCCTAATTGGTTTAAGTTTAAGATTTATGAACTGTCCAATCATTTGTAAAACCATTTGTTATAATCAACGTCTAACAACATTCCATCTATAAATGTCAGTAAATTGATTAGCATGGTGCAATAACTGTCTTCTCGAAGAAAAGGCTTGTGGATATTTCATTTCCGGTTTTGGAACACCAACACAAACAAGTTTTGAATATATTGAAGTGGTTTTTAAAAGTATGCTACAGAAATGAATCATAATTTTGTTGTGGCTTAAAAATATTTAGTCTTTAATGAAACACAATCAAGTTGTATACTTTAGGGGCTATCTTTAGACAAATTAATTAGTAAAGTATGGTTTTAATCTATTAAAGTTTAAACGCTTAAGTTGTATATTAAAATATATGGTACAATTTTAAGGAAAATTTTATTTAATTCTTACAAATTGTGTATTATAAATATTTTTTTTGTGTTTAATAATATGAAAGCATTATAATATTCCTTGCAAAACCACAACTTCAAAAACTATTTCTTTTTATTTTATTATTATGGATATGTTACCAAACAACAGGGTAACATTGTATATTTTTGGAAAATCATTTAGTGTAACATTTTTTTATCGCACTTCAAATAAAGCTCACTGATAAAAGCTGATTCCTGTGCGTGGGCAAACATTCTGCAAGTGAAAATGGAGCTTTCGAAATTGATGCAAAAATCGATACAGTCACAGCTGTTTGTGTACAACAAGTGAAAGTGTCCCGAGTGCCGCAAAATATACTCCCAAAAAAATAGCATAAAATCCCAGAGTTTTGAACTCAAAAAGTGCCTGTGAGGCGTGAATACCTTCGGAGTTGGTTCTCATCGATTCATCCAGAATGCCGAGCTCCAGACGTGCCATTCTGAAGCACATATTGTCGGGAATATGCACCAAGATGAATCGCACCAAGTCGGTGCCCACTGACGTCATGGAAACGCCGCTCAACCGATGCCTCAACACCTTCGACATCGCTCTGTTGGGTAATTGATTATAAATCAATAGATAACCGGCTTGTTTCTATGTTTTTACCTTTTTAAAGGAACAGTTTGTTAAGTTTCTAAAGGTCTCACGTGATATATTTCATGCTTTTTTGGGAAAACATATGCCAGCGTAAGGTGTAGAGTTAGGGGAACTTAAAGATACTCCAATTGGGATTTAAACAAGGACTTCCAAATTTTGAACATGAAATAACGAATGGGTTTCAAAAGATTTATATCCTTGACTCTCTTGAAGATGTTCTTTTCAAACACTAAATCGTTTTACTATATGATTAATTTGCAAGAAAATTGTTTTTTAATATTTGAAGAATTATTGTTACAGACATAGAATATAAAGAAATCTAGGTTTAGTCAAACTGTAGATATATATCTACAAATAAACCCAAGATACACCCAGAAAAAATTTAAAATATTTTAGGAAACATTTCTTTAAATTAGGAAAAATTTCTTATTTTAGAAATAAAAATCAATACGTGGGTTAGGCAGTAATTTCTGAATTAATGAGTTTATAAGAAATTATCTTTTTTGAGTGTACGGCTTAAAACCTCCAGAGATTTCAAAACACTCCATATGGGGATAAAATATGACTTTGCCTATCTACACTGTATGCCTCCTAAATTATTGCCTTGGAGTCCCCCGAAATTTGAGCAGCATCCCGTGTGAATAACACTTGTTTGTACCATTTACCCGCAGGCATTGGCCATATGGTTGGCGCTGGCATCTACGTGCTGACCGGAACGGTGGCCAAGGAAATGGCCGGACCCGGCATCATATTATCCTTCATCCTGGCCGGCTTTATATCCATGATGGCTGCCCTGTGCTATGCGGAATTCGGGACACGGGTGCCCAAAGCGGGATCCGCGTATGTGTACACGTACATCTCGATGGGTGAGTTCTGGGCCTTCGTCATCGGCTGGAATATCCTGCTGGAGCACATGCTGGGAGCAGCATCGGTGGCCCGGGCCTGGAGTGGCTACGTGGACTCGATGCTGGGTGGTTGGATTGGTAACACCACGCTGGAGCTGACTGGTGGGATCCATGAGCCCGGTCTGGCCCAGTATCCGGACATCCTGGCCTTTCTGGTCTGCATCGTGTATGCGGCTGCTTTGGCCGGAGGCGTGAAGGCCACGGCCATGTTCAACAGTCTGCTCACCCTGGTCAATATAGCCGTGATGGTGCTGGTCATCAGCGTGGGATTCTGG